GAGCTTTTAGACCTATTTCGGTGCTTACCAATCTGGATCCTTACAGCAACGCTATTTGATTTATTTTAAACATCAAAAAGCACAAAGAGAAAGCCGGAGATCCAAGGGGTCAAATAATTTATTGCTCCCGTCTTCAGTGTTCTCCCTCTTTCATTTGCCATGTGCAGTGCCAGCAGGGCACAGTTGATCCATCTGGAAATAGCTCCGAGGGTAACTGAGTCCTGAGTGAAAATGCCCCTGCTTCATCACTTCAACTGGATCGGCTTCAAGTGGATCAGATAAACTGGTGTGTGCCATCTTTGAACAGCGGCTGGAAAAACAACCAGGGGCGACGCAGAGTGGGTTTCTGCAGCCAGGGCATCGATGGAGGTGGCACATTAAACGCGACGACTGAGGGATCATGACATGATTATAATTCTGATATACACTGCACAGTTAGCAGCTAGTTATCACAGCTAACATACTGGGAGGGGGAACAGAGCTCCAACTAATCCTTCTGCTAATTTCAGACGATAAACATGCTGAAAAACTCAAACATGATACAGATTTTTAAAAAGTCTGAAATCAGGATATGTCAAGTCTGTTTGCAAGAGAGGTAAGTCAATTTCTGATGAAATACCAGGAATTTAACAATAGCTGCTTTTACATGAGCACAAATGACCAGAATAAAAGCCTGATCAGAATAAACATGTCAATTGCAAGATTCTGATCCAATTCGGCTCAATTGGAAAGAAATTGTGTTCTGATAGAGAAGCGTGGTTTATGCCGATCATTATTCTAAAACGCGTCCATGTAAACACTTATTCCGATTCTGACTCTCTACCGGAACAAAACTAAGCTGACTGCAGATGTGTACCCTACCTTAAAGGGATATTCCGGCGTAAAATTAATTTAGGGTCACACACACTATAACACCAAGTTAGACACCGCCTCAAGAGATGAATGTTGCCGACCGCTTGCTTCTCTAGTTATACCAACTTGAATAACGACCGCAGATAGCGAAACACACCTCGCTCAGGAGCCACACGCTCAACCAAAACGCCACTCTACAGCCACAAATAATGCTCAAACAGCACCTAACTTCATCAACAGTACATATAAGGTCCCAGTCATAGCACTAGCCACCAAACATCTTTTTAACTTTGCCTAATTTCTTTAGCAAAGAGACTAAACACAACTCAAACAGAGACCTCAGGCGAATCCATTACCGACTGCAGCGGGGTGATGCAGCTCAAGGAAGAACATTTATGATTATTTCTTCATGGAAATGCAATCAGACCGAGACGCTGAGGCAGAAGAACTACCACGTATGCAGTGCAGAATGATTAATATAATGATTATTACTTTAAGGAAATGATAAAGTAAGCGTCAACTTGAAGAGCTGTACATGAAGCTGGTCAGAGTTCGTCTTTTGAATTGTAATGTTTGATGACAACTTTATCATTGCCGACAGTAAAGGAGAAGAAAGTAGGCTATCCTGTGAGCCTAACTTACTACATATTCATATTTGGCACCACTGCTCTTTTCAAATTTTAGCATAAAAAGCCCAATAAGTGTTATATTTATAACAGTTTATATTATACATAAATTAATTAATTATATATATATATATATATATATATATTATTACAATATTTTCTTGATATGTGTCTTTCTTATGTTGTTTTGGCTCACTAGGAAAAAGCTGCTGTAACACCATTATTTCAGTTTGGGATCAATAAAGTAATTCTGATTCTGATACTGAGCCATTGCATCACCAACTGGGGAGATAAAGTATGTGTTGTAAAACTCTTGAAAAGATCTACAGTATTACAAAATTTCCTGTTCTTACACAACCTCCATTTAACACAATAATAGACTCTTCTTCTCCTAACGTCATTTCCTGTCTTTGGTACGAAAGTCCAAACCTTTCAAAATAATGCTTTCACACTGGCCATGAACCAGACCGCGGTTCGGTTTGGTCCGGACTAAGAACACCTCTTCTGGTGGGACCAAGATCCAGCTATTTGATCCGGACTAAGGTCTAGGGGACGCTTCACAACAATCATTTTGGTTCAGACCAACAAAAAAGTACGAATGTCTGGACCAAATGACATTGGTGTGAAAGCCCCCAGTCTGCTGTGGAAACAGGCCCAGTCAGGATCAACCAGAACAAATCAGACTGAACTGGACTTGACCAGACTAAATCAGACTAAACTGGACTACACCAGACTGATCAGAATGAATTTGACTGAATTGGCTACAACAGCGTGAACTGGACCAAACTGGACTGCTGTATTTTATATCTGCCATATTTAAGGGCCTGGGGTTTCATTCCAGCTAAAGACAGCACATGTACCTTAAAGTTTCCCTCTGTTCTCCAGCTGCAGGATGATGCCTGTGGGCAGAGAGGGAGGCTGACACAGACTCAGGTGAGTGTGAGAGAGCTGAGTCTGACCTGCTGTCAGCTAGAGTCCAAGTACCCAGGTGGGACCTGATGATGTAGGATGACAGCATCTGAACTGTCCAATCACATGAGGCCCTATGAGTGTGTGTGCGTGTAAGTTGGTAAAAAGTCAGGGTGGACTTAAAGAGGAGTGAAATCTAACTCACATGGGTCAGTTTTTCCTGAGGATCACATGAACATGCTGTGGTGGGTCTGAGAGCACCTGCTTTAGTGAGTTATGTTCCTGCAGTAAAGAATGGTCCACTCTGATAGCTTTCAGTGCTAGCTCTGAGCTCTGTCTATATCTGCTGCTGCCGTTCACTGATTGGTGGATGATCTTTATAAACCTGAGCTGACCTATGTCCCTCTGCGCCCCCTCTGCTTGGACTCTTCTCCTGATATTACGGCCAACTGAGAGTCCAGGACTTGCCAAAGTTCCGAATGACTCGCCAATGGGCTGCAGGTCGGTGCAGCTCCGCACAGGCAGCAGAGACATGAGCAACGATCCATCAACACAGAGCGTGTAACAGGAGCTGCTGTACCCCTCATACCAAAGATGGCTGAAATAGCATTTTCCAAACAGCCTGAAACCAGAGCTGCTCTACACACACACACACACACACACACACACACACACACACACACACACACACACACACACACACACACAGTGATAAACGGCAGCCTTATCAGCGCCAGAAGAGTGCAGCTGAATTTTCCAGAGTCAATCTCAGAAATAGTTTTGAATGAACCATTTTACAGGTACAGTAATCATTATATAATCATTATCATTATTCACCTTGATTATTTCGAAAACCAGATTATGAAATCCTTCACAGTTACTCCACAGTGATACCAGTAGGTCAAAATTAACGATAAAAATGAAGAAAATCATTCATCTCTAATCACATTTGAAACACAAAGTATTAGATGATGTTCAGAGTCCTGACTGAGGGGGCAACATTGATTGTCCTTGAGGTTAAACCTATTTGTATCAGCTGCCTTTGAATTACTCATTTTATGTTATCAAGTTGGTCTGAATGAAATACAACAAACTACTTTGTTAAACACAGAGTGTATAGAGATTGTTTAAAGAGATACATGCTCATTAAGATGAGATTAGATGAGACTGTCTGTCTGATTTATTGAAAATGCCTGCCAGGACAGGATATAATACAATACAATATGAAGTGATATGGTACAACATTTCCAACATTGCATAGTGGCAGTGTAGATAAGAGAAAAATAAGAGCTACGGAGGTCAGAACATGATGATGATATTACACAGGAGACTAATCCTCTGCAGGAGTTTTTTTTTAAAGAACTTCAGTTTAGTCTGGATTTTAGTGCCTCACTCCTTAAGTCAGCTCTAAGAATGATGAAGAATGTAAGGTAGGAGAGAAAAATATAAAATAAAATAGTAGTGTGATAAATAAAAATAAAAAAATACAGAGGGTGAAAATAAATATGCACTTTGCTTTGAATCAAACAAACAAACAAAATATTAATGGAGACAAAATTTTAAACTCTGATAAATATTGGATATAAACTCTTTTCTTGAGATCATTGAACTTCTTTCATTATAGCTTTTACTTTTCTTCTCATTTTAAAACAATTTGGAGTTTGTGGTGTCCTTACTGCCAAAGTGAGAGACGAAGTAGTAGTAGTGTTACCAAAAGTCACGGGGTCACTGTTTTGCCACCCGGGGGCGCTGCTGTATCAGTTTTTGAAGTCAGGTCATATCCTGAGCGCATGCGCAGGAGGTGATGTCGCGTCTCGGCCCAGATTTGAAATTAAACCGGGAGAAACACAGTAGACCATCAGCACCTGTGAGATTAAAGTTTGTTTGACAGCTTTAGACCACTAAAACTACAGGTAAGCTTACTCGTTTACAGCAGGAAGAACTCGTGTTTCTGTCCATGTATCTGATAATGTAACTGACAGTTGATATAAGTGTTGATATCTCCGTGCTAACGTTAGCATTAGCTTCTGTCACCGTTTTAGTCAGTGTCTTTAGTGAGTTTAACATGTTTCTATGATAACCACCTTTGGAGCCTGATAGCAAAACACCACAGCACGACAGGTTCATGTCAAAATATCGTCTTTAATCCAAACCTTAGCGACAACAAAAAAACATCTGACGGTGGACTTGCTGTTTTGATGTGCACTCAATGATCCTCAATGATCCAATGTTATCAACACGATAACAGCTGATCTGGTGATTCAACAGCTGATCTGATTGAATAACAGCTGATATGAAGCTAAATTCCTGATACTGATTTTGTTCAGATTAATAATATTAATACATTATATAGTGTTATGAAAGCTGATCTGATGTTAAAACAGCTGATCTGATATTATAATGTTTTAATGATATTATAATGGTGCTGTAGGAGACGGCTGCCTCTCCAGTTAGCTCTACAGTTCTCTTTTTCACCTTTTTTGATTTTTGATTAGTTTAGATCAATAATATTAAAGTATGTAGTTGTTATATAATCCAGGACTCTGTCTGGTTTTAAAGGTGTAACTGTTCCTTCAGGTAGTAATAGGTTTAGTTTGTCTGTGTGTCAGGAGGATGAGTGATCTGCAGGAGATCAACCAACACATTCATGACAGGATTTCTTCTCTGAAACTCTTGCTGGACCTGTCTCTGGCCGGTAGGATGCAAACTTTTTTTTTTTTTTTTGTGTTTTAAAATTTTGTTTTTTTTTTAATAGTAATTTAATGTTTTTAAGACCTGCCTCAGAAGAAGATGAAGAAAGTGGGACAGGAGATCTTTGCCCTGGACAGACTGTTGGAGGAGTTTGAGAAATGTGTGGACCATCAGAGGGACCAGCTCAAGAGTATGAAGGTGAACTGGAGTCTGTGTGAAATCAATAAGTCTGAAAGATCTGTACCTGTATTCACATCTCAGGGAGCTCCTAATTGAGCTTTAAAACTCTATCCAAGAATGATCTCAGAGCGACTCTGAGCAGGATGAGTGGACCATGTTTTTAGGTATGACGGGTTCAGTTAAAGGCTGTGATTGGCTGATAAATTCCCTTTTATTTATTTATAGAATATCTACCCAGAGGAACGATGAAATCAATCAGCCTGATCAGCTCCTCTGGTCAGTCTGGTGGATTTCATCCTTCACATGTATCAAGAATTCACTCCTTCCCATTTTCTGTCTTTATGTGGATCTGCCAATCATAGGCTTTAAATGGGTCCTTACTGGGGTAGAGGTCTTTGTTTCTCCCTCTCTCAGAGTCACTCTGAGATCTTTTTGAATCATTGTTGGGGGTTGGACTCCTTCATCAGAGTTTTGAAGTTGCCCACCAAACATCGGACGTCGAAAAGACGTGCAGATCAAGTCAGTATTGGGTCGGTCTGTCGAAGACCACATCTAGACGTCAGTGCGACATGCAAAACAGGTGAGAAATTTCGACGTCTAAACTGGATCTTTTTTAGACGTCGCTCCGACGTTCAGAATTTGGACGTCATCTAATGACCAAATCTCGACGTCGGGTTAACGTGCAAAATAGATCCAATATTTAGACGTCAGTATTGGACCTCTTTTCGACGTTAAATTGATGTCCGCATTTGTGCCTTATTTGGACGTGTTCGTGTGGTCCGCCAAGGACCAAATCTTGACGCCTCCAGAAGACCTGATTTCGACGGCCAATTTAGACCGAAATTGCACATCATGTCAGTCGGACGTCCACAAGACGTCAGAATTGAACGTCGAAATGACGTCCGAAAAAGACGTCAAAAAACGTTCATTCTGCACCTTCAGGAGACATGATTTAGACGGCCAATTTCGACCGAAATTGCACGTCATGTCAACGTCCGATTTGGACGTCCACAAGACATCCGAAAAAGACATCGAAATGACTTTCATTCTGCACCTTCAGGAGACGTGATTTAGAAAATTATGTTATATAGACGTCATTTCGATGTCGCATTGCGTAGTGGGTGAGTTTGTGGCTCTCTGGAAGGATCCTTTGAGTGTTTGTTGGACACAGGCCCCTGTCTTCATGCTGCTTATCATCCCAAAGACTTAACATTGGTTTTACTGCTGCATAAATGAAAAAGTAAAGGTTGAGCATCCTGGAGGCGACCGCACCAGCTCAGATATTTAACCACATTTAGTTTTTAAATATGAACAAACATCTGTTCAGTGAGGTAACTGAAGAAAAGTGGGTAAAATTTACAGTCACAGCAGATGGTTTTAGAGGGTAAAAGTAGTTGACAGACCAGTACTTTGAGCTGTATTTGTTTAAATCAGGAACTGGAGGAGTCTGTCAAGAAGGACCTGGAGGATGTGACTCACTTAAAGAACAACATACCTGCTCACATGCCAAAGAGGGAAGGCCCAGCACAGTAAGAATACTTATTTCTGCTAATGTAACACTGGAGATTTGTGCTATAAATATAAATCACTTTACAGAGGAATTGGGATTTGAGGGAGCTTAGATGTCTACATGACAGCCGATCTGTGCTTGTAAATCTAATGGAGTAAAAGAGCTAACATTTAATGAATCCTGTGTCCTCTCAGAGGTTGTGACCCCATGATAAGGCAGAGTGAAACTGCAGTCACTCAGCAGCAGCAACAACCTGTGAAGAAGAGCAGCAGGAGCTTCATCAGAGAGATGGACTTCATCACTGTGGCAGAGTTTGACGGCATCCCTCAGTAAGACACTCACTCACTCACTCCCTGCATGCTGTGATGACTGGAGCTTATCATCAGGTGTCTGTCCCTGCCCTAGGAAAAGACATATCATACTCTTCCTTAAAAGGATATTCTGGCATAAAATGAATTTAGGGTCTCGAATGTTGCCGACCGCTTACTTCTGTAGTTATACCAACTTTTAAGTAACGACCGCACGATAGCAATGCATAGTGGTCTACATCTCCATGGGCTAATCCAACCAAAACACCACTCTATAGCCACAAATAATGCTCAGAACAGCACCTAACTTCATCAACAGTACATATAGGGTCTCAGCCACAGCACTAGCCACCAAACGTCTTTTTAACTTTGTCTAATTTCTTTAGGGAAGAGACTAAACACAACTCACCTACTCTCTTGCAGCAGCCGCTTGTTTGTAGGGAGAGCTCAGACGAGTCCATCACCGAGTGCAGCAGGGTGACGCAGCTCAAGGAAGAACATTTATGATTATTTCTTCAAGTAAATGCAATTAGATCGAGACGCTGAGGCAGAAGAACTACTGCATCTGCAGTGCAAAATGATTATTGAGATGATTATTACTTCAAGGAAATAAGGGCAGTAGAGAGGGAATATTTCTGATTGATGTGATGTTTCCTGGGCTGAAAGTTGATGCAGACTCTTAAGGTACTTTCTGATATTATTGTCCTGATTATGAGCCCTTCAGGTTGTGTCCTGACTACAGGTAAGTGTAGTGAGTTGGACAGGACATGTCTGTCTCTGTCTAAAGCAGTCTGTGTGTCCTCAGGTACATGAGAGGAGGAGTTTCCTATGACCAGCTGAATGCAGCCGTGCAGAGCATCAACACCGCTGTTACAGCCAAGTACAAGATCCTCCATCAGTCTGTGAAAACGCTGAATAACCAGTCCAGAAAACTGCAGCAGCGCTTCAAGGAGCAGGACACCAAAGATACCAAAGGTGACAATACTGCAGCACTCAAACTAAATATTAACTAAAAGAAGGGGATCTGAGAGTGTGGGCACCCCTATCTAGCAGTATCTGGATCTAGCATACAGAGCCAGCGTAATCACAACAACAATGTGCACTTAAGTATCAACAAAGTCACAAGGAGTAAGAGTAATGTTGGCTGTATGGCAGTATTTTTTCTTTAAGTCCGAAAAAGACTTTTCAGCTGAGTGCAAAACTTGTCACGCACAAGTTTGTGCCAATATCAATATTGGTATTGGCCAATGCTACAATATCGGTTGATCTATGTGCTGTTTACTGGTTAACTCAAAGGGAGAAACACATCACATCACATCACATCCTGTTTCAGTTTGAGTGTTTTAGTTCTGTGCTGTGTCCGAATTGCCCGCTCGCATACTACATGCTACTGCTACATACTAAACACGTTGGCCCAATTCGGACAGACTAGACGAGCGGTGGGGAAAGACCGCACATTTTTAGGACAGTGTGCGAAGTTACATGAAACTTACATCTGTACTGCTGCGGTCCTGCCTGCTGCTGCTGCTGCTCCGCCATGGTGCGCGCTGCTGTGGCCAGCCGGCGTTCGCGACGCATCTAAATAGGCAGCAGCTGGTAGCGCTAGCATCACATGCGCTTCTACAACTTTTTAAGAGGACAAAGAAGAAGCCCGCGGTGCATTTTGGGTCAGTAGCATGCCCGTAGGATCAGAGCAGTAGATTCAAACAGAGTGGCGACAACTTCAGATCTCGCCGCCAGAGCGGTCACGTGGTTCATGTACCCCTCCATTTAATCTACTGCTCTGCGTAGGATGCACCGCGACCAACCTACAATGTGGGCGTGTCTAGTATCTGAAGTAGCATGCTACTCGCTCCGGTGGCCAATTCGGACATGCTACATACTACTTCGACTACTACTTGGCAATTCGGACGCAGTACAGGTGTTTCAGTTTTGGGTGTTCCACATGTTGTTTCTCAGCTCATGTCTCCTCCCGTAGCGCCCCCTGCTGTCTGCTGCTTTCACCCTCAGGTGTCTCTGTCTTTCAGGTCAGTTCTTTGTGGTGGAGGAGGACATCAGAGACTTCACTCAGGTGAAGGTGGACAAACGCTTTCAGAAGATCTTCATCATGCTGAGACACTGTGGGCGCCTGAGGGAGGTCCGAGGAGGGGGACTGACTCGCTACATGCTGCTGTGAGCCGGAACCATTAAAACCAGTAACACCAGTAGAGACTATTAAAGAGCATCATAGAGCCTCAGAGGAGGGGGGGCTAACCTGGTTCATGCTACAGTAGGAACCATCAGCACCAGCCCATATTTCTCTGTCCTTTTGGCTCATTTTTTTACACAGTGAAATTACCTTTAATCGAACATATAAACTTTGCTAAATATGGTGAAACACCCAGAACCTTTCATCAATCTTTCCTCTTGGCTGAAGTGAGAATGCTGGTAGCTCATGCTGGTGTGAGATTTTCATCATCACTTCTTTTTTCCCCTTTTATTGCGAACAAAACTTGATTTATTGATCCTCTCTGTCTCTCTGCTCCTGTTTTAAAGCTACTGCTCATCCCCAGAGTTTGACTGGTGTCAGTCTTTTAGTGATTGATGCTGATTTTTGAACACTGAGATCATGTTTGCATTTGATGAATGACAATAAAGTAGAAGTTTTTAAAACAAAACAAACCTCTGAACTTGAACATTTAAACATTTGGTCCAGTAAAATATTTCTGCAGGAGACTAGGATTTCTGACCAAACATCTGTAAACAAACAAATATTCAGGTTCGAATAAAAGTCCAGTGTGATCCCAATATTCCATACACAGACTCTCAGACCTTTACCTTCAGCAGACCCACCTGAGCAGCTTGAAGTTTCATCCCTTTGAACCAGCACTTTATATGCACTCTGTGAACACTGTGGTGGACGGCTTTTTGGAGTTTGTGTGAACTTTGTCTAATAAACTATCAGTAAATATTGACACGGTTTGTGGGCACTTCTTTACACTGAACCAAAGGTTTGGCCTCAGTACAGAAATAAAAACATATTTAAAACTGTCGGGAGAAGAGACAGACTTTAAAAGTGTTTTTGCAGCTCTGACAAAGAGTAACAATGACTGGACCTACCTGAGGGAGCTTTAGAAGGACTGGACTCAGCAGAGAGGATCTGTAAGTATCAATCTTTTTTTAAGCTTGTTTGTTAGTTTGTCTAGTTTGTTGTTTTAGATGCACTTCTCCTGATTTACCAGCAGAAGGCACCCCTCCTTTAGTTATCAGTGATGAGTGAGCTGCAGGGATCATCCCTCTTTTCAGGACAGATCCCAAACAGAAGACCTTACTGTTTCAAAACATCGACATCATGTGTTTTATTTTGAAAGGGTGTCAATCGTGTTATCCTGAGAAAAAAAAGGCTTTAAGCTAAAACTATATTTTGTGAAATATTTTACTCATTTCCATCATAATATACAATATTTGATTTGAATATGTCTTAATTTGACTGTCAGAGTAATTTCAGTATTTGGTGATTAAATTTTTAATTTTTATTACTTTACTTTTTTCTAATGATGGATGGTGTTTTCACTGAACATGGGTATGTAAGATTGTAAACAAAGGCCATTTCCATCTGTAGCCACTGTGTTGTTTCACACATACATTTAAACCGAGCATGTTCATAGAATAAGACTGAATAACATACAATGAAGTCACAAGGTTTAAAGAATTAAGTAAAATAAGTAAAATAGATAAAATATGATTTAAATAAAATGAGACTGGATAAGATAAAATAAATATGAAAAAAAAAATAAGATAGAAAATGAAATAAGTAGGATCAGATGAAATTAGAAATTTTAAAACAATATATTACAATAATAATAATTGATTAACGCGGCAATGTCGTCTTGTCTCTAAGTGGTTTTATTCTGTAACATGTCTATGTAAAATGTGTTCGCGCACAGAGCTTTGTTTTGAAAACGCTCACCGGAAGTGTGTATGTGCCGGTGTATGAGCAGCTTGATATGTGGACGAACTCTCAGCATGGACCCAGGACCTCCACACCCAGAGCCCGACATGGAGACGGACTAAAGCAGAGAAACGGAGCGGTGATCGGTGATGGTGTGGAGGAGCTTCAGGGGCGGAGAGCGTTAAAGTCCGCGGACACTCAGAGTCACGGTAAGTCTGATCCACGAGTGTTTTCAGCCCGAGTTCACCCTCCAACTTTCTCTCTCTCTCTCTCTCTGTTTCTCTCTCTCTCTCTCTCTCTTACACACACACACACGCACACACACACACATATGCACACACAGACTGTGCAGCAGCTGCTGCTGTGTCGTCTGCTCTCAGATGTGACTGTGTGTTTGAGTTCAGCTGAGCAGATCTGCAGCTTTATTACTCCGGAGCTTCAGCATCAACTTCAACTTTAGAGGTTGGGATCTACGGAAAGCATCAGTTGGAAAAGTCCCGTAGCGCCCCCTGCTGTCTGCTGCTTTCACCCTCAGGTGTCTCTGTCTTTCAGGTCAGTTCTTTGTGGTGGAGGAGGACATCAGAGACTTCACTCAGGTGAAGGTGGACAAACGCTTTCAGAAGATCTTCATCATGCTGAGACACTGTGGGCGCCTGAGGGAGGTCCGAGGAGGGGGACTGACTCGCTACATGCTGCTGTGAGCCGGAACCATTAAAACCAGTAACACCAGTAGAGACTATTAAAGAGCATCATAGAGCCTCAGAGGAGGGGGGGCTAACCTGGTTCATGCTACAGTAGGAACCATCAGCACCAGCCCATATTTCTCTGTCCTTTTGGCTCATTTTTTTACACAGTGAAATTACCTTTAATCGAACATATAAACTTTGCTAAATATGGTGAAACACCCAGAACCTTTCATCAATCTTTCCTCTTGGCTGAAGTGAGAATGCTGGTAGCTCATGCTGGTGTGAGATTTTCATCATCACTTCTTTTTTCCCCTTTTATTGCGAACAAAACTTGATTTATTGATCCTCTCTGTCTCTCTGCTCCTGTTTTAAAGCTACTGCTCATCCCCAGAGTTTGACTGGTGTCAGTCTTTTAGTGATTGATGCTGATTTTTGAACACTGAGATCATGTTTGCATTTGATGAATGACAATAAAGTAGAAGTTTTTAAAACAAAACAAACCTCTGAACTTGAACATTTAAACATTTGGTCCAGTAAAATATTTCTGCAGGAGACTAGGATTTCTGACCAAACATCTGTAAACAAACAAATATTCAGGTTCGAATAAAAGTCCAGTGTGATCCCAATATTCCATACACAGACTCTCAGACCTGTACCTTCAGCAGACCCACCTGAGCAGCTTGAAGTTTCATCCCTTTGAACCAGCACTTTATATACACTCTGTGAACACTGTGGTGGATGGCTTTTTGGAGTTTGTGTGAACTTTGTCTAATAAACTATCAGTAAATATTGACACGGTTTGTGGGCACTTCTTTACACTGAACCAAAGGTTTGGCCTCAGTACAGAAATAAAAACATATTTAAAACTGTCGGGAGAAGAGACAGACTTTAAAAGTGTTTTTGCAGCTCTGACAAAGAGTAACATTGACTGGACCTACCTGAGGGAGCTTTAGAAGGACTGGACTCAGCAGAGAGGATCTGTAAGTATCAATCTTTTTTTAAGCTTGTTTGTTAGTTTGTCTAGTTTGTTGTTTTAGATGCACTTCTCCTGATTTACCAGCAGAAGGCACCCCTCCTTTAGTTATCAGTGATGAGTGAGCTGCAGGGATCATCCCTCTTTTCAGGACAGATCCCAAACAGAAGACCTTACTGTTTCAAAACATCGACATCATGTGTTTTATTTTGAAAGGGTGTCAATCGTGTTATCCTGAGAAAAAAAAGGCTTTAAGCTAAAACTATATTTTGTGAAATATTTTACTCATTTCCATCATAATATACAATATTTGATTTGAATATGTCTTAATTTGACTGTCAGAGTCATTTCAGTATTTGGTGATTAAATTTTTAATTTTTATTACTTTACTTTTTTCTAATGATGGATGGTGTTTTCACTGAACATGGGTATGTAAGATTGTAAACAAAGGCCATTTCCATCTGTAGCCACTGTGTTGTTTCACACATACATTTAAACCGAGCATGTTCATAGAATAAGACTGAATAACATACAATGAAGTCACAAGGTTTAAAGAATTAAGTAAAATAAGTAAAATAGATAAAATATGATTTAAATAAAATGAGACTGGATAAGATAAAATGAATATGAAAAAAAAAAATAAGATAGAAAATGAAATAAGTAGGATCAGATGAAATTAGAAATTTTAAAACAATATATTACAATAATAATAATTGATTAACGCGGCAATGTCGTCTTGTCTCTAAGTGGTTTTATTCTGTAACATGTCTATGTAAAATGTGTTCGCGCACAGAGCTTTGTTTTGAAAACGCTCACCGGAAGTGTGTATGTGCCGGTGTATGAGCAGCTTGATATGTGGACGAACTCTCAGCATGGACCCAGGACCTCCACACCCAGAGCCCGACATGGAGACGGACTAAAGCAGAGAAACGGAGCGGTGATCGGTGATGGTGTGGAGGAGCTTCAGGGGCGGAGAGCGTTAAAGTCCGCGGACACTCAGAGTCACGGTAAGTCTGATCCACGAGTGTTTTCAGCCCGAGTTCACCCTCCAACTTTCTCTCTCTCTCTCTCTCTCTCTCTCTCTCTCTGTTTCTCTCTCTCTCTCTCTCTTACACACACACACGCACACACACACACACACACACACACATATGCACACACAGACTGTGCAGCAGCTGCTGCTGTGTCGTCTGCTCTCAGATGTGACTGTGTGTTTGAGTTCAGCTGAGCAGATCTGCAGCTTTATTACTCCGGAGCTTCAGCATCAACTTCAACTTTAGAGGTTGGGATCTACGGAAAGCATCAGTTGGAAAAGTCCGTGTGCGCGCGCGCGCGTGTGCGTGCAGATGGAGATGTTTTGGTTCTTGTCCTCAGCTCTCTCTCAAAGATGTTCGATGAGAAACAGAAGTTTTCGCAGCAGCTCTCTCTGTTTCCTGTAAACATCAGAGTATCTTCAACAGCTTTTTTCTCTGACACTGGAGACAGACTGACATCTACCTCAGTACTCAGACAGGTGACTGTCAGAGGAGCAGAGCAGACAGGTACCTGCTGTCATTTACTCAGCGCACTGACATTTACCAACAAGTTGAGCTGACATCTGGTTCACACAGTCACCTGCTTCATCAGCTGGAAACACAAAAACCACCAGTTAGACCTGCACACCAGTCTGTGGACAGAATATACACACACCTGACTGCTGATTTGAAATATTACTGCTCTTCTCATCATCATGGACCTTTAGCAGGTACTCATTCAGCTCATATGAAACCTTTTCATTTATTGTACAGTATCATATAAAAGACTCTGTCATGTAGGACCAGGTCTGACACTGTCTCGTCTGGTGTCCCTATCCCATCATACCATAAGCTCATTCATTTAATCATGTCAGATGGTATCATCTGGGTACACATCAGACTGTGTCATATTAAATCTACTCAGATCCGTTTGTATCGTTACATTTCATCAGAGATTTTACTGTGCAGAATAATATTAACATTAATTTTTCCATAGGTATAGCAGTAGTCCACTGATTACAGTCTTTCAACAGTGAATGGCCAATACATAATACCAGTATTACAGGTTCTTCTTTTTTGCACTAGACAAAACACCACAACAATTCAATAACACTAACTCAGAGAAACAAAGTTGCTGATTTCTGTTGAATGCTTTGATGAATTAGTCTAAATGGGAATATATTTTACTTAGTAAAAGGATTTTATTTGTGTGTCCAACCACCTTAAATGATTTAATAAACATATGAGATGAATACTGAAGTTAGAATAAAAAGAAAGTGATGTATAAGTGTATTATTTCCCGCTCGTTAAAGAGTATTATTCCTTAGTAATCTGAGCCAGAAACGTGTTTGAAACATAGACTGTATACAGAATGGACGACATCTGCCTACTCGCTAGGTGAAGCCTATGCAACAACAGCACCCTCTGGTGACGGGCTGCAATATAGGTCATAAATCCCGCCTCCTCCAGCAAACTTAATGGAGTTGTGGACTAATTTTAGAAGTTTATTACATTAAATATACATTTTTCTCCCCCCTGGTAGCAATGTTTTCATGTAGATATTGTAAGACTAATTTGTGCCCGAGTCCTCTTTTTCTGTGCAGCTCAATTCTTAAAAGTTATTAAGGGTTTATGTTTTCTATGATTGACACTTGAAACAGCCTATGGGTGTAAAAAGATTGCATAGATCATCCCATGGATACGCTGTTTGACCAGACTCTCACCATATGCTACTGCACAAATGCCAGATTCGCAGTAAGTCTGAGGAAAGCAGCAGCTGTTATGTACGAGCAGCACATGAAGTGGGTCTGCAGCTTTCTGATCAGATGTGCTCTGTAAACATTAGACAGCTGTGTTAATGTTCAGACAGCAGCTCAGCCTGCGGTCTGGTTCTGCAGAAATAACTGTTTCATAGAGGACCAACATGTTAAGAGAATTTCATCGGGGGCAAACGTTAAGTAGGGCTGCACGATTGATCGATTGTAAATCGTAATCTGATTATTTAATTATGATGATGTTAAAAAAATACATTATTGTCCAATTGATGTTCCTTTCTATCATGTCCTGCACCTCCAGGCCATGGTAGGCTCCCCCTTCCTGCAAGAGCGCTCCTCAGTTCCCACACACACCAGTGTAAACAAACAGGGCGTTTGCAAAAGAAGGCGACAATTTCGTGGCTAAAAGGGGTAAGAGCAAGTCAGTCGTGAATTGGTACGACTTCACAGTTTCAGATGGAAGAGCAAACCACCTCCCGTTGCAAAGTCTGTCTGAAGGCAGTAGTACTACCAACCCATCCACACTGAAACAAGTTCAGGAATATCGGCATTTCATCAACACAGAAACGGTGTTTTGGTGACTGTAAACAATGTTTTTTCAAAATGGGTACGAGAGTGCATAAATCTGTGAATGACTACCATTTCATCTCCGTGTGAATGCCTATCAGCATCTCTCTTGAAACAATTGTGTCACACACAGCGTGGCTCTTTTATGGCGGCTGCGCTGTCCAGCTAATACAATCTTTTTACGCATGCTCCGTACTCTTCTTTTGTCTTTTGTGCATTTCCTAGGCAATGTTACAACGCCACTTACTGGCTTGTCATATGCACTACATCATTTTTAGTAGTTTCGTTTTGAGAGATGTTAAAAAAAAGATAATTTTAAAGTGAAATTTTGTAAAGTTGTCACTGAATTAAAATTTTTTAATTTTGGCCAAAATCGTGCAGCTCTAACGTTGAGGTGCTTTAATAGAGTAACTGGACTCATACTTCTCAGGGCTTTTCTAGTCTCTCTATGGGTCATATTCACCCTTAAGTATAATCTCACCCCGTTCACCAGACCACTATGTAACAGAATGATACCTGATCCAGGTATCAGTTGTCCCCCTGTTTTAGTGTTTGCACACCTGATGAAACTGAACAGGTGATCAGCTACATAAAAATGCTCCTTCCTGTTAGTCCTGTTATGAGTGAGAGGATGTGATTGGATGATGATAAGTCAGCATGATCAGGAAGTTTCAGTCAGACATGCGTTACCTGATCAGACTGAAAACCTGCTTTTATCCTTAAGGTTTGGTGTGAGCTCAGTGTGCAGTGAGAGTTGTGGAGCCGTCCACAGGCTCCGAAATCACTTTGTGTGTTTGTCTCTGTGAGGAATGTGAAAGCATGCAGACAAGCATGTAGTTTGGTTTCCTCTGTGGCCGTCCCTCTCTCTCTCTGCTGCCTTTTCTAGAAACATCATGTGAACATTTGTACAATCACCGAGTGGGAGCCTTTCTTGTGAACTTCAGATTCACCAACCAAATGCGCACACGGTCAAGAAACCAGACTCTGGTTTACCCAGCTCCTCTTTTACAGACACTGATACAGGAACAGTCTTGCTGAATAGCCGTGGAACCGGACTGAAATGGATGAATGTAGCAAAGAAATCCAAAACTTAAAATGGATCCATGTGTAGAAACCTGCAACACAAGCTCAAGGATGTGTGTGCGGAAATTAAAACCTTAGAGACAGAAAATAAATCTAACTATTTGAATATTTAAAGAGATAAAAACATGAAAGAAAGATGGAGAATATGTGGAGGTGAAGAGAGGATGAGCTGAAAGGTGAGATCTCTGGTATTTAAAGTCGTGGTGTTTGTTAGCATGCTAGTGTTTTACTTTGAGAGTGATCAGAGATGTTTTTTAAGGAGACAAAGCAGAGAGTCAGGAGAGGAAACAGAGCAGATGTGAGACGTGATGATAGAGAGACTGCAGACTGTCCTCTCTCTCTCTCCAGCTGTTTCCTCTCTCTCTCTCTTCCCCCCCTCTCTCTGTACAGTTCGGCTGCTGTGTCAGCACACTCACAATCCTCTCATACCAAACTCTGCTGCTCTACAGTCTGAACCTCACTCACTCTCTCACTCACAGCAGCTCACTGATCTGCTGCAGGTTGTTTCAGACCAAAATGAACATTTAAATGTGTCAGGGCAGCAGCGAGACGTTCCTGATGTCCCATCACCAGATCATATTTTAATGATTGTTTTCGATGATATTAATATTATGATTATTAAAAACCAGTACCCATGATTTGGTGACTTAAAACCGCTTTAAAACTTTAAAAACTCTGAAAAAGTGGGAACAACAGTTTTGACAACCTTTTTATTCGCTAAAGCGTCTGTCTGTTAAACTGTATGATATGAATGTTTCAAAAAAGTAATCTGTTCTACCGCTGAAAAGGATCATGCATCTCTTCTTCATTTAAGAGCTTCAGCTTCATTTTGGTGAAAATACTCGCTAAATTAAATACCAGATTTCACTTTTAGTCAACAAGTTAACTCTGTGCTAAAAAAAACTGAAGGATTCAAGCTATTTTATACTCAACACTTTGTCACAGGTGCAAATTAAATTAATCATTTAGTCTTAAAATGGTTTTATAAAACCTCCTATAACCTTTAAGACTTGAATATTGTTATGATCCAGAACCACATCTTTCACTGTTTAACACAACAGTCTCAATGGTGACCTCCACAACCTCTCTATCATCATGCTCATTCTGTCCCTTTGCCTTTCAGACACATCTGCCTCCTCCTGCTGTTTTTAGGTCATGATCCAGAGACATTTGGGAGGGACTTTATTATTTTGATTCACCAAACATTACAGCTCATTGAATAAAAAGAGACAAAAGAGAAAAAAAAATACAAACACACCCCGCCAAAAAATAAGTACTTGCTCAATCAGCTTTTTAACCACCAGTGTTGGTATTAGTATCATCTCTAATGGTGTTGGTATCAATTATGACTCCAATACTGTTGGTATCAGTATTGAATCTAATGTTGTTGGTATCAGTATTGACTCTAGTGTATTTGGTATCAGTATTGCCTCTTAAAGTGTTGGTATCAGTATTGACTCTGATGTTGTTGGTATCAGTATTGACTCTGATGTTGTTGGTATTAGTATTGACTCTGATGGTTATAGTATCAGTATTGACTCTAATGTTGTTGGTATCAGTATTGACTCTAAAAGTGTTGGTATCGGTATTGACTCTGATGGTTATAGTATCAGTGTTGACTCTTATTTTGTTGGTATCAGTATTGACTCTAATGTTGTTGGTATCAGCATTGACTGTGAAGGTTATAGTATCAGTACTTACTCTAATGTTGCTTGGTAACAGTGTTGACTGTGATGGTTATAGTATCAGTAATGACTCAAATGGTGTTGGTATCAGTCATGATACATCTAAGCTGTGTTTCTCTCTGTAAGATGAGACTTCGAGTTCTTCTTATTTTTTAATAGTGACCCTCACACTCCTCTGTAACTCTAAACTTAAAGCAGCCTGTGATCACAGACAGCATTAAACATGGATGTAGTCCTTGTTGGTCTCTCAAGCAGAGTTTTGATGCCTATATTAATGCTCATCGCCTTCTTGGAAATGCTGAGGCAATCAGCCTTTTGGCCAACGGCTACACTGAGCCTGACCGTGGGTCAAGTCGGCTCTGCTTTTAATGTGGCAAAACTTATAACTTTCAGATCTTAAAAAATGGAATAATAAAAAAATTCAGCCCAGGACAGTGTGCGCATAGAAATGATTGATGTAACCTGCTCCCGCTGCTGCGTCATGCTGTGGTGTTTATGATATCAGCTCTACACAGAACAAGCCTCTATATTAGTAACAGTCTCATTTCTGTTGGTAGCTGACCATGCTGGGAAGAGGCTGCCATCTTTGTTTTAGTCTGTTGACCAGTCAGAGGCTGTATCAATGATCGGCTGACCTGTAAAGGTCCGTTTAGAGGCCACTGCAGCCTAAAACAAACCTTGCAGTCTGGATTTAGTATAGAAATAGATAGAGCAGCTCTGAATATATTCATCCTCTTCAGATTATTCTAGTATTTGTAGATCTGTGCTCTGCCCGCATGCTGACACTTGGGCGCCACCTTCACGTGTTTTTGGATTTCATTTACTTTCACACTTTATTTTTAAGGCATTGATAGTATTTAATCTATAAAGTAGATTTCTTTACAAAAAAATAGATCTTACTTTTTTGTGATAAATTAGTCTTAAAGGGATTTTTTTACACTCAAGAGAACGCCATACATCACCAACCTCAGCTTTTATAGTTTATTTGGCAGGAAGAGCGTCAGCAAAGACCTTGATGTACAGGACAGAGCAGTATTAATGTCATTATATAACACCTTGGTGAAATCTGAACACCCTGTCTGAGCATTGGCAGGACATAGGTGGGTTTATGTACGCAGGAGCATTTGCAGGTCATGTTTAACTAGCGTGAGTAAACAGGTCTGATTGTGTGGTCAAACACAGGACGAGGACTGGCAGACTGGAAGATAAAGCTTGTTCGTTTTTTGTCCTGTACTCAGTTTTTCAGGGAAAGTGAGGTGCTGAGATCAGCTGCTGCAGGAACAGAAACAAACAGTTTCTTTCTGTTTTTTTTCGCTCCTGCATGTTTCTCATTGTTCCCTCCCAGTGTCTCTGAAGTGTTCCTCGCTGAGTGTGGAAATGTGGGAATGTGGAAAATGACCTGCAGAGAGTTTGGAGAGAGAGGGATGGAGGACAGAGGACACTTCCTGTAGAGAGACAAACACAGAGACCTGCAGACGCTCAGCGACAGACAGAAGAGATGTTTTCCCCTCTGCTCAGAGGATGATAAACTCTGAGAACATGCTGGCTGTGAGCTCTCCTTTATTTATAGCTCTGTTTTATCTGTCTGCTCTTTAAAAGTAGAAACCTCTCCCTCTCTCCCTCTCCTGCCTGAGTGTTTCTCTGTAACACACTCACAGAGCCAGCGTTGGTATGTGGGGGCTAACCAGAGCTGCATGTCTGACTGTTGAGTCATCCTCTGTCTTCTCTCTGTTACATGTCTCTGTGAGTAGCAGGATTTCCTCCGCTCTCTGTTGATCTGAAGCTGCGATGAATGACAGGAGCTTTGACAGACGCCACATTATCACTGTGTGTGTGTGTGTGAGAGAGAGTGTGTGCGAGTGTGTGTAACTGTGTTTAAAGTGAGACAGTCGAGTCAGAGCGATGATTTATTGATGTCCTCTGTTTTCAGCTCTGACGCTTTCAGTCTGATTGGATGTCAAACTTCTACAGACTGAGTCTGAGAGTGTGTGACACATGAAACTCTGACAGTGTGTTTCTGCAGGAGCTTTCCCAACACTCATGTGGCCATGTGCATGTTGAGTCAGCGGGTTGAGGGTAGAGGAGGGGGAAATGTTTGCACATGTGCAGTAGACTCCTGCTGCAGCTCCCATGGTGTTGGCTGTCTGTCTGTCTGTCTGCGTGTCTATCTGGCAGATTTATGACACTCTTAATGAGGTCTGATTGAGCAGAATGGCAGTTTGTGGTTTGGATGGAGTTACCTGTTGGAGCTGTTGTCCTTGAAAGCGGAGTCTCACCCCGTCTAACACTGAGAATAATAATCCTGTCAGTCTGGGAGGAGCTAACAGCTAGCTGGGCCCTGTTTAAAACATTGTGAATGCATAAACCACATCAAATTTACAGTAACAGATTCTCCTTATCTTTGCATTTTGAGGTCCAGTGTGCAGAAATTGAATATTTAGCCATGTGTAGTGGTCAGTTTTCACTCATATGCTCATATAAGAGTGATTGATCTGCTAGTGGACAGGATGGGTGGGGCTGACTGAATCAATATGACATGTGTGATTTGTTTTTGTGTGGTTTTGCTCTTTCTATGCACAATTATTAGCAGTTGATAAGGCGTTTGGACCAATCAGAATCAAGTTTTCAACACAGGCCTCAGGGTTAAAGGGATATTCCGGTGTAAAATTAATTTAGGGTCAAACACATCATAACACTGAGTTAGACACCCCCTTGAGAGATGAATGTTGCCGACCACTTGCTTCTCTACTTATACCAACTTTAGTAACGACCGCACAATAGCAATACACAGCGGTCTGAGAAGCCATAAACAAACCTCAACCAAAACGCCACTCTATAGTCACAAATAATGCTCAGAACAGCACCTAACTTCATCAACAGTACATTTAGGGTCCTAGCCACAGCACTAACCACCAAACATCTTTTTAACTTTGCCTGATTTCTTTAGCAAAGAGACTAAACACAACTCACCTACTCTCTTCCAGCAGCCGCATGTTTGTAGTGAGACCTCAGGCCAGTCCATTACAGACTACAGCGGGGTGACAAAGCTCAAGGAAGAACATTTATGATTATTTCTTCATGGAAATGCAATCAGACTGAGACGCTAAGGCAGAAGAACTACCGCGTCTGCAGTGCAAAATGATTAATATGGTGATTATTACTTCAAGAAAATGATAAAGGAATGTTTTTCTTCCTTGAGCTGTGTCACCCTGCTGTAGTCCGTAATGGACTGGCCTGAGGTCTCGCTACAAACAAGCGGCTGCTGGAGGAGAGTAGGTGAGTTGGTATAACTAGAGAAGTAAGCAGTCGGCAACATTCATCTCTCAAGGGGGTGTCTAACTCGGTGTTGCGATGTGTTTGACCCTAAATTAATTTTACACCGGAATATCCCTTTAAATCATGTGTCCCGTGTACAGAGGCTTCTGTACTGGAAGCAGCCAGGGTTCAAAGTTACCCCCCCGCTCTCTCCTCCCAGTGTCCTGTCCTGTCCTCTCAGTCAGACTTAAAGACCTTTAAAAACTGTAGTTTAAACATCAGAGGGAGGTCCGTCTCTGGTTTGACATCTACTGCTGTTACAGAGTTTATAAATGTGAGCCTCCCTTCACACAGGCAGCGTGTTATCAGAGTGTTTGTCCCGTCGTCAGGCTGTAGCTCTCCACACGCTCTGCAGGGACAGAGTGAGTGAATGAGGCCTGTGTGTGGTCACATCACAGAGCTGTTATTAAAGACGCTCACTCATTATTCACTCTGAAGGTCGGCTGCAGAATATCTCACTTATCTTTTCAACAATAAATTCCCTCTGAGCCTTTAAAAAGAAGAATCTTGTTTACAGCGTGTTTCAGTTGAGGTAGAATCTGCTGACTGACGTCATTTTAGGGGATTTAAAGGGTCTGACTGACTCTAATCTTTATGAACAGACTGGTCAAAGTCTGCAGGACAAATAAAGAGGAGCCCCAGTTTGACTTCAGTCAGTTTTTCCTGTAGGATCTCTGACAGGCTGCAGGACTGATAGAAAACCAGAAGGAAGCTCTGAGATGTGACTGAAAATCCTCAGGACAGATCTGCTCAGTGACAAGATTCAGGGAAACAGCAGGAAGAGACTTAACTTCTCATAAAACCAGCTGAAATACTCACCTGCTGAGGTTTGGACTGCTAAACTGACGGGACCACAGAGAGTCCAGTTTAGCGTCTACATCTTATGAATGCAAAAATCATGAAGAAGACCATGGCCACGAGACCATCAGTAACCCACAGCTCTAATCAAACCAATGAGCAAAACCCTTCTGAAACATGTTACCACAAATGTTAAACTTGTGAATGTAAAAGTGGATTTTTCTCTCTTTTTTAAACCCAAATATTGACCTTGTTTTATCATAGGCATGAACAATTTTATTGACTTTATATCAGTATTAGCAGATAACAGCAGAAACATAATTATTGTATCCCCAGGTATAAAAAGACTGTGTGTTGAATTTTTCAAACACGACTGTAAGGAGGTGTTTTTAATTGTGGTAAACAGACTGTATTTGAAAAGAATAAATTCATATTTTTAGTGAAATCAGATGTTTGTAAAATCAGTCTTGTTTTTATGTCTGTTTCTAAAACTAATTGACTGTCACAGTAAGAGGAACAGGTGAACTCTATTACAGGTATTGGGTATTGTTTCTGTAAATTAATAAATAAATGTAAATGTAATTCAACTAAATTATTCAATTATGTGGAATGTATGTTGATATTTGAACATCTGATTATTTCAGCACTATAACTACACTGTGGAAATGAATAAGGTCCAGTAATGTGTGTATGCTGTTTGTATTGTTCTAGTTTTGTTGTTTTGTTTTTGTCTTGTAGGCTGTTGTGAGTTGTTGTGGTTGTTGACGTTGTCTTTCTGTTTGTGGCGTGATGTTTTTTTGTGACTCTGCTCTGCGGTGGAGAGCTAATTGTAAATGTAGACTCCAGGAAGAACAGCGATGGCCTTAGCCAAAGCTATTGGAGATATTTATGATTATGTTTTTGTTCACATTTCTTCAGTAATCTGTTCATTCAGGTTGAGCAGGTTTGTTTCTCACAACATCAGTGTGTTACTGACCTCATGTATCGGCCATCAGCTGAGCTGCTCTCATTACACAGGGAACTACCGTCAAACCTGTGTGTGAGTGTGTGTTTGTGTGTTTGTGTGTCTGTGCATGTTACCTGGACACACTGCCTGCAGAAAAAGAGAGATAGAGAGTGTGTGTTTGTGTGTCAATCTGACTACATTAAACTCCACAGAGACCTTAAATGATCCATTCAACATGAGCGAACTTCAGGCCCAGTTTGAGTCTGCAGAGATTTGTGCGTGTGTGTGTGTGTGTGTGTGTGTGTGTTTGTGTGTGTGTGTGTGTGTGTACCTGTATTACAGGCAGTTAGCAGGGTGTGTGGGGTGTGTATTTTCAGGGATTATTGTAATAGAGGAGTGTGAGACAGTTCAGACAGAGTCAGGCTCACACATGCCTCCCTTTCTCTTCTCTCTCTCTCTCTCTCTCTCTCTCTCTCTCTCTCCCTCTCTCTCTCACACACACGCACACACATACACACATACAAAGGCTGTTATTAGCGGTGTGTTTTTCTCTGACTCATCAGTTCTCTTTGAGGACATTTCACACGTCATGATGATCATTAAAAATGGCCACCACCGTGCCAGCTCCTCTCACACACTTTCACACACACATACACACACACACACAGATCTTAAAGGAGGAATACACTCTGGTTGAACTAGTTTTCCCTCATCAGACACGGTTTAATCTAAAGTTTTCACACTGTGTGAACATGTACGTGTGTGTGTGTCAGTTGTGTGCTCACTGCCTGCTAAAACACAGGGATGTCAGGGTTAGAATATAACAGACACACAGGCAATACTTAGAACCAGCTATCCTCAGTTTGAACTCTGCAGACCTGTGAACCTGTGGGGGTGTGTGTCTGAGATTGAGGGTGTATGTGGTCTCTGAACGCTCATCATGTCACGTCTCTGACTTGGAAACATTTCGGTCGGTTTAGGTGGTTTAAGATTTGTACAGATATTTATCGCTGCAACAAAGTGGGACGAGGACCCACTGAGACTCTGCTTTCATGTCGTATTATGAGGCAGGGTAACCTCATCTGTGAAGCATCATTCACTTGGTTTCAGGAGCCAGAAAAAGGAGCTGCTGGACTGAAGCTGTTAGATTAGATCAGATCTTAAAAACAGTTTGTTTGAAAGGATGCTTGCTTAATCAGACATATGCAAATGTTATTTTGAAGAAACGTGTGATCAAAGGACAGCATCACATGAATTTTTTTAAGTACATTTTGACAGTTAAAGGTGGGGTCGGCAGGATCTGAGGAAGTTTCAGTCTTTGGGAGACATCTTGAATGTAAACACTTCCCCTACCAACCAGTTTTCCCCTCAGCTCCTTCTCTCCCCTCCCTCTCTGCTCCAGCAAGCCCCACCCACAAACAGACGCTCCTGCTCGCTCGTATCGTTCCAATTAAATTCAGATAAAATGCAGATAAATACTTCAGATAATTACAAATGAGGCCCAGTCAACATGAAAGTAAACAGCATTGGTGCTACTGTAGATGCCAACAGAATACCAGGAAACACAATGTTTGCAGGACTTCTACAACTAGGATAAAGTGACATAGTCCAGGACCTGAGCTAAACAGTTCAGCGGCGCTACAACACGCTACTTTGACAAGAAACACTTCTGTTACAGACACTTGGCTTACTTTGTTAGAGCGGTTTATCTGTACAGCAGAAAGGGTCCATAAGATCCCAATGTGACCCAATTGTTTATGCTTTATTGATGTTTTTATTTTATTGATATTGACCAGACTTTTTAGCTCTTGGCCGGTCTACCTCCTTTTCAAGCGCACGTTATTCTGCCAGTCTCTCCGGTATTTACTTAGTTTTCTTGCTTCTGTTGGCAGTCGAGGCAAAAGGAGGTTTCCGATAATTTTCCGTACTTTCTGGTTGCTTTCTACTGTCCGATATTGTAGCATGCTAATTTTGTTTGGGCTCGTGCACGTTATTCAAGGATGTGGATTATGCCTCACAACACGAGGGAGCAGCGTCCGCCTCACAACCAATCAGGATGGGGGAGGCGGAGATTGGCTTTGTTTACAGTCAGAAAGTGCGGGCCAAAAAACAAAACACAGCGATATCGCTTATATCACCAAATGTCATCAATGACTAATAGCTATTGACTGATATTAAAAGCTTTTTTGTAGATACACATCACTTCTTTAACGGATTCCTGCCTACCCCACCTTTAAATTGACTGCATCAGAAAGCTAACATGTTTCAGAGTCATTTTAAGCATTAATTTGGTGTAAAATTATTCTCATGGCAAATTTCTGCACATTAGATATGAGGAAGCACACCTGGTCACTACACAGAGAGCATGCAGGTTCAGACTGGAGCACAGCGTCTGCAAGCTGCAGATGGAGCTGCACTGTGCAGCAGTGCGCCTGTCGCTGTTCAGCTTGTTGTGATAAGAGTCGAGCCGGCTGCCACTTCAGTGTGCAACCAGTGGAAGAGAGAGAGGGAGAGTAAACGGGAGAGTGAGATGGAGAGAGACGAACAGACAGAGAGAGAGAGAGAGAAACTGAGCTGAGTTAGGGAGGACGGCTGCTGTCTGCAGGGCTCAAAGTAGGAGGAAGAGGAGGAGGAGGTCAGGATTAAAGTTGCTGCTCCTCTCTGTCTGCTCCTCCCTCCTCTCTCCTTCCTTCCTCTCCTTCTCTCCTCTCCTCTTCCCTCTCCTTCCTCTGTCTGTCTGGTCTCATTCCTTCCATACCAGACATAACTGCTGGCCAGCTGAGTGAGTCTGCAGCCTCTCGCTGTAAAGAACAACCAGAGTCAGCATTCAGTTGTATAACACATAATTACAACAAGTTGTGGAAACACACACACACACACAGACACGCACACGTGCTCACACACAGTGTGGTGAGGGGAGCAGAGAGGGGGCTGTGATAGTTTATTTTGAAGTCAAGTCTTTACTCTCTCCCAGTTTCAGCCTGAGACAGAAAACTTTGACTGTCTCTGTGTTCCGACCGTCCTCTCTGTCCGGTTTCAGATCTTTATGTGTTTGTCACTGTTTCTTGAAGGATCTGAACCTCCTGAGCGGCTGAGGAAAACCTGATTTTGAGGATGACTTCATTTATTTCATGTTTCAGTCGTTCTAATCACAGAATGTAATTTGATGAGTTTCCACCAGTGTTCTGGTTTGATCCTGTTCAGTCTGGTTCAGTTTGGTGAACCCTGATCATGCTCATGTTTCCTCAGCAGACCGAAGTCTACCCTCAAGCTTCAGCTTCAGAGCTGCACCCTTCAGCTGAGTTTTGTTCATAGTCTTGTTGAGAATTGGCACTTTATAAATAAAGATTGATTGATTGACTCTGTAAAGACTGTCAGCTCATTTTGAGACTGTGGTTGTAAAGTTGATGATCTGCTGTGCTGTTTCTCCTGCAGCTCTAAATGCAGCGCCGACACAGGGACAGTGAACTCTTGTCGTGTTTCTTAGTTCAGCATGTATCTCTCTGGTTTCACAGTATTGATGGTTTTGCGTTGGTTATTGAAGCAGCTGTTTTGCTCTCAGTGAAGTTTCCTGGTTCTTATTTGCAGCATATTTCTGCCATTGCTCTAGTTTGGGATTTTTGCGTGTGTTTCTGATTTTACCGTTTCTCTGAAAGATTGTTCGGACTGGTCTGCATCATCAGACTCTGTATTGATCCGCTGAGAGTCTTTTCTGTCTTCAGCTTGTGTTTTCTTTTTGCATATAAACTGAATTTAACTTTTGTGCCTGTATTTGAGAGGACAGTGCGGTGGACAGAGAAAGAAACAGGGAGAGAGACAAAGGAGCCACAGGCAGGAGTCAGACCTTCCTTCCCACTAAAAGCATAACCTCTCTCTCTCTTTCTCTCTCTCTCTGTCTATCTTCAGCTCTTGTCCCTCAACTCTGCAGACAGAAGTGTTCTGAGTGTTATCAGCTCACTCTGGCTACCTACACACACACACACACACACACACACACATACACACATCTATACACACACACAACAGTCTGGACATGTCCATGTGTGGTCATGGTTTCAGCTGAGTTTAGATGTTCCGATAGAGATGGGGTCTCAGCGTTAATGACCTATTTATAACACACACACACGCACACACACACACACACACACACACACACACACACACACACACACACACACACACTCTAAATGTGTGTCTGCATAGAGTATGTGTGTGTGTGTGTGTGTGTGTGTGTGTGTGTGTGTGTGTGTGTGTTACCTGAAAACCTGTCAGCCTGTTATCCTGGTCTACAGGGGGCAGTGTGATGGCTGCAGGAAGTGAGGTCACCTGTGCACAGAGTCCGAAATTAAGAACAAGATGTTAAAGTTATTTGAGATGAAACAAACTCATTAATACACAGAAAAACCCACCTGAAAGAGAGTGGGTCTGTCCTTACCCTCCAATGGTTAACAAGTCTGAAGATATTCCCTGAAGTGGGTCTAAAACTTGTTTTGCTTGTGTTCAGGCTGTTTTCAGCTGCAGGTGTGTACAGCTGCAGAGCAGTGTGTGTGTGTGTGTGTGTGTGTGTGTGTGTGTGTGTGTGTGTGTGTGCGTGCGTGTGTGCGTGCAGAGAGGATAAATCATACTGAGGTTCTCACAGAGCTCCTGGTGATTGATGGCAGGCTGAAAAGTCCCATAAATACAGATCATTAGAAGAGGAAACAGCTGACGGCTGGTTCATCTCTTTGTTCTGGGTGGAGACCTCAGGTGATGAAAAATGAAGTAAGCGCAGTTCCTCCGGTGTCCACCAGAGACTGAGTCCAAATGTGAAGGAAACGATGTGTATGAATTTGCAGGTTTTGGAATCAGGCTGAGTCTACAGAAACCAGAGGGTGAGGACTGTCTGTCTGTCTGTCTGTCTGTCTGTCTGTCTGTCAGGTTTCTGCCCTGAAGCTGAGGCCCCACCCCCTTTTGGATAAAAGCAGACCTTCCAAAATGAATTGAGAATAATGTCAGTTCAGGATACAAGAGTCACCTCAGCTCACAGTACATCAGCTGATCCAAACTTCAGACCATATCAGCTGACAGCTCAGCTGATTACCTTCCTCACACCCAACAGTCGGATAAGAAAATGTTTATCCCACCTACTCTTCCTGTTTCCTCTACAACCCTCCTCCACCCCAGCTCCTGTTGTTTGTGATTACATCAGTGTCTTTGCTGCTGCTCCCCCTGCCTCAACCTCAATTCCCCCTTTTTTTTTTTTAACAGTGTTTCTGAGTTTACCAGGGTCTAACACGGTTTAACTGAACTGCTGATTTCCTCACTGGTTTCACTGGTTTTTAACTATCAAGTCTGATTGCTGTAGAGAGGAGGAAAACTCTGCAGACTTTTAGCTCCCAGTGAAACCCTGATGAGAAATAACGCACTGAAAAATCTTCAGCTAAAAACAAACTGAGCTAATGTTAGCTGCAGCTCAGCTTGCAGCCCGTCTTGATGTCTGGTTGAGTACGTTGTTCAGAAGAGCAGCAGATATATCATCAGTTTAATGCGTCAGAAAGCTCATTAAAAGCCTGATCATGCCCACTGTCTCAGAATAAATCTGTCCTCTAAACTGTGAAATTAGCACCAGGTCAAACTGAAGTTATCCCTGGGTACACTGGACACTGCATCTATTCAGATCCAGCGTATTGGCCCCAAATAATGAGCAGGTTTTGGGTAAATCATAATGTGAAGAAAACAATAAAACTGCAGTGCCTCTTATTTTAGCTAAAGCGCATAAACATGGGCAGACTGGCTTTGTTCCATCTAAAGGGTCCAATGCAGTTTCTTTTTGGCCCCAGTACTGGCCATACTGGTAGCAGGAGAGCCAAGACTTGGTTTGCCCAGAGCTCGTAGGGGCCCCCAAAAGTGCGAACTCTGTCAAGCCTGTGGAATCTGTAGCTCAGGTTTGGTGGCTGGATAAATGCGGACAAAATGTGGTTCAGACTGTAGCGCCCCTGAAACTCCACAACCACTTTTGCAAATACATTATTATTGAAGGGGGGCATAGAGGCAGGTAACTTGAGTGGTGCCTAGGGGTCAAAGGTTGCAAATTGTATGATAAAGGCACTAATGGCTTGGTGGTTTTTGAACACCCCTTTTATAGAGAAACTGTACTCCTCATGGCAGTGATTGCTGGTTTGACTCCCAGCCATGACTCTTTGCTGCACATCTTTCCCCCCTCTCTACTCCCCATGTTTCCTGTCTCTGCAGCTGTCCTGTCAAGTACTGGGAGGTTAGGAGCACTGTGGAGCAGAACAGATTATATTTAATGTGTCTTATCTTAGAGACACAAGGTGGCATTTCTCTGATTTCTTGGGAAACTTTTTGTCTAACCAGTCTTACTTTTTTAAGACAAAAAGTCCCCAATATCGCAGGACTTTTAAAAGTCCGCAGAGTAATCATTGAAGTGTTCAGACTTATGTTTGTTGTTGTATAACGACTGATGATGGAGTGATGATGATGCTCCTGTTTGACCCTCCCTGTCCTACATCAGAGCATCAGCTTCACATGCAGAGCTGAGGACAAATATAAACTCTGAGCTCAGAGGACATTTTTACCGAGAGCTCTGAATATAACGCCTGAGCTGTTCCTTCATTAATGCTGTGTGATGTGAGTGTGTGAGGGTCACATGATGTGATCTACATCATGTGACCCTCATCAAAAGCTTCATAAGCTGTTTGAAAGAGCCTGAATTCACTGCATTTCTTCACTTTTTTACACATGTGATGTGTTTATTGCTCCATGAGACTGAGCATGCTCAGTAGCAGCTTTGGAGACAGACTGATCTGGAATGACCCCCTGCTGTGGGAGGAGAGGGTTGGGGGCTAAGACACTACCTTGTATACACACACGCAGCCGGAGCATGTGTTTCTGTGGGGGGTGAGGATTATCTGTACAGCCAGACAGACAGACGGACAGAGGATCATAACAGCCCTGACTGACCGTCCTCTGTGACCCCTCTTCTGAGACCATCCATGACCCCCCCTACAGAGACCTGGTTTGTCCCGAGTTGTCTGAGCTTTTCCTTACAGGCTCACTGAGTGGATCATTGTCTGGTTTCCTGCTCCTGTGAATCCAGTTCAGTCAGTGTTTCTGTGTTTCTGTCATTTTGACTTCAGGCTGTCTGTGTCTGTGCAGGAGTGAGCGCTCTGCTGTATGTGAGGATCTTTGTCTGTCGGTCAGCAGGAGGGGCGCTGAGTATCTGGACATAATCATGTACACAAACATCAGACTAGTCCATCATCAGTGTCGAGGTATTTAAGATGGGGGTTTCTTAGAGTGATTAATGGATCAGATAAGAGCAGAAACCCTTAATATTGAAACTTAGTAAAAGCCTGTGTTCTGTTCCTGTTCAGTTGGTCTGTCCTCCCTCCTAGAGCTCTGGAGTCTCTTTCCCTGATGCACACTCAAAAACTCTTTCCAGATCTCTGATTAGAGTCTCTGAAAACCTTCATTTTAGCCTCGACTGAAACCCTTAATTTAAGGTACTTTCTCTTTAAAGGACTTCAATAATGATTAGAACCAGCATTCTAAAAACCAGCATTCTAAAATCCAGCATTGCTGGAACCCAGCATAAAAAACAAATATTCTGGAACACAGCATTCCAGAACCCAGCAGAAAGAAACAAGTATTCCAGAACCCAGCAGAAAAAACAATTACTCCAGAACCCAGCATTATAAACTTTTATTCCGGAACCCAAAGTAAAAAAACAGTATTCCCGAAACTGCAGAAAGAGCAGGTACTTTGGAATCCAGCATTAAAAAAAAGCATTCCAGAACCCTGCATAAAAAAACGAGTATTCTGGAACCATCTTAAACTTTTATTTCAGAACCAAACATAAAGAACGAGTATTCTAGAATCCAGCATAAAAATCGAGTCTGAAACCCAGCATAAAAAAAAGGTTTTCTGGAACCCAGCATCAAAAAATGGGTATTCCAGAACCCAGCATAAAAAATGAGTATTCTGGAACCATCATAAAAAAGCAGAATTCTGGAACCCAGCATTCAAAAACCCTTTATTCTGGAACCTAGCATTAAAAACGAGTATTCTGGAACCCAGCATTTTAGAAACTTGCATAGCAGAACCCAAAACTATGGAACACACATTTAAGGACTCCGCATTTAAGAAAAAACCCTCCCATTCAAAACCTAGTATTCCAGATCTCAGTATCCAAGGACAAATGTCTCAGAACCCAGCAATCTGGAACCCAGCATTTCCTAACCCTGTGCTCTAGAACCCAGCATCCAGAAGCTAGCTCCAGACCCCATAGAAATTCACTTCAGATCATCTTGCCCTAGTTCCTCTCTATGCTGTGTGATTCTGTGTTCAGCGCTGATAAATAAGGGGTTAATTCTGTCTGTTTTCTGACTGCTGGAGCAGTGAGTCGGTCAGAACTGTTCCCCATGTGACACCCAGAGGTGGTGAACTTGGTCTATAAACCACATGAACACTCACAGCAACACAAAGTGTTGGAACGATGTTTGAGTGGCTCCAGTCCAGCTCTGATGATGTCATGTCAGGATGAGAGAGAGAGAGAGTGTGTGTGTGTGTGTGTGTGTGTGTGTGTGTGTGTGTGTGTGTGCGTGTACTACAGAGCAGTACTAATAAGACTCCTCTGTTTAGCTCAGACTTCCTGTTTCCTGAATGGTTGACCACATCGGAGTGTGTGAAGGAGCTATGACCTTTGACCTCTTTGTCTCGGATGAGGTCTGGGGGACAGCGTTTTATTTTGAAATATATCAGTCTCTGTTCCTGTTGCTGGTGTCTGGTTAGCCATGAATCCAGCACACATGGTTTTGTGGAGTTTGTTAAAGTACTGATGTCAGCTATGTCAGTCATGCTGTCCAGTGAAGCAGACATACCTGATCCTGAGCAGCATCTCCTCTCTGACTCTGGAGTTTCTGCAGACTGAGGCTTTATTGAGATATTACTGCAGATCTAATTTAGTGGTCAGTCTACTCTGAAGTATACTTTTTTATATTCTTTTATACATCGCAGGGTGAAAGCATCAGAGTATATTTCCATGCAGTACATTTGTAGGTTTATAAATGATGTATATGTATATCTTTGTAACTGTGAGTTTTTCATGGATTTCACCTGTTTTGGATGTCTGTATTTAGCATGGTCACTTCAGGACATCACTTATGTTGAAAAAACCCTTTAGCGGAGCTTTCTGGTGTGCAGACCTTTATGCGATTGTGTTGTTTTCAATTTGGGATCCAGCACCCAAATAAAGATGTGCATGTCTAATCAGATTTTTCTGCATAACACATTTTAAAAGAATAATGTTTATTTTCTTGTTTCAAATGGTCTTTGTTCCTGAAATTCTGAGTTATCTATCAGCATGAATTCACTTCTCCTCTGTCAATGTGTCCCTCCAGAGTCCGGAGTCATGAAGCTGAATCCACAACAGGCCCCTCTATATGTGAGTATAAACCATCAACATGCATTTTAACACATTGAAACACAGACTTTACCAGTTTAACCAGTATGACCAGACACAGCTTACAGAGCCTAATCTCCATATTATAAATGAAATAACTGACAAATCATGCTGCACTATAACATGACATCTGAGAGCAGCTCAACCTCAGCCCCTCTGTGATGAGCTCTGTTACCCATGTGTGCATTATGTGTGTGTGTGTTTGTGTGTGTGTGTGTGTGTGTGTGTGTGTGTGTGTGTGTGTGTGTGTGTGTGTGTGTGTTGTGTGTGTGTGTGTGTGTGTGTGTGTTTGAGGAAGTGAAATAGTGTGTCACAGCTGTAACAGAGGTGTGCACCAGTTTAAGACTTGCGATAAATCTTCTGTAGTGAGGGATGAAGTAAGAAACTCAGTGAGGGTTTGTTGTCTGTTGTTTGTGCAGATGTTGAAATTACCAGAACAGGAACTCAGCAGGGGGTTGACTCTCTTTCACAGTAAAAGCTCATGAAACATAAAATAAACTGTTTAAAAAATGTGATTTTAATCTGAAACCTTTTTATTCCACTGATGAGCAGGCAGACTCAAGCATAAAAGCATAGCGACATCACACAGTCCTGTGACTTTTGGCCAATCAGATAATGTTGTGGGCGGGTCAACAGTGAGGAGTGAAAACAGAGGCAGCAGAGCTGAAACAGCTGACTTCATAATCAATGACTTTATCAGTGATTGGACAAATTCACACTGATTTGATATCACATAACTGTTTTAAGTAAGACTGTTTTTAATGATGTTGTTGGTTAACTTATGTGTCTGTGTAATTAGATACTGTGTATGTGCCCGTCAGCAACAACAGCTGCTGCTCATTTCTTCTTTTTAGAGGAAACACAAAACAGGAGAAATAAGAGCAGAACATTTTCCTGTGAGGCTCATTGAACATGTTCCTGTGCTTAAAAATACTTGAGAGAAATGTACGCACAAATGGGTTACTGACCCAAAAACACACACAAACCACTCAGCTGATTCATCAATACCTCACTGAGAGACAGTCCAGACCTGATCAGACCTTAGGACTCCACCTGAGGGGTCTGATCAAACACAAACATGGTACTGAAGGACAGGGGTGGGTGTGTGCATGTGTGGATGTGTGTGTCACATGCTACACAGCTGTTCAAGTCAAATATGTAAACTGCAGCTTGAACATCACTCCCATGTAAACACAGAGTCTGACACAGGAGCTGCAGCTGCTTTATGACCGCTGTCAGTGTTTGATGAATCTGCAGGTTGTGTTATTGTGTTTTTTATGGGAGGTTAAAGGTCAGGAGCTGAACACAGATGACCTTAACATGTTCATCTTTGTGTTAGAAGCTGCCTGTGTGAACTCCTATGTATTCATTGCAACACTGATGTTTATGACTCCTGCAGATCAGAGATAGATTGATCAATGCCATTGTTCAGTAATCTGCGTCATTAAAGCTACTGTGAGGAATTTTCTGCACGTGCTAACTTTTGTGCCCCCTCTCAACAAAGTGATTTATTGTTGCTGGATCTGATTAATCTTTGTCTATATGCAGTTAGAGGACAAATAATTGCTGAGGAAAATGTAAGGACTGTTTCTTTAACGTATAACCCCCACACACATACAGACACAGCTGGGCAGGTATTTAAACCTACAGTTTATTAACGGTCAGGTAGGTCATAAACATCCTTATCTACTTTTACGTGTGATAAAGTCTGTTTGCACTGTTCATTCCACCTTGTTTCAAAAACTCCTCACAGGAGCTTTTGAACCATTTTCTATTGTTAGCATTAGCATGCCATGTGTTCAATGTATAATTAATATTCCTGATGCTCTCCTTAAGAACAACTCAACAACAGTCCAGGTGTGTGAGCTAGCGTGACTGTTTCCTCTTTCAGACGCAGCCGAGCATCTGCGTCTGTGTGTGTGTGTGTGTGTGTGCCGTATGAAAAAGTGTGTGTGATGTGAAACATTCCTGAGTGCTATTGTTAGCCCCTGTTTTGTGGGTGTGGCTGTTAACAGGCTTTTAACTGCGTGTTCAGCACAAGTGTGTGTGTTGTGTCATGTTTCAGTCTGTGTGTGTGTGTGTTTGTGTGTGTTTCAGGGGGTCTGTTAAACTCTGCAGGCTGGTTCATTTTAACCCCATCATGTCTGAGAGCTTGTTCATACAGACTGGGCCTTTGGGGACATAAACAGCAACAACAAAAAGAGTTTTCATATTTAGGAAAGAAAATAAAAGCTCATATTTCTAAAGTCAGACTTCAGTAAATCATGTCCACATTCATACTCAGTGCAGTGTCAACAGTTGAGTGTAAACAGTGCTGTGTTGTGTTGTGTGGTGCAGCTGTTTGACAGACTGTAGGTGGAGCAGCCTCTCTGCGGAGCTGCACACACAGACTGACACAGTGACACTAAAACTACAAAGAGCATCTGCAGGATGATGAGGACCCACTGGCATTAAGACTGGATAGAATATAAAAAAGATTTTTAAGAATTAGATAAGAATTTCAGTTAGATAAATGAGATTTTGATTTTCACTTGTGATCAAATGTAAACGGTAAAAGAATCTTGTCTGTTTTTTCGTCGGTGTTTTGGTCTAACAGCAGCATTAAAGTCAGTCTAAATCAGCCCACCAAACATCGGACGTTGAAAAGACGTGCAGATCAAGTCAGTATTGCAAAGTACAGTATAGTACAAGACGTCGAAATGACTTTAATTCTGCACCTGAAGGAGACGTGATTTAGAAAATCACGTTATATAGACGTCATTTTGACGTCGCATTGCGCAGTGGGAGTGCTTAGTGAAGGTGACGATGAACATGATGAAGAGAAAAGCTGCAGACTGAGTGAAGAAGTAATGAAAATGATGGAGTGTGAGGAGAGGAAGGCATCTGAATGATATTCATCACATCTAATTGAGTGTGCATGTGATATTCCTGTTATAACCTGTATCTTTGACTTCTTCAGTGGTTTTTAAAGGTAGCACCACCTGCTGTGTTTGAGTTCGGACACAAAGGATGAGAAACACTGTGTTGATGCCCTTTGTATGTTTGTGTGTGTGTGTGTGTGTGTGGTCTCAGGGGGAGTGCGTGCTCACCGTGCAGCTGGATGATGAAGAGGTGTGTCATACTGACAGAGAGGAGGAAGAGGAGGAGGCGGAATTTTACCTTTTATTCTCAGGATCCACTCAGAGACACCTGAGCAGCACCCTGAGAGTCAGCCAGGTCACGCTGCAGGCAGTGTGTCCAGGTAACACACACACACACACACACACACACACACACACACACACACACACACACACACACACACACACACACACACACACACACTCTCTTTCTCTGCTCTTTCATTTAGAAAGAGCCAGGTGTGCTTTGTTAGTCTCAGCTGTAAATACTGAAGTTGGAAAAGAGGAATGAGAGTTTAAAACACAGCTCAGAGCTGTGAGGCAGAGATACAGCTGAGATCAATCTGACATTATCTGATTAAACTTAGACATGTAGAAAAGTAAAAGAGGACAATTTTTTCAACATTCACAAACTTAACCTTTATGAGGGTTGTGACTCTGCGTAAGATGATAAACAGAATTTGACGGTCTGCAAATCCTTTAAGTTTATCTTCATGTAAATAAGATAAACTGAGAAACAACATATTACATTACATACATGTTGAAATCTCTGTTCATTATAAATTTGATGTTTCCAAAAAATTGCCCCAGCTTAAAGGGATATTCCGGCGTAAAATTAAGTTAGGGTCAAACACACCGTAACACCAAGTTAGACACCCCCTCGAGAGATGAATGTTGCCGAACACTTGCTTCTCTATCTGCAGGTTTTTACACCATCATCAATTCAGTCCCAGAGTGCTCCAGGTGATTCAAAGAAAACAGCACACCTCACCTGTGTCAGTGTGAGTGCACAGGTGTGGTCTCTGATGCTGCGACAGACACACAGTGAATTGAGGAGAGAGTGGTAGAGTTAGGGTGTAGACCTTAGAGGGCGAATGACTCACTCTATGTGTGTGTGTGTGTGTGTGTGTGTAAGGAGCCGTAATTACAGTAATTACAGCTTAGGACAAAGTAGTGGGTAGAGTTTTGTCCCACGTTGATGCTGCGTGGCTCCTCAGCAGCAGGCACGTATTCACATTAATACACACCAATTCTCTCACGGCTCATATGAAGCCAGTTTGCCTAGCTTAGCATGAAGTCCAGAAACAGTTTGCTCTACACTCCCTTGTCCATCAGTAAAAGTTGGTTGATGTACGTCAAGTATTTACGCTGATGGAGGGCACAACCTGAATCAGACACACCTCAGTATTTTAGTAGTTATGGGTCTGACTATTTCCTGGAGCGGTATCTCTTTGTGTTGAGCTCTGGTTATCTGATACAGCAGTGAGTTCTCCCAGAGAGTGGTGAGGAATAATTTAAAAACAAAACTTCAGTCATTGTTGGAGGTGTTGGACATGCAGAGGCTGGGAAGAAGAACGCAGATGACTTCTTCTCTGTAAGGCATTGCTTTACAGCGAGACAAACAGCTGCAGACTAAAAGACAAATAAAATGCAAGAATATATTTCTACATAAGACTGTCGATTCAAATTTGAGCTCTTTTAGTTGAAAAGCTTTGACACACAGATATAGTTCAGAATGAGTTCATTTCTCTTTTCCTAAGAATGATCAACCATGTTTCAGATCCACTAATCAGAAAAATAAGGAAGTGATTATAAACATTTATGACAGCATAATTTAAAAGTTTTACAGCTGGGAATTTAATGTCTTCCTAACAACAGAGTCTTTTGAGTATTGGGTTTCATTGCACAGAAGTCCAAAAACTTTATCCAGTTATAAAGATTCATTAAAAAAACTCATTCAGTGAATCATGAGAAGTTATAGTTTCTGTCACATACAAACTAAAGACGGTTGTATTTCTTACATTATATTACAGCATGACTCTGGCCTCTATTTGAGCCGACTAAATGAATAAACATCTTTTTTTTTCAGTCATAATAATAATCTCTGCTTTATCTGGTTAACATTAAATTTCTAAACTGAGATGCATTTATTAAAGGACCCTCTCAGTCTGAAGGAGGAACTTCAGCTAATAAAGAGCTGGTCTAACAGAAACGCTTCAGTCTGACCTGATCTGTTATACTCAAACTGTGTTTGTGTTTGTGTGTGTGTGTGTGTATTTTTGTATGTGTGCAGCCCATAATGTGTGTGAGCAGGTCTTGGTGACATTATGTGTGGCTCGGCCCGGTGAACCAGTGGACGCTCACTCTCAGGAGACCTTCAGCTTCGTACAGGTAAAACTTTCTGTTGACCAATCACAAAGGAGAGCATTAATACTCTGAAGATTAGGCCAGTGCTGATGGGTCTCTGCGTGTGTATTTGTGTGTAGGACCTGGCTCTGGACATGGCTCACTTCCTCCTCCACAGCACAGATCCAGAAGAAGCTCTGCTACTTGAGGATCAGCAGGTGAGTCAGGTTAAACACAGCTCAGGTGTTTACCAGATGAGATTACAGTCAGTGTCTACATACTACTTCAAGCTCTATTTCAGGCTCTGCTTCACATGGAGGGGAAAAGACAATGAATCTTTGAAAACTCTAGCATTAAAAATCGTCCCTTCTCCTTTAATTAAAACACGCTGAGTACCACCTTTTTGCTAATGTGACAAATACACACAGAGCATCTCCAGGACAAATCCACTCATACTCTTGATTTTAGCAGTTGAGATTATGCTGGACACCTCACCTTATAAAAACTTTATACTAGACCAAAGTAAAGTCTTATTAGACTACTAATTTTATGAAATCCATAATGAAGACGAATAGACTCATAATTCTACTGTTAGAACAAGGTCATTGGAAGAAGCTGTCTTATCTTTTCAAGGCTGATTCAACTGATGTGATCTGTGTGTGTATTATGTGTTTCAGATCCCTCTGAAGGAGTGTGTGAAGCTGGATCAGAGTCTGGCCCTTGCCCTTAAACACCTGAGCCCACCCACCCTCAGGATGGCGTCAGGAAGAGGCCCCTCCCACTCAGATTCAGACATGGATGTACACACGAGGATAGGAGAGACGCTGTCACACAAAGACACAGAGACACCTGAGCACACACAGAGATACAGGAACACAGGTGAGTCACAACGCATCATCTGCCACTGACCCCGACTCCTCTGTGATCCTCCTTGACCCTGAGGTAACCCTAGCAATATGGGTCCAATTTAAAAAACAGAATCTGTACTAAAAGTGCACTAACATAAAAAAATCTGAAGTACTGCGCACCAAAACTCACTTGGATAGATGGTCAGTGCAGCTCACAAATGAAAAAGCTTAAATGAGCTCAAGATCCGAGGCCCCTACAGTGACCAGGAGAAAACTGTTACTGAGGCAAACATGGAGGACCACTAATTGTTTTCTTCACAGTGAGTGGCTCTAAATGAAAAAAAATCAGCTCAAGATGACATGCTGCTGCAGCATCCACAGTGTCAGTGCAAACATTGTCGATCATTACACTGTGGCAGAAGAAGAAGACTGACACTGTGTTCTTAGACGCCTGTAAGGGTCTCTTTGGATGATGAAGTTCAGACACTCAGTTTTTCTGCTCTGAGCTGCAGAGGAATGTGAAGCTGAGACCAGGCTGGTGAGATTTTCATTAGACTTTGAGGAACTCTTCCATGATGTATTGGACAAAGCTCCCATCAGGAGTTTCCTCTGCCTCTGCAGTGTTTGTACCCGCAGTCCCGTGTTTTTATAGATCACAAACTTTTATTGCATACACAGTATTTCTAAATGTGACTGTTTTGTTTTACCTTTTTCCTGTCTGATTTCTGCACATTGTAACACAGAACTTTTTGATGTAACACTCTGACTGCAGAGCCTTTTTTCAGGGTTCGTTTTTGGTCAATATATCAGTGAAGATGTATTTTCTCTGAATAAGCGTCACCCTCTTTATCGTCCTCGTTTTTCACTCACTGAGCTGTGTGTGAAAATCACTTAATCAGACTTTCTGCTGCTTAGAAGACATCCACGTTTCCAGAACATAACACGGGCCTACTGTCACAGGTTAATATCTTATAAGTCAGCTGTTTAACACTCTGCTTTTTGTGATGTTAAATCACAGTAAGTCTCACTGTGAAGATCTGAAGATGAAAACAATTGAAGACGGTGAACCTGACATGCTGTGAAATGTGTAGAAGCGTGTTGTTGTTGCAGTGTGTAGAGGCTTTAGGTTGTTACAGTGAATTAATTCAGTGCATGTACACAGATTTTAGGAGAGCTTGGTACAATGGATCTGGATTTATCGGGTAAATAAGACATTGACGGTGTCTACACCCCCCTCTGGAGGAGGACAGACACAGACAGAGGAAGATTTGCTGCCTCTTTATTCCATCTACAGCAGTGAGACTAAAGAAAACTCACTGTGCTGTTCTCATACAGTCAGCTGTTTGACAAATACTAGACACTTTAAGGTGGACTCTTTCCTCTCCTGTTACTCCCTGCATCACTTACCGCCTCAAATATCTGACTGTGGAGTTTGTTTGATTGTGTCTCCTGCTTTAGTGATGATCAGTTCATAAATGGTGGATTTTAATGACTTCAAACAGACTGATATTTCAGTGTGCTGCAGGGTTTGTCATGATACCAATAAAACCCATGCATCCATGCAAAAACATAAAGAACTTATTCATGTGTTCATTTGTAACAGAGTTCAAATGACTCTGTAGAATATATGATGTTGACCTCTTTATATGAACTAATGAATAATTCTGATTTATTGAGCTGCAGCTGTAGGAGTGTCTCTGTCCAGCAGGGGTCTCTGTTCTATTTCTTATCCTCTGACCCCCCTGTGTGTCTCATTCCCCCCACCAGCTGACACGCGGGTCCAGCAGCTCTGCAGTCTGCTTAACTTGGCAGCCCGTCACGGTCTGCCGGCGGTGGCATCCTTCGTCTTGCAGCAGCCAGGAGGTCCAGAGGCGCTGAGGAGGACCAACGCTCAAGGAGAGACGGCCACTCAAGAGGCGGAGAGACGAGGACACAAGAAGCTGCTGGAGCTTTTTAAAAGGTGAGTACAGGACAGAGAGTTTGATTTAGACAGTGAGTCTGTCTGCTGGAGAGGAGCTTATTTTCTGAAGTCAGGTTCTCTGTTGTGAACCTCACTGAGAGACATGAAACCAGGAATTTGGGACCAGAGGATCAATACTGAAGAGGATAATTTGCAGACATGATCAATAATACAGATAATCAAAAACAAAGAGATTCAAAAACAGAGAATCAAAAACACAAAGGATCAATAACACAGAGGATCTATAACAGAGAGAATCAATAACACTGAGATTTTTAAGTGAGTCCATTCTTTAAACACAAACTATAAGAGAACTTTGCTAGTAAAATCAAACCAGTCATATTAAAGGGATATTTCACAGTTTTTAAGTGGGTTAAAAAGTCACTGTGGATGTCACAATGGAGAACCTGCACACAAGTTAGGGTAGTGTATTCTGCAGACAGGCCGACTGACAGAGAGTCTGACCCAAACACTTGACTCAGTTTCAGTTTACCCTCTACTGAGACAGTTCCTCCTCCATGTGGTTTTCTGACTAAACTCCGGAATGTTGAAGGAAGTGGATAACAGACAGTGTTCAGTCTTCAGTATAGCAGTGGATTCTGGGTGGTTGGTGATGGTCTCAGACTGCAGCTTGATTTGGATTCTCAAAGATCCAGAGTGGTTATTGGTACCAGGTCTCCCTCCTCACAGACAGGAGTTTTCTCTGTTTGGTAACCTCTCCTGCCCTCCAGTTTGCTCAGAAGTTTCTCCACTTTCTCCTTCTGTACTTCAGGTTGTCTTTTTCCTACAGTCTCAATGGCAGTCCATAGTCAGGATGGATTCTGAATATATGCAAAACTATGAGATTAGTGATTGTAAATAAGGACGTTTTATTTATGCAGAACTTTTAGCAGTGATAGTAGGAATAAAAAGATGAAAATTTGAGACACATATGAATAAACAGAGAGAAAACAACAACATACTCACATAGCAGAAAAAAATCATCTAAAGGGTGAAAAGAATAAAAATACGGCCAAACAGTGTGTAGACTAACAGATAAACAGGTCACGAAGACCTCCAGCAGGTTGTTGAACACAGTCAGTACAGCATGTGCAGAATGTGAGGATGAAGATGAAGATCAGGTCTGCAGTGTTCAGTGTTACTGCACAGCAACAGTTGACTGGTTTATGTGAGATTCTTTGCACTGTTAGAAATTTATAAATGAGGGTGACCATATTCTGACTTCCCGAAAAGAGGACACGACTATGTGGGGGCGGAGTCACACAGTCGCACAAAGTTAATTGTTGAGGGTTTTTCGGGTCGGATCGAGTGTCTTTTACGCGCTTCTAACTCAGTAAGTCCACATGACACAAAATCATCATCTTATGTACAAAATTCTGGATATTTGAAGGATTTTATAAACTTCCCTGGATAAACCTGGACAGCCCCCCCAAAAAAGAGGACATCACCCTAATATAAACATTACACACCTGTGGAAATATCAGTGAGTTAGTTTGTGGTTTTGAATGATGATAATAATGCGGTATCTCCACATGTGAGAGTCGCAGCATGGAGCTTTAATCAATGAAGTTTCTCCTGTAATAATAAACAGTGTCAGGGAGTGAGTCAGGATCTGAGAGTATAAGGGCCCGATAATCCACTCCCACTCAGGACTGAACATGTTAACACAGTGGGTAAGTGTGGAGGGACAGTTGTGGAAAGGCCTGTAACCCCTCCCTTTCCTCTGTCCCATACTGATGATGTCACAGTATCTGAGTCAGTGGGTCAGGCCCCGCCCCCTGTGAGGAGGAGACAGGAAGAAGAAAAAGGGTGGAGGAGTCTGAGAACAATGGAGCACAGTACACAACTGACGGAGATAAACACAGACTGTGTGTGTGTGTGTGAGTGAGTGTGTGTGTGTGTGTGTGTGTGTGTGTGTGTGTGTGTGTGTGTGCGTGTGTGTGGTAATAAAGTCTGCATACTGATTTAAGTGTCACAGAGGACCCTTTTGTTTGGATCTCTGTCATCATGTTTCTCTGTTTCAATCTGTGCAATTTTTTAATGCAAACTTTATTTAAACAGATAATCTGACTTAGACACAGACAGACACTCATACACAAACACAGACATAGACTTAGACACATACACAAACTCAGGCCCTGTCCACACAGAGAATAAAAAAACAATATATTGCCGTTTCATTTTGAAAAAGTTTTTCTGTAAAGACAGAGAAGCTGCTCTGAGATCTAAAAGAATTAAAATCGAGTCCTCCCCTCTATCTGCTGCTGAAAGGTCATCGGTCACATGGAAGAGGGCGGTCACAGTGCTGCGACCCGCTCTAAAACCAGACTAATAATGTCAACATGATATAAATAAACATGTACAGATTTATTATTTCAGGGTTATTCGAAGGAGAAATTATCCTCCGATACAGAGAAAGAGACAAAGGTGAAATTTACTGTAAATAAAGATATAATAAACCATTTAAATTGATGCAAACATCACTGGCACACAAGAGCAGTAAATCTTTTTTGCCTTTACCCTCACTCTGAATAAAATATGAACTTGATTTGAAAGAAAGGTTTGACTCCAATAAAAGCCTGCTTCATTTAAAGACCTGGTACCTGAGGCAGTAAAAATCAATGAAAGACCTGGCTTTAATTAGAGGATTAATTAGAGATGATTGATGAGAACCAGCAAATCCAGCAAATCTCAAATTGAGAGTTCTGTATGGGACTATCATTCACAGAATATCTCCCTGGGACAGATCGAATCACCAAACACAAGGGAGCCTCCTCTCTCGGTTTTCACCTCGTGAGATGTGCCTTTATTTTGCTGTCATCCCCGATGTAGGACTCAGAGTGACAGATATTAATTCAGAGAGACACTCTCAGTGTGAATCATGGAAGTAGACTGCTTAATGCTCACAGTATGAAGACAAACCGGTTTACACACACCACTCTGTGTGTGTGTGTGTGAGTGTGTGTGTGTGAGGACAGGCTCAGGTCGAACAGTCGGGTGTTCTCTGAGTGATTGACAGGTCAGGTGATCCCAGCAGTGGGTGGGGCTCCACATTCTGGCTGGTTGGTGTCATGAGTGTGTTGCAGAGGCTGGCCGTGTGTGTTTCGGTTTCTCTCAGCGTGTTCCTCTGGGAGTTTCAGTGATTTCTGGTAGAAGGGGGACAGACTTAACGTCAGTTTCTCTAGTTCGGCTCCTTCTGTGTTGCCCTGTGAGGGTTTGGGATCGTTCCTCCGTCCTGTGGCTCAGGTAGCAGACAGGTAAGGATCGGAGGGGAAGCATTCCTGAAGGGTTACATATCTCCAAAAGTCTGAGACGTTTTACCTCCAGAGGACAGGTCCTGAATTGTCTGAGAGGGATCGAAGGTGATTTTTTTATTCTTTATCATTTCCAGGTATGACTTGTCCTCACCTGTTGATGCAGAACTGCAGCAGCAGCAGCAGCAGCTGGTTTACCCAGAGGACCGAGTGTTTCGGCACCATGCTGACCTGGGTACCTACACCTTAACGCTCCATCAGAGGGAGGAGGGAGCAGAGCCTGGGAGCAGGGAGCGCCTTCAGGAGGAGGTGGAGGAGCTGAGGAGGCTGATTCATCGTCGCAGGGAAAACAAGGTGAGTTGTCAGAGTTTTCTAAACTTCATTCATCTGCGAGGCGGCTCTGTTTCTCTTTCTGTTTCTGGGATAATATCCTTTATTTGGGATTAGGGTCTAAAGCAGTCTCAGAGACCGTTTACTCAAAGTCTAGACAGAGAGAGTGAGTGATATCCAGGTGTTTTATCTAATCAGGACAGAGCAGACTGATCAGCCCGACATTAAGATGCTGGACACAATAATTTACCTCCACAGTCCCGAGGCAGATACTCAGAGACACACAAGACTGACTTTATAATGATAAAACAGCAAACAGGACAGACAGCACACAGTACGAAACAGAAAGATTAGATCCACCTCAAACAGGGTCAGGTATTACAGTGGGATATACACTTAGTTATGGAGATATTTACCCCTAACCGCAGCCAGTGAGTCAAAAAGTTCATTTTAGACCCTGATCACAAATAACAGATCAGTGTAGAGTAAGCTGGTTAAATGTAAGATGACCCCAAAACTCAGACCTGAATCCAATGTCCTGGAAACTCTTCTGACATCTCAGTGGTGGACATGATAGAGTTTTCTTCCTTAAAGAGATGAAGTTTAAGCTGCTATCTTTTGACTGTGACTGTGGTCTCATTTTAGTGAGTTTATGGTGAGTTATTGTAAGTTTATATTGAATTTATAGTGAATTATATTGAGTTTATAGTGAGTTTGAGTGAGTTTTAGTGTGTTATTGTGAGTTTCAATGAGTTATAGTGAGTTATTATAAGTTTATATTGAGTTTATAGTGATTTATATTGAGCTTATAGTGAGTTTATCATGAGTTTTAGTGTGTTATTGTGAGTTTTAATGAGTTATAGTGAGTAATTGTGAGTTTATAGTGAGTTTTCAGTCTGAGTGTTACACACAGCCCTCACAAAGTGTCACTCAACGTTCATAGAGCTCTCTGCTGGTTGTGTAAACTGTGATAAATATGACAAACATCTTTTTCCTGTGTTTTGCATTTGCTCTACAGAACAGTACAACACTCTCACTTTCACACCTGCTCTTTGTGGCACACCTGTGCAGGTGTTCTGAGTGCGGCAGTCTGATTGACAGTTTTATGAGTGCGTGTCTGTCCCTGGGGCACTGCGTGTGTTGATATTTTCTCAATGTGAATCTCTCTTCCTTCTTGCAGGAGAGCTCGGGTGCAGCCTCACCCTCCTCCCCCCCTGCCTGTGGGTTGCAGGCGTGCTTTAACGGTCAACAGGGGAGCAGGCAGGATGCAGTAACCATAGAAACCTGCACCACAACAACACAGGGTACTCCTCTAACATTGGAGGAGGCGACAGAGAGGGAGGAGCCTGCTGCTGTCAGTCAGACATCCTGTGGCGCTGGAAGTGCTCGTCAGAACCAGGAAGCTGAAGGAGAAGTGAAGGAATCTCCAGCTGCCGGGCGCAGCAGAAAAAGCCGAAAGAAAGCTGCAAGAAGTAAAAAACTGAGTCCAGAGGACAGAAATGGGACCGAGCAGAGAATTGCAAAGACATCAACGAGTGATGAACCAGTTTCACCCACTGGATCTACAGGGACGTCTGTGATCAGTCAAAGTGGACTCAGTAAAACTGCAGAAAAGACTTCATCACCCAGAGAGCCTGAGACCACGACCATCACAGAAAAACAGGAAGCAGAGAAGAAGAGGGAAGTGGACCTGCTCGTGAGTAAGGGAGCTGCTGAGAGACAATCAGAGACACAGACAGAAGAGAGACACGCCGAGGGACAGACAGAGACACAACCTGGACCCGTCACAGACCTGAGACCAGCTGCAGAGAGCACAGGTGAGGTTCGATCAGGACCGGCGGGATCTGTTATGATGCTGCTCTTCTGAAAAAGTTCTTTCTTTGTCAGTGTGTGTGACAAACTTTTGACACAGACGATCTTTCTAGAAACCCTGACACTGGGCTTAGAGATGATGATGTGGGTGGATGATCAGCTGTTTCACCTGAAGGGAAAACTGGAGCAGGAGAAAAGGTCGTAGATTAAAACACAGTATCAGGAAGAGTTAGAAAGAGTTCCCTCTGCTCCTGCTCTGTTCATAATGTCGACACAAAGTCACACGAATATTCAAAGTCAAGTAAGTCGTCTTCAGAGTCACTCTCACTTTTATCAACAGAGAAGAATCAGCTCCATAAAATCTCTGGGAAAGTAAACTGGTGTTAGACTGGACAGCAGACATAAAATCACGTTGTGAGTGGAAAAACAGCAGAGACAAAGAAACTCAAATGTGAAGCAGCTTCGCCTGAGTGAAGAGCTGGAAACGAGTTCAAATACACATTTATGAAATGTTAGTAACTTTGTGATTTGCACACTATAAAAGTCTTAAGGAGTAAAAAAACTAAACCAGATTTCAGTCAGAAATCAGCATTAATCTGTGCCCATGAATATCCAGCAGTCATCCTAGAGCAAGGTATGGATGTGTGCTTCCTGTGGACCGCTGAGCATGTCACAGAGAGAGGATCGTCTCAGAAGTGTAGGCGTCAGTCGTTTTGGGTGAAGAGGGTTTAAAAGAAAAAAGTTTCAGAGCAGGTCTCTGTAACAGTCTGAGTCCCTGTGTGGACTTGTTGCTCCTTTTGTGTGCGGTGGGTCAGCAGAGTCATAAACCACGGCTCAGGGAGTGACCCCTGACTCCTGTGGACAGATTAGACCTCTACATAAGAGCCCCCAGGTGCCAGGTGAAGAAAAAAAACAATTAGCCGTGTGCAAAGGATAGTGAGTATAGATTACACACACATTATATCTGCACGGCTTCACACACGTGCAGTCAGATGTGAACAGTCTGAATTCATATTGATGAGACTGCTGTCTCACATTAAAGCAGTATACTCTGCACACATACACACACACACGAGACTCCATGTCTTCTGTGTTATTTTAAGTCAAAGTAAATAGAAGCAGCTAAACTAATCAGAGCAGGACCTTTCTTTGACTCCCTTCGACTGTGTGACCCATAAACTGTATAAAGACCGATGATGTTGTTCAGCTCTAGTTGTACTAAAATCAAGGAATCAGTTTTTTAACCACATGTGAATGTACTGAGGGAGTTCTTGGCCAGGGAAGCTGCAGGTTTGATGGTCATAGCTTTAGATTCATTCTCAGTGTCTGTGTGCTCTCATCCTCATGCTGCTTAATTCTATCCACATACACACTGAGCTGGATTGAGAGGAGAGTCTTCAGCCTTTAGGAGATTGATGAACTCTATCGTCTCAGGTGAAAACAACACAATGCAGTATGTAACAGCATAGAGGGCGAGCACAGACTGATTTAACTTCTGATTTAAGTAATATTCATGTGAAAGACTCCATGTGCGGATCTGCTGTTTTTAGGTCATCAGAGGTTAAACTGTTGTCTTAACCACTGAAGTGTTTGAGTATGAGGATGCTTTGAAGTACCCACATCTCTCAGCTGTGGTTTTAGTTTAGTTTGCAGCTTTTTAAGGGTTGACTCTGCGGTATCTTGTACCATCTGTTGTGCTTAGTAATAATAATAAATAATAATAAATTTTATTTGAAGCGACTTTCACGTCACTCAAGGACACTTTACAGAACATATAAAACAATAATAACAAAACACTATTAACAATTAAAATCATCATTAATCAAACAGTTAAAATCAACAAAGCAACATAAACAACAGCAAAGGAATAAATAAATAAATAAATGATACCAATTAAAATTAAATGAAAAGAGTGAGTTAGGGGTGGTGGGATGGATAGGCCAGTTTAAACAGGTGTGTCTTGAGTTTGGACTTGAAGAGGGGGAGGGAGTCTATGTTGCGGATGTGTGATGGTAGAGAGTTCCAGAGTCGGGCTTTCAGTCGCTCTGCCCCCCATGGTGCTGAGGTGAACAGGGGGCACAGTGAGGTGGAGAGAGGAAGAGGATCGGAGGCGGCGTGATGGAGTGGCGATGTGGAGGAGGTCAGACAGGTAAGGAGGGGCGAGGTTGTGGATGGCTTTAAAGGTATACAGGAGGATTTTGAACTGGATTCTTAGTGGGACCGGGAGCCAGTGGAGCTGCTGCAGGATGGGGGTGACGTGTCACTGTGTTTAAATTAAGTCAGCCTAAAGTTGTGTCACAGTTTGCACAGTTGTTTAGTCGTGTTTGTTATTAACAGATAGTTGATTTATTGAAGTTTATTTTGTGACTCTAACCTCCGTTCTGTCTCCCTCAGTTACCATGGGTCAGGAACAGTCTCAGGACCCCCAGGCGACCCCATCAAACCCAGAGGGGTCACCCTCGACTGAAACCATGAAGCCAAGTCCTCAGTCTGACTCCAGGACCAGCCCCAAGTCTCCTGATTCTGAGAGGAAACCACGCAGAGTGCTGTGGAGGGACGGAGGCTGGATCGGGAGCAGAATGGGTTCACCTCTGAACGCCCAAGAAGAAGAAACAAAGTCGGTGTGGTATCAGGGCGAGGATCTGGAGCAGGGAGTTGGCGACAGCAGTGAGAGCAAAGACCTAAACTCTCAGACAGTTTGGTACGACTGTGACTCCAATGATCAGAGGGAAGAGGAACAGCTGGAGCAGAGAGGAGCGAAAGAGAAAAAAGAAGGAGATCTGAGCTCAGCACAGCTGTTAGAGCAGGATCACTCCTCTCATCCGCCGTCTGCAGGTCTTACTCAGCCACATGCTGCTGGCTCAAGGCCAGCTCCGTCACATGGGCAGGCTGCACAAAGACGGGAAGTACACGCATCACAGAGAGAGGAGGAAGTAGAGCAGGAGAGCAAGGAGGAGGGCAGGAGCAGAAAGAGCTCCGAGACGGCGGCAGACAACGAGGAGACAGAGGCAAAGAACAGAAAGAAGAAGAAGAAGAAGAGAGGGAAGAAAGGGAGTACAGAGGCCAAACTCAGCTCCAGCTCCAGCATCGAGTCCCAGAGTCAGACCGAGATCCAGACAGAAGCAGAGACTAGCCTGAACCCAAAGGATAAGGACCAGACAGGAAGGGCAGACACCCAGAGAGAGCCAACACAGAGAGAGGAAGCGGAGCAGGACGCCATGACTCTGCCCAGCCAGACCCGGACCCAGACCCAAAGCCGGACCACGGACTCCAACAGACCTGAATGTGACTTCCCTAACTCTGATCCTGGTTTTACTCCTCCAGAGATCAGTCTGACAGACAACAGGAGGACAGATATGTCTGTGGAGACAGGTCTATCTGAAGGGACAGGTCTGCCTGCTGGTTCATCTCCAGTGATGGCAGAGACAAAGGAGGAGCGGGCAGACTGTCATGGACCTGATACCTTAACCTCTGACTCCTGTGATGCTGTGGAAAAAACACCTTTAGAGGGAATTGAACGAGTGCACCCTGCAGCAGAGGAGGTGTGTGACTGTACAGAGCTGAAGTTAAAGGACAAAGCAGAAGCAGAGGACGGAGCAGAGGTCAAAGCTTCTTCAGAGAGCGAGGATCCGTCAGTCAGCGGTGAGCAGACAGCTTTGTTGGAATGTATCCGTCCTGGATCCACAGAGGACTCGTTTCATGAGGAATTTCCTGAACAAAAAACACATCTTACTGTGTCTGTGGACTCAAACAAACCGGGACAATCTGTGGATCCCGGGGGGAGTCCTGCAGGATTTATGGGACTGGAGAGTCCTGCAAAGGCAGGGGGTCTGCCATGTTGTGGTACAGCGGATGTGTTGCCAACTCTTAGGAGGGAAGGAAGGGCCGAGACAGCTGGGAGGGAATATTTAGAGCATTGTTTGGCCTCTGAGATGATGAGCGATCAGCTCCAGGAGGAGGAAGGGAAGACTGAGCTGCGTGAAGGCGATGAGGAAGAGGGAAAGGAGAGGAGGGAGGAGGGGAAAGAGAATGGGATGGTGCATGAAGAGAAAGAGTCTTTGCAGCAGAAGTTCAGTAAAGAGCTCGCAGCAGCAGCTGTGGCTGTCGTAACAGTGGCTGTAGCATCAGCTATAGCTAGCATAGAGCTGAGCCAACAGTCAGAGAAAGAACAGTCTGCAAGAAGAGAAATATCAGCACAGGATGCTGGTGATACTTTAAAGCAGCCACAGGAGTATTTACTCAGCACAGATCAGAGACCACAGCTGCCTGCACAGCTGAGCAGCTCGGAGCAGGGTCAGGTGTTCACAGAAGCTAGAGCTGAGGTAGGAAACCAGCAAGAAAAGCAGACAGAGCAGATACTTTCAGAGCAGACAGAGCAGACACAAACAGAGCAGAAAGAGAAGTCAGACACAGAGCAGAAGGAGCAGACAGAGCAGATGAAGCAGACACATACAGAGCAGATGGAGAAGACACAACAGACATGCATGGAGCAGATGAAGCAGACAGAGCAGACACAAACAGAGCTGATGGAGCAGACAGAGCAGACACACACAGAGCAGACAGAGAAGACACAAACAGAGCAGATGGAGAAGACAGAGCAGACACATCAGACATGCCCGGAGCAGATGAAGCAGACAGAGTGGACACAAACAGAGCAGACAAGAACAGAGCAGATGAAGCAGACAGAGCAGACACATACAGAGCAGACGGAGCAGACATGCATCGAGCAGACACACACAGAGCAGTCAGAGAAGAAAGACACAACAGAGCAGAAAGAGCAGACACAACAGACACATACAGAGCAAAAAGAGCAGACACAGCAGACACACACAGAGCAGACACAGGGGACTGAGCAGACACAGCACCAAGCTGAGACTCAAATATTAGAGAAATTGTCCTGTGACTCAGAGGCAGAAGAGCAGAGAGCAGTCCAGACAGAACCTTTGAGAGAAGACAGACCCACACAAGGGACAGATGGCAGACCTGTAGCAGCAGTTAGCACACTACCAGCTGATCAGAAACCTCTATCCGAGTCTGAGGATGAGGCAAAGACAGACCTGCAGCTGCAGATAGCGAGCCCACCCCCTTCCCCTGTCTCAGACACAGGACAACCAGAGGACTCACACCTATCCTGTCTTGATTCTGGGGACAGCAGAGACCTCAGAAGTCAGCCAGTCCATCAAAGAGAGGGGGAGAAACAGGCAGAGAGTGAGCCCACTCAGACGGATGATAGACATGGGGTTATTCCTGCAGGAGAGCAGGTGTGTGAGCAGGAAGGAGACAGGGGGGCAAACATGTCCTCAGACATGTCATGGGGGAAGGATAGTAAACATCAGCTGGATGCACAGGTTCAGACTGCAGGTGAAGTAGGGAGTCCTTCTGACAGTCAGACTAATCCTGATGCTGATCCCAGACCAGAGGAACCACCTCCAGCCTCTATGGACCAACACCAAGGTAGACATGAGGGTGAACGTCAGGCCTCCCAGCAGCTCACAGACATAAGACCTGTCCCTCTGGATGTGGACAGGAGAGCTGTGGAGGCTGTCTCTGTGGATGGGGAGGTGTTTGTTGACCTTAATGTGGACCATGTGGACTCTGTGGACACGGTGGATGGATGGAAGCAGAAAGAGAGGACAAAGATGGAGAGAGAGGAGGAGATGAGGAAAGAGAAAGAAGCAGCGGAGGACCCCACAAAGACAGGTAACTAACCGCTCTCCTTTCACACCTGCACTGCACACCTGTAAATATGCAGGTGTTAAAGCAAATGTGTAAATCCATTTAAATGGAGCGAGCTAAAGGAAAAAGTCAGAGTAGAGTCAGAGTGAGATGACAACACTAGAACCACTATGAAGTTTGATAGCATGCCATCACTTCAGTCTGTTTTTGACTGCTTAACTTTAATGCTCATGCAGCATATGTGAGAGAGAGAGAAGAAGAAGAAGAACTTTATCGATCCCTAAAGGGAAATTCAACAGCCTTCACCCTGTGATGAAGGATGGTTTATCATTATTTAATGCTCTGCAGAGTCTGATGAAGGTGCACAGAGCTCTGTAATAATTTTCATCTCAAGCTGCAAAGTCAGTGGTCAGAAGGGGTCCGTTAGTTGTTGCAAAGTTCGAACACTCATACTTACAGCTGTCTTCAGGTGAGCTGGTTCCTGTAAAGCTAATGTTGATGCAGATATGAACAATAACCAAGTGTGAACACAGCAGGTTTCAGTTCACAAAGTGGGGTCTGAACACCTGTCAAGTAAGGGTCTCAGGATGGAAACTGTAGAAATCTAAAAAGATCACCTCATCTGTTATTGTCAAGTTTTTATGAGAATAGTTAGTTTTAGGTAAGTCAGGGGGACCTCCTGGAGTCTTACATAAGGTGAGACTTTTATCTGGTCTCTTATTTAAAGAACTGTTCCCTGCTGTTTACCTTGCCACCAGTCAATTGTATTGACTCTAAATGTTGATTTAAAGAGGATTTTATTGATTTGAAATAATATGCACTGATAAACGGGCTTCCCTTTGTTTGGACAGTTGGTAGCATTACCATGGTTACTGGTTCTAATCCTCCGTACTGTGTGAACAGACATCAAAGTGAACATTTCAGATAACAGTCGACTTAAATCCCGAGAATAAATCAGAATCAAGTATTTAACACACCTGGGTGTTTGGTAGTTGTTAGCTCAGGAAAAACCTGGAAAAGCTCAGATGAATCCTCTGTCACCTCTGGTCCTCAGCTCAGCCTCTTCTCCAGGATCTCAGGCTCAGACTGGTTCAGGTGGGACAGGTATTGAACATAAAGAGAGGTCATCAATAACCCTGAAGAATCATCTTTAAATCACACTATGCGCAAGTGAAGGAGACTAACACAGGTGTAAGGTGGTCTCTGACTCCTCCTGGTCCTGGTTTAAGGCAGCTGCTAAAGATATTGATCCTGTACAGCCAACTTTAGAGAAATCACTGAGCGTCTTCAGCAGCGTTCAGTCATTTCATCTGTGTGTGCGTGTGTTTTAGTACATGCAGAGGGGTGTATTCATGAAGAGCTGCGCTAGGGTCCTGTTTTAGTCCAGACCTCCACAGCAGCTCAAAAAACACTCTTTTCAACACTCTGTTGCTGCTGCTTTTGATCTATATCGAGATAAAATAAAAACCCGTCTGAGAGAGGAGGGATCTAGAAGATAGACCTCTATGTTTTTGAGACCTAGACCTGGACAGTGTGAAGTAGTTTTTCAAAGATTAAAACACCTTTTATTTATGTTGTGTGTTAATGATGCTGGTGTCACTGTAGACCTGTTATTACAGCTGAAATGAAGTCTAAGGTCTGTTTCTGTGGAAACATGATTTCTGCAGTAATAACTAAATTAAGTATTAACACCTTTAACACCTCGCTGTTTCACACCTACAAATAATTTTGGACTGAGACACCGACTAAACTGAGAGACAGGAAGACAGGAACTCAGGCTGTGTGTGTGTGTGTGTGTGTGTGTAAGAGACAGTTGTTCATCCGGCTCCTTTGTTTGTATGGGGCACTGTATCTAGGCAACCTGATGATGTCATCAAGACTTAACATTGGACAGTGAAACTAGAGGGTAGATGAGAAATAGGTGTGTGTGTGTGTGTGTGTGTGTGTGTGTGTCTGTGTCTGTGTCTGTGTCTGTGTCTGTGTGTGCGCACGTGTGTGTGCACGTGCGTGTGTGTGTGGTTTAAAGGGGAACTCTGCTCTGATTGCAGAGTTTTGCGTAGACGCTTCGCACCAGAATACCAGGAAATGTCAGCGCGAGCCTCAGTCTGTGTATAAATATCCTATTGTTAAATATTTTTAAAAGTGAAGTCAGGGTCCTGCCAGAGAAATGACCCTCTGCTCTGTGAGGCAGAGACATGTTCAGTGTATTCCGCCAATGTGTTCAGCCCCCTCCCAACACAAACCCGTGATTACCTGATTGATAAGAAGTAAAAGTTTCCTCAGGTGGGTCCAAGGCAGAATAGATTCTGGTTTGATGCAGAACCTCATATTCATGAGCCTCATTGGTCATCGGAGCTGTCAATCATGGTGTTGTACCCCCTGTCACCCCCAGCATTTTACCTGCAGAATGTGATTTGTCATTGTCTTGCCGAAATATGAAGGTCTTCCCTGAAAAAGTCTTTGTCTGGATGTCAGCAGATGTTGCTCCTAAACCTGTAGATATTGTTCAGCATTAATGGAGCCTTCACAGATGTGGAAGATACCCATGACATGGACTCTGATGATGCAGGATTTGGATTGGAAGCTGAGAACATGCTTGGTGGTCCCTCTGCTCTTAAGAGACCAGAATGCAGAGGGATAGAAATCCATGATTTCCAAAGATAGTGTCAGATTTTGATTTATCAGCCCACAGCACGGTTTTCCTCTTCCCCTCAGTCCATCTTAAACAGACTCAGGTCCAGAGAAGTCTCTGGTGTTTCTGGATCCTGTTTCTATTTGGTTTCCTCTTTCCTCTTTTGTATTTGTGGATGCAGTGATGAACTGTTTTCACAGACAATAGTTTTTTGAAGTGATTCTGACCTCAGGCAGTGATCTAGAGTCCTGTCTGTTTTTAACGCAGTGCTGCTGGGCCTGAAGATCAGGATCATCAAGTCTTGGGTTTGGTCCTTGTCCCTTTAGTCCAGAGATTTTTCCAGATCTTCTGAATCTTTGAATGATATTATGTTCTGTAGATGACAAAATCTAATCATTCTTTCACATTTGACACTCAGGAACATTAGCCTGACACTGTTGAACTATTAGCTCACTCAGTCTCTCACGGAGTGTTAAACCTCTTACCGTCTTTCCTTCTGAGAGACTCAGACTCTCTGAATGTCCCTTTTATACCCAGTCATGGTACTAACCTGATGGGAGTTCACCTTATTCGTTGAGCTGTTTTTTTTTTAGCATTACACAACTTTTTACCTGTTTGGTTGTTCCTCTTCCATAACTTTTTGCAAACATGTCTCATCAGATAAAATCAAACTTTAAGTATCAATGATAGACCCTGTTCTGATACTGAACATTGTGATACTGAACTTCCCATCATGTCACCTGTATGACATGAACACAGCCTCACTGCTCTCTGTGATGAACAGTGTCCATGTGATCATTCAGCCTCAGCAGGATGGTCATCTAAACAGACCAGTTCTGGACTGAAGTCAGGGGTGTTGGATCCCCATCACAGCAGTGTGTGTTGACAACAGTCAGTCTTTATAATAGGGTTCATAACACCTGTATCAAAGTAGCTTTACCCCCCCGACACCTTGCCCCTCATCGCTCTTGAATTCATGTTACATATCTGCCATGTGAATCACTGCATCCATGTGCATCCTGCACATGTAGGATCACTTCTTTACTGTCTCCAGCCTGTCATTTCGCTCACACACCCCCGGTAAACCAAATTTCATTAGGACAGACTTGCAAATTGAGTGTAGTGTTAGTTCAGGCAGGTCATGAAAGTCAAGTTCAGCCCAAAGTACATCCATTTAATTCAGCAACAGCCTACATCAGCTGACAGCTCAGCTGGTTAACCCATGTCAGCCTGCCGACTCTTCCTGCGTCCCTCTGTGAACCTCACTGCAACCCTCCTCCATCCCTGCTCCTTCTTCTTATGCTGTCTGATTTTACCCAGACCTTTGCTGATGCTCTCCCAGTCTCCATCCCTGCTCCTTCTTCTTTATGCTTTGTCTGATTGATTTTTTATGAAAGTGCTCCTAACTAAAAAAGAGTTTTGTTTTCTCATTTTGCTTTCCACTTCTGCTTGCAATGAAATATGATACATGAATTGCATTGTTACAGTGGCGTGTGCATGAAAACACAGGTGTTCTGTTAAAGGTGTAAGCTTCCTCGGTACATGAGAGAGCCTTTTATTTTAGTCTACAAGATGATCCTGTTTGGATGAAATGATACGGCACAGATTCAGAGAAATGAAAGAGAATGACTTGGTTTTATCTGTCCTTTTTTGGACTTTTCTTTGATAGGACAGCTGAAGAGAGACAGGGAATGGGGAGAGGAGAGGGGGGGGCAGAGCTGAGGGTCAACAACATAGAGACCACTGTAATGGGGACTGAAGCCTCTGTGCATGGGCTGCATTATTTAACCTTTAGTTATCCAGATTATATGATCCTATGAACACATGCGATCAGAGGGGTCCATGTATGATCCCATCACCCAGGACAGGAGAAAATACCAGGTGTGGATCCCTCCTGAAGGAACCTGAGAGAAACCTAAACTCTAAATAAAAACAAAGAGCAGCTCAATAAAGTCCACTTCCTATCCGAGTAAAATGAGGAGGATTCACATCCAGTCACAGGGTGCAGCTCCTCGTGGATTTATTTTTCCAGCACTTTCCAGGCTGCAGGGCTGGGTCAGGGAGCAGCTTTCCATTTCACCCTCTCATTATCTAAACCAGAGACTCTACTGACTCATCTCATCCTGCACACTCACACTCATCCTTTCAGACGGATCTGAAGAGGTGAATAAGTTTAAATCTGAACATCTAATTTCTCTAACTGCGTCAGTGAAACACCCGCACGAACTGTGGAGCATGAATACATGATTATAGGTCTGATCCATAAACCTGCAGCACCTGGGAAATGTGACTGAACACCTTTAAACCTTTGTGTAAACCAGATCAACTCTGTGCAGTTTGCTCATATCTGCAGGTTTTTCCTCTAAATGCCACAATCAGAGGGTAAATTCAAAGCTGGATGTCAGGAATCAGGACAGGCATCAATCTGTTTCCAGCATGTGGTTCATCTGCCTCACCAGGGCTGGACCAAACTGGGAAAACTGACGATGCTAAATCTCCTCTTTCTGCTAATGAATAACTTGATTTGATGTTTGTGAATATGGCTCAGATCCCTTTGGTACGTTTGTTGATGTAAACCTGTGATCAAATCCAAACCTTTTTACCACTTTGATGCGACCCTGAGTTAGTCCTAAGACAACTTTATCATGAGAGAGAGAGAGAGACTCGTTTCTTCATGCAAACAAACCCATGGCTAAGTTTTATGTTAGTATAACACCAACCATTCCCAACCATGTTCAAAGTTTTGTTTCATCTGCGTGTTTCGCCACATATCATCTGAAATACACTGGCGACATATCCTCCTCCATTGCTGGTCTGTTCTGTCACAGTGTAAGCCTGCACCAGGACACAGGGGGTGCTGCAGATAACAGGGACACCCTCTCTTTAAATCCATCACCTGATATAGTGCCATGTCTCTGCATTCAAAATACATGGTTATAATGGGAGTCAATGGGGCAAAAACAGCCACTAATACCATAAAAGGAAGTTGTTTTTTTTTAATCTGTTGCTGCACAAAAACTGAATATGCATCAAACCTATTTTGTTACTAATCTTTGACATATCCAAGACTGTGATAGCAGGTAAAAAATTCTCCTTGTCCAATCACTTTTTATATTGAAAAAAGCTCATTTTGTGTGTATTCTTCCCCATATCAGTGACTTTAAAAAAATGGCATTCAAATGTTAAAGATTTTAAAAAAATTTTTTACTAGTTTTGATCAAGACTGAAGTTGATGAACAGAGTTATGCAAAAAAAATAAAAAAAATAGCCACTAATATCCCTAAAGGGTAGTAAATTTGCCGACATGCCATTTGCTGCAATACAATGAAAGTTATGGTCAAATTAAGAGGATAAAGTGACCCTTAGTGGATGTTTTTGTCACCAGTACTGCATTAGGGTTAAAACAGCAGCATTACGTGTTTTAGATCATTTAAATGTCCAGTGACATGAACACTGCAGATACACACATTACGACTGCGATGGTTAAAATGATGTAATGTGCAGCTCTGCTTCTCAGCATGTGCAGGTGTAAATCTGCTTCAGTCTGTCAGGAGAGGAAAACAAAGTTATCAGCTTATAAATCTGCTTTGTTTGCAGCCATGCATCCTCCCTGATTTAATGAGTCACTCTATTCAGTCAGGAATGATGCCACAGTAACTTAATGATGTCCCGCTGTGGTCTGTCCTCTACAGGTGCTGAAAGCAGAGAGCAGAGCAGACAGGAGGACAGCACACACACTCTGCAGGTGAGTTTACCTAAACACATGACTCCCTTTACCTCATTAGGCTGTGAGCATCAACCATCCTCTCCATGATCATCATCAGCTGTTCTTCTCAGACTCACACATGATGCTCTCATTACTCTGAGACTGTTTCTGTAAACTCTTCACTGCACCTGAATCCAGACTCTGAAGGGGAGGGACTTTTGAGTGTTCGCCAACCAGTTTTTTTTTCAAGCTTTATTTAAAACCACCTCACTGAACAAGAAGAAACAGTTCATCAAACACAGAAATAGTTTTCTCTGCAAAAACATTTTTCTACCGTATTTTGGTTTTGTGAATATTTCTGCTCCTTTGTGAAAACATTTTTTTAACCTTTGGGTTTGAGCAGAAACAGGTGAGGATCAGTTTACAAAATCCTGCGTCCCCACCTGTCTGCAGTGTCTCTGTATCAGAGCTGAAGGATGAACCTTCAACCTTAAACTGAAAACTTAATCTGTGGGCTCTTCTTCTCTATGAGGCAGTAGCTGCATCTTAAGGTACCAGTCTGAGTCCTGACTCTCTGCCAGCTCTAAACAGTATCAGATTCAGGTGGACCAAATCCACAGCGCTCTGCACAGCATGTGAGCACACACACAAGACTGGGTCAGAGTGGGTCGAAGTGGGTCAGAGTGGGTCAGGGTCACTTCAGAGGCCTCATAAATCCGGTCCCAGAGTTCAGTGGTGAGGCAGAGGTGGGTCTGATGGAGTTGCAGGTCACAGGAGGAGACATGGGAATGTTCAGACCTGAAGCAAGATCTCAGCTGAGCTTGTTTTGATTCAGTTCCGTGATGTCAGAGCCATGAATACACAGGAAGTGCTGTCAGAGCAACACGCCCTCACACCCCCACATCTTTTCAGCGGTCCTGTTCAACAGAGACCTCAGTCTGGAAACTCTGAAGGGTAAAGTCACTCTGACAGGAAACAGAGATTCAGCGTTCATGAGTCTGACGCCCCAGAGCTTCTAAACATCCAGACCCAAATTTAAGAACCAGCACCTCCTCCTAAAACCTCAGAAATACTCAGAGTCTCTGTGTGAGAGTCATCAGGATCATTGAAACTTTCTGAAAGGCTGTAAAGGTTCTAGTTTCTCCTCTAATCTGACCAGTGAGTCCACATTAGAGGAACAGGACCTGTTGTTATTTGTACAAAGACCCTCAGCTCTGATATTGTCTGTCCTCTGCTGCCCCCTGCTGCTCACTGCAGGTATAACTTCCTCCAGATGTTTTCTGCACGTCACAGCTGGATGGTGTGCAGCTATCGTTGCCATAGTTACTGCAGTGTTTGTGAGCTGCTTATTTGGTACAGATGAAGCTTATTGTTTCCATGTATAGGTTGTATATTGACCGCAGTTATTTAAGGACACAGATTTTCAAAGGCTCAGCCAAGAACAACAAATAGGAAAACAAGATCAGGATTCACCGCTAACAAGGATGGAGACGAGAATGTGACTCTGGAAGGAAATAAGACTAACTCAGACTAACTCTAAGGGCATCAGATCTGCAGCAGCAGCCCCATCAGAGTAAAATAGTGAGACAGTAGTTTAATCCACTTTACTGGACTCATCATTTCCTCTTTAATAACTTTTTGACTACCTTTACTCGGGTACATTTTCCTTAAAATATTTGTTACTCATTAATAAGTAAACTGGCTGAAATTTGGTTTCCTATCCGTGATCCTTAGTGACTGAAATATGGACATAATGAACCGAAACTAAGAGGCTGAAAACTGCAGAAGGGAGAAATAAAACATCATGGATATTGATAAGCACAAAAACTTTGTCAACAAAGAACAAGAGACTGAAAAAGAAGTAGAAGAAAAAGGAAACCTCCTCATACTCTCCCCCTCCCCTGTCTCTCTTTCACCTGCTTCCACTCACTGACCACAAGACCCCAACACAAGCTAACACAGAGGTGAGAGTCACCAAGATAGTGTAGTAACGAAAAAATCACCTCAGTCTCTTCAGGTTGTTCTAAAGGACAACATTAGCATTAAGGACAGGAAGTTACATCCTGAGGTCCCTTCTCAAAAATGACAACCAATAAGATGCTGAAAACCTCTATTCAATGCCATCGTTCAGCTATTGTTTGATTAGGGTGACAATGTTTGAGAACACAGCAGGCTGGATTATACAGATGGACAACAGATGATAGAGAGAGAAATAGAGACAGAGAGAGAGTGAGGTAAACAGAGCAGACGGTTCACTTATTGTAGTATTATCATTGTTATATTACATTACCACTATCTGAAATTATTTGATAGTAAGGAAGCCATCATTACTTAAAAAAATCACTTGTAGGAAAACATAGATGCACTGACTTTATTTTCAAACTCTAATCACTTATTTTAAGTTTAATTGTAGAAGCAAATATCAGCATTTTAGATGAATTTTTCAGGCATTACTTTAATGACAAAGATGTGTAATTTGAATGGGAATGATAAGTAGCCCTAAAATTACAGTATTATTATTCATGATGTGCCTGAAGCCTCCAAATAACTGAACCTGGTGTTTGTAGCTTGAAATAAATGTTCATATCCTGCTCCCTCTTTCTTACTCACATCATGTACTTTAACTTTTAGAGTCGATGTTTACCTTTGTTCTCTTTACAGTTATGTGAAACCTTATTGTGATCAGTGTGTTTTAATCACCTATTACCTGGCATCCTCACATTTTTGGAACTGAGGCTGTAAATTAAAGCTCCAGTGAGAAAGTTTAAGTTTGAGATTTTGGTTCCTGCATGACATCCTGTTTATTTTTGATGCTCCTGCTCTGTTTTAGTGGTGTGATTTTAACCAGAAAGTCTACTCCTGCCTTTTAAATATTGGAGGTTATCCTGAATCCCTGATGGAGGAAATTCTCAGTGAATGGCTGAATTGGGCTCTCACCCTACAGCAGTGGTTTCATGCATTTATACATTTAGTGCAGAAATAAGTCATCTTCATGCTGGTGGTTAGGTTTACAGAGGCTTGAGCTTTAAACTCCAGACAGGCTCATTGTTGTTTATGAAGTAGGTGCAGCAGGTGAGAAATGACTGATTCAGGGTCAGACGGACTTTCTGACTAACTCCCCTGCTCTGATTGGTCGACAGAGGAGGAATCAGGGTGAAGCAGCACATGTTGAACAGCAGGTTTGATTTTGCACAGAGGTGTAACAGTTCAGTGTTCGAGATGACGTCCAGACCTCCACGCATAAACAACTTCTGTCTTCACACATAAACAGCAGAGCATACGTGTGTGTGTGTGCGTGTGTGTGTGTGTGTGTGTGTGTGTTTGCAGTTTTGAGTTGCTGCTGTGCTGACTGAGAGGGAGCTGTTCGCGGAGGGTTAGTTTCTCTCTCAGGGACAGATGTGAAGGGTGGGGTGAGAGAGAGTGAGGGAGGAATGGATGCCCTAAGGGAAAAAAGAGAGAGAGAGAGAGAGAGAGAGAGAGAGAGAGGGAGTGGGCTGGAGAGCTGGAGGGAGGGGCTGCAGCTCTGAACAGATGTGGGCAGATCGGCTCATTTTCCAGCCGAGAAGGAGCAGCAGAGACGTGGACTGGGGGGGACTGAACTGCGACTGTGGACATACAGGAACATTTTTTTCTTCGGGGTTCAGGCTCCTCCTCTCAGCTCCGAGGATCTGTGAAGACAGGCTCAGACTCAGCCTGTGTGCTGGTTCAGCTCATGTCTTTGGAGTCTGCATATGATTATCCAGACAGAGAGGTTCAGTTTGAGATGATCTGCTGTGTTTTGTAGCGCGGTGAACTTCTGCTTGGATGAGTTTTTCCTCTCAGAGCTCCACCCTGAGCTGAGATTTGTTTTTGTTACGGGGTAGAGAGAGAAGTGATGGTCCGTTCTCAGCCTGTGTGTTAGTGTGAGGACGCGTCTGCTGCTGCCAGCATGTATGAGAGACACAAGAGGAGGTACAGCTTCTGTGCTAAAGGAGAGACAACTGTGGATGTGGTGCTGATCAAGGTACAACCCTGTGTGTATGTGTGTGCATGTGTGCGTGAGTGTTTGTGACTGTAATACTGCTGATCCTGATAAGCTGTAGAAAGCATCAGAGTTTGGATTTCTGATATTTCTCTCTGCAGCTGCTCCGGTCAGAACTTTCTTCTCTTCATGTTGTTTTTTTCTTTAAAACTTTATTCCTTCTCTCCAGCTCTCAGCTGGGTGTGCCGTCTGTAGTTTTCAGGAGACGCTTCTCAGTCTGTCAGTAAATTTAAACCTCCCAAACTCTCCCTTACAGTCTCATAAACCAAATCTGTGCTTTCTGTGTTTAATCTGTGCAGTAATGCATCAAGGCTTGTGTTACCTCCATGTTGCATGTGACATGTAGCTGAGTTTTAGAACTACAGCTCCCAGCATGCTCTCGGCAAGCAAACACAAATGTTGAAGTTGCTATGGAGACAGTGGGTGTTGTCTTTTTGGCTAATGTGGCTCCACGCTTTCCTCAGAGAGAGACACGTGAGATGTCTGAGACACAGAAAGAGACTCATCAGTGTCTGAGAAGTGTTTGAACAAACACGCCTGAGGATGCTGCCGAACATCCCACAGGTAGATGAAAGTATGGTTATTAGAGAGGAGGAGTTAGAACAAGATTTAATGCATGCACTCCTGCACATCTCACGTGCACCTAGAAATGTGATTAATCATATATTGACGATTGTGTTAGTTCAGGCAGGCCACAAAGTCTCCCTGCCTTGGTTTATAATGTATGTTCAGAGTATTTTCTGCAGGTTGGTTGGATATGGCGCATGGTCTGTGTGTTTCAGACGTTGCTCTTGCTCTGCAGCTTTAATAAGTGGTGTGAAGGGGTTTAAACCAATCAGAATCAGTATCTCACACACAGGTGAGTGATTAGAAAGAAAGCCGGGTGATTACAGAAGCTGTGAGAGATTGTTCATTTTACTGAGTCTGACAGCAGATAGTGATCCTATTCCTATCTGGTCACATCATATTTGTAGTCCGAGCACTGTCAGCCATTTTTCTGATTCCCTTCTGCTCTCTGTGACCTTAAACTCCGCTGTCTCTGTGACCCTGAAATTCCTCCTAAAAGCCTAAATCCAGTTGTGCATCAATATTTTTGCTCTTGGATTTTTTCATTTTGAATGTAAAGCTGAGTTTGTATTTAAGGAGAACTTTCTGTCCTTTTTGCTGGGTAAACTCTGCAGTCTGTGGATGTCCTGAAGAAACAGACTCCTGATCTAAAACAGCTGACGTCTCCTCTGTCATTAAAAATCTCTTATTCTGACATGAGGTGAACTTTCAGGAAGTCAGTCAGAGATGCAGTCCCTGTAGATGCAGCAGGCTGTAGTTCCTGGTGAGTGCTATCATGTGATCTCTTTGTGAACTCCTCTCCAAAATATTCATCTGCTGCGACAACAGGTTTGAGTTTTCAGACTAAGAGAGACAGACCAGGATCCCACCATCTCCTCCACACTGATAGACCTGCTGTAACCTTGCCTCTGTCTGTGGACTTACTCACAGTAATTATGTCTCTGTAATAAGAGAGTCAGCTGACATCATCCTGCAGTGGGTAGGTCTCTGTCTGTAACTGTATGTGTCTGTAGTTCTGACCTCTGACCTCCATTATGAGTCTGTTATGACAGAAATCTAACCATCTGATCCAGTGACCAGCCTGAGCTGTGGGTCAGATGGTCAGTTCAATGTGATCAGATTCAATATTTTAGGTGTTTGGTGTCAGTTTCCATTGATATGATGGTAACAGTTCGAGCTGCTCTGCCTGAAAGTCTTCATCAGTCTTTGTGTGAAAAGGCTGATACCCGATAAAACCAAGTGATGTCTCTGTAAGCTCCTAACAGAGCTTCAAAACATTTAACAAGGACTCAGCAGAGGAGAGATATTTAAGAACGATCTCAGCTGGACTGAGCTAGAAAGAGGCGTGCTCAACCCTAATTTTAGGCATGACCGTTTCAATCAAAGGCTGTGATTGACTGATAAATTCCCTCTAATTTATTTATAGAATATCTACACATACATACACACACATATAGTGAAAGCAGTAATTCCCACACACAGGTCGGCCTCACCTGTGCAGGTGGACCATTAAAACCTTTTTGAACTGCAAAGATTGATCAGCTGTATGATCTTCCTTCTATCTGCGGCTCTCTGACCTTGATGACAGACACTGATGTCAGTGTTTCTGCAGTCTGACGTCTCCTGCTCATTGTGAAACCTTTAATGTTGTTGTTTTAACTGTTTTCTGCAGCCTGTTCCTGTCAATGTTATATTTAGATCTCTTAGTTTCTTATATAAGGCTCACCTGTCAGGAGAACAGTGTCAGGAGTGAAATGGATGCGTTTTTTCAGAAGATTAATCCCTCATGATCACTTCCCTTTCCTCCTGCATGTACCCTATGTTAGCTTTTTCATTGTTTATCTCTGTAATACCTCTCAGGTAATGCCTCCATCCACCTTTGCACACTGTTAAATGTTCTAAAGTGTGAGCTCTGGAACCACTAGTCTAATAATCTATTGTGGGGTTCCACCTGGATCCTAAACAGTTCCACCTTTTTTTCAACTCACCCCTTTAAGGAGCTTTTTCTTTACAGTTATTCTTCTTGAAAGGGTTAGAAGGAGTCTGTTGTGCATAACAATTTAAATAATTGAGTAACGCAGTCTGAACTTTGGTACTGTGTGATTAGTTTGATATCACTACAAACACCCACAGCCGTAAATCTTTGCTCAAACAGTGTGCAAAATAAAGTACCTCAGCATTTGGTGCCAGTCTGATGAAGAAGGCTTGTGCAGTTTTAGGGGTCAGGGGTCTCTCCCTGGTCTGTTTGGCATGTTGCAAGTTTGCAGGGATATCATGTTTTCAGTGAGCTTTAAGAGGCAGGTTCAGAAACATGTGCATTAAAGAGGATTAAAGTGAACACTTGTTCACACAGCCTGTACAGTTCACTTTGGTCTGATAAAAGCTGCCTGTTGTTCCTCTGGACTGTGGACTGTCTCTTTGTGCCAACCTCACTCTCTTTCTATCGCTCTCTCTCTCTCTCTCACTGTCTGTCTGTCTGTCTGTCTCTCTCTCTCTGTTGGTGCAGGATGTTGAGAATAGACAGAGCAGGCGACATGCAGACATCACAATAGATCTTTTCAGACATATAGACGAGGGAATAAAGGAGTCTTTGGCCTCACTGATTAACATCACACAGATGAATATGAGGTCATTTTGACGACTCGGCCCACAGAAGTCAGACACTAACAGGATGTTCACACACAGCACATCCAGAAGATCATATTTTTAATGTTTTTCTCTATATATAAAACCCTTTAGCAGCACCAGACGACAGCTCCCATCTGTCTTCTTGTAATTCCTCCTTTATTTTGCCTCCTTTCATTCCCTCATTAACACTGCCTCAGCTGAAGTGACCTTTCAGAATAAAAGCTTCTTTGTAACGGACAGTCATAAGTGACTGTTTTATGATCAAAAGCCAAAACCACATAGGAAACAGCTCATAAATACAGGCAGGAATGTGTGAGACGGCAGACTTTTCTATACTTTAAATGGTTTTCCCACAGATCTTTAAAGGTGCTTTGAGTGTAACACAGTTTTTTAATGTATGATAGTATTGAAGATAACAAAAAGTTAAGTCTTAAGACACTAAAGCTGATCACAAAGCAGGTGCTCTGCTTCTTCGCTCCATTATTTTTGATAAGTTGTATAAACGAATTAAATTTTTGATACTGGTGGTGTCCCACAGGGCTCAATATTTGGTCTCCTGATATTTTCTCTGCACATGACTTTTATTTGACCCTAAAGTTGTCCTTTTTTATGACTAAAGATCATCCAGTCTGCCTTTAACACAAGCAGCAAACAGTTCATGTATTTATCATTTACATGACCATCAACATTCATCACACAGCATGGCTGAAATACAACAAGCATTACTTGTGGTATAAGAAGGATATTCTTTAAAGAAGCATTTTATAAAAATGAGGTACCTTTCTCTTGAACTCATATTCTTACATTCATCGTTCTTTTTATTTGTTTGTTTTGTTCTGTTTCTGGGAATGTTTGCCTTTATTAGATAAGACATCCCAAAAGAGACATAAGAATAAGAAGAATAGAGAGTGAAGGAAGACATGCAGCAAAGGGTGAGGTCTATGGCCTCTGTGTAAGGGACATAGTGCAATGAGGGCTGTAGCCCCTGTGCACAAGGTGCCTGCCAAAGGAGCCGCTCACTGTGACTGGAAAAACTAAAAATGAAAAATTTGGTACAGAAGAGTTACTGATCGAGGAAACTGAACCGTGAAATGAGAGAAACCGGACCAAAGTTATGAGGAAAAGCTGCTTAAAATGCCATACATATATCAAAGTTAACTTTATGAGCAAACCTTTATCAAATAATCTGGTTTGTCTGTGAAACTAAAGTCACACCCATAGCTGCTGAGGGCGAAAAAGTGGAGGATGAGCTGCTGGTGGACTCAAGTTTGTTTTCAGTGGACGGCAGCTTTGTTTCTCAGTCAGAGGACAAGGAGAAATATTCAGGACTGGGTTCAGAAATTTAAATCAGCTGCTGCAGGAGAGAGAGAGAGAGACACAGAGAGCGAGACTGAGAGAGAGAGATACTGTATGTGTGTGTTTGTGTGTGTGTAGAGAGAAGCCCTCCTACGTCGCTCAGACATCACACTGAACTGACTGTGTGTGGTCACAGGGGCGGAACAATCATCTGTCTGTTGTGTGTGTGTAGGTGTGTGTTTGTGTAAGTGTATGTTTATATGAGTGTGTGTTGCATGTGCCGCTATGATCAAACATGTCAAACATGTGCTGAGGGTGGGTTAAGGTGAGACATCCATAAGCGTCCTGCAGTGAAAATGCCCTTTGTAAACCTCACCTCTGACGCTCCAGAGAAAATCTAAAGTTTGATATAAATCTGTGTAAACTTGGTTCTGATGATTCTTTCTGTCTTTGTCTGTCTCTCAGATCCAGAGGGACAGAGACGTCTTCTGTCCAGTTCAGCCCCTCCCTGAAGCAAACACAGTGACATGTACAGGTAAGACTGTCTCAGTCGGATGAGAATCAAACACACACAGTTTTTGTTAAAGACAGAGAAGCTCAGATATATTTGTAGATTTCTCACAGCCTGACTTGATGTCTGGACTAATTTACTGAAACACTATAGCCCGCCTGGTTGCTACACAATCACACTGGCACTCTTGGGCGATGGAAACACACACTGACTTAATGTCAGCTTTTAGTTTAACTCTGTTATTAAAAGTTCAAGGACTTGAGCTCTTTTATCACTTTCATGTTATCACAGGCTGCAAATCCAACAAATCTGTTGAGCTGTAATCATCATTAAAACTGAAATTTGATCAACCTGCTGTCTGTATTGTACACTCTGCTAAAATGTTGGAGAGGTTTGTCGATATTAAAACGCTGGTTCCCCCTGACTGTACCTTGCTCTGGCCTTCACCCTCTGGTGGACCCTCTGGTCCTGATAATACAGAGTTTAGGGGCTGCTACTGCAAAAACAAGATCACCCCTGGACTTGGCCTGTAGAGTTTGGACTCGTTAATGTTGTTTTGTAAGTAACAGCCATACATGGCTGTTAATAAGATTTAAGGTTTATCCTGTGTGTGGCTCACAGGAAATTATAGCATACAAGATAAGATTTTAAGGACTCAGAAACATGTCTGAAGAGGGAGTTTTAGTGATTTGGGTAAGAGAGTCTTGGATGTTAGTATGGGTTTGACCTTGGTGATTCCTCTGAACTGAAGGAAGCAGGACTGGCCCACTTAAGTTGTGTCAGTTTCAAAAGTTAGCTGCTGGCCAAACAGAATATCCAAACTTTTCACAGTGGGTTTAAGGTGGTGTGAAGGACTTCAGTTTTACCAGGTTTATCCAGATGAAGGAAATTCTGTGGCTAGACAGTCTCAAAGACAGTCTGACTGAGATCGTTCAGTTAGAATAAGAAATAAAGCTGCATGTCATGACGATAACAATGGTAGGAGGTAACAGAGGTGGATCGGAGCAGATCACCCAGAGGAATTTAGAAAACCAGAGTGGGCCCAGGACAGAGCTGAGTGGGACTCGGCACAGAAAAAAAAAGTCTATCAATGTCTGCTGTAACTGTGTCTGTAAAATTCTACGATAAATACAACGATAAAGTCAGTCAAACAAAACAAAGTAAGAACAGATCAGCTTAGGGTCAGACAACCACATGAACCCCCAACTTCTTTATGTAACATGGAGATTATTCTGATGATGGGACTCTAACAGCAGTAACCATGAAACAGAAGCTCTGCAGACAAACACACACACACACACACACACACACACTCTCTCTCTCTCGCTCTCTCTCTCTCTCTCTGGCTGGTTCTTTGTGGTTTGGGTGATATGAGGTCAGTTTCCTGTCTCAGAGGATTGCACTCAGTGCTGCAACAGACTCACACTAATACACACTCTCACACACTCAGCTGCAGCATCTGCTCCTAAGACGCGCCCGTAGATCTGTAGATGAAGTTCTCTCCTGCCCGTTTCCTCTCTCTCGCTCTCTCAGGTAACCTCTCCCTCTTTTTTTCACAGACGTCCTCCCTGAGACAGACGAGTGTGTGTCTCTGTGTCTGATGCGCTCAGACAAAGACAGTCTGGATGACAGCGTCTTTAAAAAGGTACGACAGCAAACACACAGTGTGTTAGTGTCCATGTCTCTGTCAGCTCTCTTTGCTGTTGTCCTCTCTGTTAACTCTGGAGTCTGCGTGTTTGACGTCAGCACAGCGGCGGACATCCTCTTCACTTCAGGGTCTCTAAAAACAGTCCGGCTGCAGCTCTCTACCTTCACAGCTTTCTAAAAATACTCTGAATGGGAAAATCTCTGTTTGACGAAGAGTTACGTAACAGAGCTGGAAACACTTTTCCCTCTGCAGCTCGGCAGGAGTCAGAGGAACGCAGCCGCCTGCACAGACTCTTCCTCATAAACTCTGAAAAACATAGAAGTTTACAGGAGACCGCATGGTTCTTCAGGATCAGGGGGCAGTAATCATCAATACTGAGCATTTTGAAACCCATGCAGCTGCTGCGTATCGCTGTAAAACCGAGGAACATGTGTGTGTTTTCTGTTCCAGGCATTTCAGCGCTGGGTTTATTAAAACCAGCAGTTAGGGCTCCTATTTGCTCAGAGCGTCATCACTGTGACTCACTTACTCTGACGGAGTCCTTTCCACTCAGCTCCTTCATTACGTTAGCATGTGGCAGGCTGGATCCGACTGCTGTTTACCCCTCAGCTCTGTCTAACAGGATATCAGACTTATAATCTTTGATACCAGTAAAAATCAATGAAATCCAATTATACGTGTCAATACATGGTTATGTCACTGTTTTGGCGTCTGTTGATGCGCGGTGCAGTGATGACAGTCTGCAGGTCAAACTGATAGAGAACACAGAGAGACCTCGTGAAAGCTCTGTCTCTCTACTCTGCTCTCTTGCAGCAAACAGGAACATTATATGTGTTTTTATTAGAGGCTAAAAGGACCAAACTAGAAGTCATTCTTGGCCGATGTGTGAGCTTTGACGACGGGCAGAGCAGAGAGACACAATTTCTCATACTTGTACATTTTCTATGATTTTATGCATTTCTTTTACTGCATTTCTTGGTGAGCTATGATGAAGCACAGCAGACAAATATCAAATCTTATCATCGGCATAAAGATGAACTTGACTGCCAGAAAGAGCAAAGACAACATCATTTATAAGAAGAGGGATTTGAAGAGAAGACACAGTGACATTTAACCCAACGGTCTAAAGTATAATCCTTCTCACCTGAAAATCCTTACCACCTTAAACTAAGGCTTTCTCTCTCCTAACTTTAAATGCTGCACTCTGAAATAGTCTGGACTGAATAGAGATTTTTTTGATGGCTTGTAAAGAGTATTAAAAAAATAAATAAAGCCAATCACTAATTAAGACCCAGTTAGCGCAGGTCAGTATCAGAGTCGATGGTTGTTTCAATTATCAGTGACTTATCAATGATTAAAAAAGTTGTGAGGCCGCCCATTCTGACCATGACCATATACGTCATTTAACCAGCATCAAGCTTCATCTCTAACTCTCCTTTCTCTCTGCCTCTTTCTAGCCTGCAGACCCTCCACTCAAGGTTGGGCAGAGGGACAGGGGTGTCCGTGTGTCCTGGTCCTCCACAGATGAGGCCTGTCCCAGTGAGGGGGGTCTGTCAGTGGGTTCTGCTGACTCTGCAACCCCTCGGAGTTCCAGATTGTCCTGGAAATCAGAAACCGAGGACAGAGGTACAGACTCACAGAGAAATCCAGGGTTCACTCTGAATTCAGTGATCACACAGACTGAAGGTCCACAGATAGCTGGATTTTCCCTGATCTTTAAATCAGGTGTCGTATTCCACATTTGCACCCAGAATCTCCTCTATATAACGTCGAGAGCGTTTTTTCGACTTCTTATCTTTCTTAGATCAGATTGAATATTTACTCCACATATGGATCCCCTTTGTGGTGTAACTTGCACACAGAGTTTCACTCAGATGAAGTTTCTATCCAGTTTCTCTTTTTAATTCAGAGCAGAAATCCCTCCCAGTGAATGATCAGGTTTGTGGACAGTATCTTACAAACATGGAGCTGCATCCATAACGAACTCTCAGGGATTGTTTTTGACTCTAAAACCTCACAGTTCAGTCTGTCCACAGGGAGGAGGTGTGGTGAGGCGTCCACGTCGCTCATTGTTCCTGTCCTTTCCTGTCAGAAACTTACATGCAGAAAATCACGTTGAAACAGTTGTAAAGTTTAAATGATTGTTTAAATCCTCAGGAGGAGGAGGAGGAGGTGGAGGAGGAGGAGACTCAGAGAGGGGGGGAGAGGAGGAAGAGAAAAATGACCGGCTCACAGAGAATCCCGTCTCCTCCGCCATCATGAGAGCCTCCATCCGCTCTCTCTCTCCGCTCAGACGTCACAGCTGGGAGCCTACCCCGAACGTCGCAGAGAGTGACATCACAGCAAGCAGGTACTGAGGTGTTAGGACCCACTGTGTGTGTCTGTGTGTGTGTGTGTGTGTGTGTGTGTGTGTGTGTGTGTGTGTGTGTGTGTGTGTGTGTGTGTGTGTGTGTGTGTGTGTGTGTCTGTGTGTGATTAAAGAATCAGTTCATGTTTACGAGGTGGTTTCTGATGCAGTCTCAGGTGTCACTGATCCCAAGTATTGACTTTACAAAAGGAGAAAACAGGTTTAGTTTCTGCTCTAAAAATGGACCTTTTTGAATGAGTGTGTATGTGGCTTCTGGTGCCCAGAAACTGTCATAAAGATCATCTGTATGATCAGGTCCACTCATGATCAGTTATAATTTCCTTCACTGTGACATTAGGGGCTTATGGTGTCAGAGTTAGTACAGCCAAAGGAGCATCTCCTTCATGTTCTCTTTGTTTTTCATTGCTCCTACTTTATTTACATGAGAGTCAAATTTCTGATAGTCTGTATGTGTGTCCTTTCAGTTCCGTGGAGAGTCCACCAGAAGAGACCAAGAGGGTTAAGACCCCACTGCACAGGAGAAGGTACAACTGTCAATCATTACCTTCATTTCATTTAAACGGCTCATTACACTTCAGTTTAAAAGAGAGAGAGAGAGAGTGTGTGTGTGTATGTGTGTGCCAGTGTGCATGTGTGTGTGTGCAATGCAGTGTGAGCTCCTCACTGAGTTACTAAGAGGGTCCTGCAGGATCACTGTCCTCACTGCTCGTCTGTGCTGCACACACACACGTGCGCGCGCACACACCGGCAGTGTTTTTGGGTGTAGTTCGGCAAGGCAGTGACTCAGCCTGCTCACATGACCGTCTAGACACACACACACGCACACACAAACACACATGCACACAAGTTTGCGTACACGGTATTCGAAGGAAAAGTCATTACTGGAATCAGAGAAGTGGTGCAGCGAGGGTGGAGATGGAAAAGTCCTCTGTGACTCAGTCGTGTGTGTGTGTGTGTGTGTGTGTGTGTGTGTGTGTGTGTGTGTGTGTGTGTGTGTGTGTGTGAGTGTTTTAGTGTGTGTGTGTGCAGCTGTGGGATCAGTTTCGGTCTGATTTTGTTATGTAACAGTAAAAACACTTCCACTCCTCATAAAGACAGTCTTGCTGATTTACAGTCGTGTCTTTATCAGCTTCTCTTCAGTGAAAACAGACTCTGCATATTTATTGAACGTTCACTCTGACTGGAAATGTCTGATTCTGTTCAATGAGGAGGCGAGTGAATGAAAAAATCATTATGATAAAGGTGATACAGATGTGACAGTGATCACATGATATATAAATAAATCATAACAATCACATAGACAGGAACTCATGGCATATGTGACTGAGTGAGTCAGATTGTGTCTAAATATGATAACAGATTTAAAAAAACAAGTAGATAATGCATCTCACCGCAGATTTAAAGATATGTAATTCAGACATTTTGAGTGACAGGTACCATCAGTTAAGTTTCAATGCACTGACTGTACATCCTTGAGAAGCTCTTTCAGTCACCGGGATATAAAACACGACGAGCTGCTTTTGTTCGTACCAGGGAGGAGGTTTTGTGTCACATCAGTCATCCAGCTAATCCTCAATGTAGACAGGCAGACCTGCTCTCTGTCAGGATTAGAGCTCTAAGCAGCAGACAGAAGAGATGCCAACAGCTTGTCTCCACAATCAGACACAAAACAAGAGCAAACTGCACAGAGCTGCAGGACTGGCAGAGCAGATAGAAGGGGGTAAATAATGCAAAAATCCAGAACCCAGACAATCTTTCAGATTAAAGGTCTGCTCAGACATGCTGGTTTCTCTTCTTGTCTAAGTTTCTCCAGGATGTACAGCTTCTGCCAGTAAAGGAACCTCACTTTCATAACTCTGCTTCACTTATTTCTCTTCAGGACATAAAAATGACCTGATATTTTCAATCATTCACCATCACACCGTCACTGTCCATGCTAACTCTGCTGAACACACAGATCCTATGACCATTAACTGAACAGTAACAGCTGAGCCTTTACACTAATCTCTTTTCCTCTCCTCCATCATCTTCTCATCATTCATCTATCCGTCTCTGAAGTATGAGCTGGTGTCCATCCAACCTGCACCCCCCTGACCAGCAGCATATAGACAGCAGAAGGTAAACACAGACAAAACCTCCACAAACTGACTCTGGAAGTTAAACCTTCAACTCTAACGCCAAACACACAAGCACACACACATTATAAACACACTCAGTTACATGTGAGTATGTGTGTGTTCTGGTTAAACAGCTACAGTCTCGAGGGTCTGGAGGAGAGGGGCACTCTGCAGACTCCATGTCCCAGCATCCTCTCTGATCAGCAGGAGAGGAGTGCAGGGAGAAGAGAGGAGAGAGGCTCCCTGCTGTCCTTGACTGAGGAGGAGCAGGAGGGGGATACCAGCAGCCTCCACAGCCAGGTGAGTGTTTGTGTGTGTGTGTGTGTTTTAGGGGACGGGACCAGAGGAAAGGAGTGAGACTACCCCCACACGCTAACATGCAAGCTGATGACAGAAATGTGCAGCTGATGGTTTGATTTCTTGTCTTGCTGTAGTTGTGTGGGCTCTTTGTCAGGATGTTGAGTTTTACGATTTCCTTTGACATTTCACTTACTCACACCTCCTACTGTGATGGTGCTATGATCAGCTGTAGGCTAAAAGTCACAGCTGAAACACTGCTATTAAATATGGGCTGAGTATTTTCAAGAGCCTCACAATCCACTTCAGTTTAAATTCTTTGACCACAGATCCATTCAATGTGGAGATTATAATGTGTGCATGATGAGTTTAAATTTTATGCTCAGCCTTTATAATAATTGTTTAGGGTTTTTTGGAAAGTCAAGACTGTGTGAAAGTTTTGCACTTTTTTAAGGGGATCAAATTTTTTACCACCCTGAAAAAGTAACCAACAGAGTCTAATATCCACCTCTGTGACACAGCAGTTTAACTGTTCAACACTGATATAAAAAGTCTGATGCCATATTCAATGGAAGATAGAAAAATAAATCTGTATGTTGTTTTTTATCTGAAAGTAATTTATGTTAATGTTAATAAAAAACTTTTACTCTGATGATAGAAGTTACCTCATCCTTCATTTATATCAACCTCAGCATGAAAACATACAGATTCAAGTCTTTGAGCATCAGGCCTCAAACATCAGCTCACTGATCCATCAGGTAGTTCATTACAGAGACAATACAAATTTAATATGTTCGTGTGTGTGTGTGTGTGTGTGTGTGTGTGTGTGTGTGTGTGTGTGTGTGTGTGTGTTTGTGCGTGTGTGTGTGTTTAGCCATCACATCAGACTCTGACAGTGACCAACAGCTGTCCTCCCATGTTTCATCACCAGTCCCTCACCAAATCCATCTCCATGGTAGCCATCAGTCACAGAGACCTCAGTGGTGAGTCTGTTTTTTTTTCTCATCCTGTTTCTCTCTTTCTCTTTCTCTCTCTCTCTCTCTCTCTCTCTCTCTCTTTCACTCTCTCTCTGTCTGTCAGATATGCGATTTTCCTTCTGAACTTCATGCCATATGTTTTTACTTCTCCTCATCTTCATCCTGCTGCACCATCCACATCCTGCAGTGATTGGATGTTCTTCATCTAAGCGGCGAATCAGCTTCTCCCTCAGTATTCCCACACTCCTCCCCAAAAATAGACGCTTCTTTTCTATTGGCTACTCCTCCAGTGATGAGGAGGAGGAGGAGGAGGAGGAGGGAGGGAGTAAGTATGATGAAGGTAGCTGTGTGTCAGAGTGGATCCTGTAACTCCTCCAAACTAAACCCCCAGCCCCCACCCCACCCAAAGCTTCTTACAGCTAACACTGAAGCTTCCTAAAAGTCTAAACCAGCCTCCTTGACAGCCTCTGAATAAAATAGCCAGTTTCAGAGAGCTGCTGCTGTTGATTCTTAAAGTGCCACTCTGTAGCCAAAATCACATTACCTGTGTCATTCTCAAGGGCTATTAATCTGCAGAGCCCCAGTAGATCATTAGCAATTCACCTCCGAGTTGTGAGCGGAGACAGTGCTGCTCTGCACACTCCTCTTCACGCTAGCTTGCAGCCTAACATGGTCAGGGCAGGAAGCAGCAGGTGACATAGGAGCTATTCAGCTGTCAGACACGAGTGTCTTTAGGGACATGATGAAAGGTAATATCATAATTAGCTTTCATAAGCATTGCAATCTGCTAACGCACATGCATGTTCTGTAATCGCCCTCTACTTCTCAGAGTCTGGCCTGCATAGTGGGGCTCCAGGGGCGGAGCTTGGATTTGTGACATAAGAAATCTCACTGTGTCTGATCCTGAAATTCTCAGAAATGCAATTTTGCTCATAGTTTTGTGTATATAGACAACAAGAAAAACATGATTTTTAATTGAGTGGGTCTTTACACTAATTTTTTTTTTTTATAGGAAGTGATTCTGTTAAAATGTAGCGCTTTGCAAAACATTTCAGGTTTGTATGTTACTGATAACTGTAACTGCAGAGACAACATAAAAACTATTAAAGCCTTTTTTTTTTAGAGAAGACCTTCATATTTCAGAGAGACAATGACAAACCACATTCTGACAACAGGGATTACAACAGCATGGCTCTGTAGTAGAAGAGTCCTGCTAAGAAACTGGTCTGCCTATATGGAGGAGTGTTAAGGTCTCTGTCCGTGTTCTCCTAATCTCTGAGGTCTCTTCTTCCATGTCTAACTTTCTCTATTAAGGTCTTTGCTCCTTCATCTGCAGTTCAACTCTCAGCTGAACAAAATACTCAACTTCAAGATTCAATAAATTTCCTCTTTTCCTCCTGTAGGGGGCGGGTCGTTCTCCAGTAATTCTGGTTCACTAGAGTACAGGTAAGAAGCGAAGATGGTAGAGCTCATATTAATTTAAACACAGCCTGCTGGATGTTTCTGAGTGTTTCAGTTTTCATGTCCCAAACAAAAAGTTTTAGTGTGTTCGCTCTGTGAATTAAAGCAAAACCTGTGTGTCTGTGTGCGTGTCAGTATTTCAGAGGAAGAGCCGGGCCCCCTGCGGAGCGACACTGAGGGGAAAGGAGGCCCTAAAATCAGCCGAACGTTCAGCTACCTCCGTAACAAGATGACTAAGAAAGGAAAGGTGAGAACAGCTGCTGCAGGTGCTTGATGAACATAAACACGCTGCAACACAATGGAGCACCTGAGAGAGTGTGAGGGGCTTAGCGCAGGTATTCAGGGATCAGAGTACATCTCTCTTTGTAGGACTGAGGAGAAACTGATTTAGAGTCTGTCTCTGTATTGGTAGACTTGAGGTCAGAAGGGGGTGCTGCTAGACAGCACAGGCATCCTGCAGACAGTGTGAGCATATCAGAGAGGGTGTTTGTGATTGGTTACAGTTTATTCAGAGTTTATAAATCAGAGTTTTTCTCCAGAACAGCTAATTATGAGCTAAGACTTCAGTTAATTACTACGTCATGAAGAGCTTGAGCCCGCAGACTAAAAATACGACTGAAACCAGATAAAAACTGAAGTGAAAGAAGATACTCAAGTAAATGATCGAGTCAGAAATGATCCCAAAATTTATTAAACTGCATGAAACTGATTTTTAAAGCAGAACTTCGAGTTTCAGACCACATTACAGAAACTTTTACTGATGCATCATGAGATCTGAGAGTCTGTTTAGATGAAGCATGATGATGAATTCTGCAAAAACACTGCAGACAGACGGAGGAAGAGGAACTCCGGTTGTGCGCGTGTTAGTGTGTGCATGTTAGTGTGTGTGTTAGCGTGTACAGATGTTTGCCTGTTCACTTCCTGATTTAAAACAAAAAGACGAGCAGCAGCAGCTTGAGCTCATTGAGCGAAACAGAAAGACAACAGCACAATAGGACAAGGACAGAACGGCAGACGAGAGGGACAGATTATGAGACAGACAGAAAGACGGTGTAGAGAGACTGACGGGAAGTTAAAGAAGAAGACGGGAGGATTGTTAGCGCCATGCTCAGTAAAAGGTTGAGTCGTTCTGTGAAGTGGAGAGAGGACGCTGGATCAGAGGAGGTAAAAGGCTGATTCTCATCGTTAGTGTGTGTCTGTCTGTGTCTGTCTGTGTCTTTAAAGTCTCTGAGATTCTGGACAGTTTTGTCCCAAAGTTTTTATTAGTCTAACCAGGAGAAAACTTACTGGGGTTCAAATGTCTTTTTTTCACAGACTCCTGGCTGTTAGATGCAGCAACCGAGTTTTGATAAGAAAATAAATCAGCAGTTATAATAAATCTGGTTTGGATGATGTCAAAGACATGGAGACAGATTTTTTCTTAGCAGCAGCATTTTGAATGTTTGGATTCTTGAGCTCATGCTGTTAAAGTTTCAAACCTTCAGTTATATGGGTAAAAGTGCAGAATGACTGCATTACATCTACTGCATAACTCAGATGACATCACTTCCTGTTGCTCGGTCTGTCTTTAAGAAAAGCTGATTCTGCAGTCACACTTCGACCCTGAGTGTGTCAGACGAACCATAAAAACACTGAAATCTCACAGGGTTAAAAAAAAGAGGTGAAGAGCTGTGATTGGACAATAAGCGCTGATTATGGTTCTTCACACTTGGGTTGAGAGGCCCCAGGTCCAGCGTTTAAAGGGATATTCCGCTGATGAAGTTAGGTGCTGTTCTGAGCATTATTTGTGGCTATAGAGTGGCTTTTTGGTTGAGGTTTGTGTGTGGCTCCTCAGACCGCTGTGTATTATATCCTGCGGTCGTTACTAAAGTTGGTATAACTAGAGAAGCAAGCGGTGAGCAACATTCATCTCTGAGGGGGGGATGAGGCGGCTTCAGATGATAGATGTGAAAGTAGCATGGTGTGCATATCAAACTTGAACATGTTCAGTTCACTACAACGAAGCAGACTGACATTTTTTACAGAGAAAACTAAGATGTTTGTCAGTTTCTTTTAAATAAAGATTATTTTAAAAAATAGTAACAGACAGGAACCTGGGTCAGGGTGGCTCCTGATCAAGTGAAACTAAAAATAACAGCACTGTCTCTGTGAAACACCTGCTTTTGTGTGTTTTGTAGGAGAAGGAAAAGAGGGGAGAGAGGGAGCGAGAGGGGAAAGAGAAAGAGAAGAAGAGTTCAAACGGTCACCTCTTCATCTCCATCAGTCCGTCTCCATCCTCCGTCTGTCAGCTCTGCAGCAAACCTCTGAAGGACAGCAAGGACTCCTTCATCTGCAACAGTGAGTCCCTCAGTCCTGCACTCTCTGCACTTTTTAGACCTGCAGCATGTTTCTGTTCGAATCACTGTCAGATGGAAAGAAAGAACCAGAGGATGAACAAATCCGTCTGACTGAAGGCTGACGCTTCAAAACTGAACGCTGACCTCCAGACCAGGAGATTCACTTTCATGAGTCAGCAGTATGTGTGAACGTGTCAGAGCTTAAACACGGCGGCCAGTAACAGCTCACGTCTGTAGGAAAATGTCTAAGCATTAAAGCGTCTCCATGGTGATGGTGATAATGATGGTGGTGGTGATGGCAGCCTTAATCACTGTGTTTTTATTGACTCAGCAGTTTTTGGAAGCCGTTTAGTGTGTCTCTGTTGCACTGTGTTGCATCATCCCATGTGTGTGTATGTGTGCGTGTGAAGGATTCAGAGGATGAGATCATTGAGCAAGTTAGTGTGAGAGTGACTTGGTCGTCAGGGATGAGGACTTGAGTTTGAGACTTTGATTTGAGTCACAACCAAACATGAGCCTCGACTTAAACTGTTAGTCCAGCCTCTGAAAGACTGGAGATCTTGGAGTTGTGAACAGTTTAAGCTCATACCTAATAAATGCACTTTTTAAAAATGATTTCCAATCTGCTGATTCTGATATTACGCCAATAAAATCGTGCATCAGCCTGAGATCCAAGACTCTGATTGGCGATTTGCTTTATCATGGGCGGGAACTCCTTTCAGCTGTGGTTCTTTGGTTCTGCAGGCTGCTTGTAGATTCTTTTGCAGGTCATGTTCTCCGGTTATCTGAGGTTCTTTAAAGCCTGACTTTGCACAAACGTGTTCAAGCTGATAGGATTTAGGTTTCTGTTTCCTCCTGTTACGTTTTACAGACACAAACACAATGTTTATGTTGTTGTTCTGTCTGCAGACTGTGGAGTATACGTCCATAAGTGCTGCAGAGAGAGTCTGCCAGTGTGTGCAAAGAGCAAAACAAAGGTACTCACACACACACACATACATACTGTACATGCACACTCACTTACAAAATAAGCCTTGTAGAGTTTCGCTCTGAAGGACACACACGTGTGTATCACTGCTGATGATCAGACCCTCGCAGGGAGCTCACCTGTCCTCTCACCTGATATCCTCATGTCCTGTGTGTCTCCAGATGCAGACTCTGGGTCCTGAAGCTGCTCCTGGGTCAGCCGTGAACACGAGGAGTAAATGTAAGAACAGACCGAGTCACACTAAGACCCTGATATATGTGGAAACAGATACAGAGTCATATATGACAAACACACCAGTCAGGTGGATGCATAAGAGGTCAGATAAAAGAGAGTGAACATGAAGACAGAGAGACAAAAGCTGTAGACACTCTGGAGTCAATCTTCATTTAGAGACGATCAATCTGTGAATCTGCACTCTATTGTGCTGCTACAGATTTCTCTGAATGTCGTCTTTGTGTTGATCTGCAGCTACATCTTCAGCGTCCTCTGTATCATCCACATCCTCCTCCTCATCACGGGAACGCTGGTCCACAGCAACCACACCTGATGACCAGCTTCCTGTCCTCTTTCCACGGAGACACCCAAGCATCTTCAACACACACAGCAACCTGTCCAAGAGCATCTCCACCAGCAACATAGCAGGGTGAGACACACAAACACACACACACACACACACACACATACACATGCAGACTTACTTCTGCAGCTGCACTCAGTGAACCAGAGTTTAATGGTAACTGTTCTCTTTTGTTGTTTGCAGATTGGATGAGGTTCCTCTGAAGGGTCTGAAGTTTCTGTCTCAGTCCACAGACTCTCTGAATCAGGGCAGCAAAGTGAACGCCTCCACGGAGTCGCTCACTGATGAAGGTACACACATTTTACAAACATTAACACACATGAACACACACTAACACTGAGCTCATGTAGATCATAGACTGGATATAGAATGGACGCCATCTGCCTCCTCGCTGGGTGAAGCCATTGAGGGAACAGCACCCTCTGGTGACAGGCTGCAGTATAGGTCATAAATCCCACCTCCTCCAGCAATCCCTATGGAGCTGTGGACAAACTTAAGAAGTTTATTACACAGAATATACATTTTTCTCCTCCCTGCTTGTGATGTTGACATTTGTTTGTGCTCAAGTCCTCTTTTTTCTGTGCAGCTTTGTATTTCAAAGTTATTAGGGGGTTCATGTTTTCTATGATTGACACTTGATACAGCCTATGGGTGTACGAAGATTGCATAGCTCACCTGGAGGATATGCTGTTTGAGTCAAAGAGAGCTATGACTGTTATTAGAGTTTTTGCTAGCGACCTGAACTTTCCTCTGTGTGTGTGTGTTTGTGTGTGTTTTAGGCACTGAGATGATTGACAGTCAGCTGATGGGGGAGTTTGAGTGTGAGGTAAAGGATCTGGAGGCTGATTCTTGGAGCGCCACGGTGGATAAAAAGTTCCTGAAAGCTCTGAAGAAAGATGAGATTAAGAGACAGGACGTCATCTACGGTAACACCTGTTTACCTGTCTGTCACACTGTCCAGATAAGCGCGTACCTGCCTGTGGTTCCCAGTCTCAGATGTCTCTCTTTCTCTCTCTTTGTGTCCACAGAGCTGTACCAGACAGAGTTTCACCACGTGCGGACTCTGAGGATCATGAGTGAGGTTTATTATAAAGGCCTTCAGAAGGAGCTGCAGCTGGACACGCTCACTATGGACAAGGTGAGCAGAGGGGGTGAAACAACTTACTGACATCACTGATTAAATAGCATAGGTTAACACTCTGTGTGCGGTTCATTTTCCGCAGATCTTCCCTATGTTGGATGACCTGCTGGACATGCACATGCTCTTCTTCAGCCAGCTGCTGGAGAGGAAAAGAGCATCTTCATCTGAGGGTCAGAGCAACAACAACTTCCTCATCTGCAGCGTCGGGGACATCCTGCTGCAACAGGTGAGCTCCGGGAAACATCAGCTGATCTCAGGGTAAACTTTCTCAAATGGAGACAGTCTACCATCTGGGTGCTCAGTGAGCTGCAGGTTGAAGAGAGAAAACCTTGGTCTTGTTCAGAGGTGTGTTTTGGGTGTCACATGAATCGGACCAGTCAGAGTGTCAGCTCCCTTTAAAGTCTGGTTTATGCTCCTGCATCAGACCTACGCCGTACTGGCCTTCGTAAGCACCACATAATTTAGTGTTGGTTTGTCACGTTGCTCTGCAGTATTGTGCATGCTCACCATATGATCAGTCTCCAGTCCTCTGTGCAGACCGAATACAAGCGTAACATGTTAGAGTTTAAGCTGATTGAGCTGCAGTTAGACTGTACAGCTGCTGAAGAAGAGGACACCAGAAATGTTTGTTACCAAGCAGACCAATCACAGTCCTGATTGTTTCAATGTGTCGTTACATTTTTGAGGAGGTGCATGTTGGGCTTCTCTCACCTCCTGTGGTCATGGTGCAGGGCTGCACATGTCTACAGTATAGGTCTGACGCAGGAGCATGTCCCAGGCTTAAGAGTCAGGTGTGCCTGCAGACAGACAGGGTGTTACTATTTACACAGCAGACACCGTCTTCATGACTCTCACACTGAGTGTGTGTTTGACTCCAGTTCTCAGGCTGCAGCGCTGATCGCATGAAGAAGGTCTATGGGAAGTTCTGCAGTCGCCATAACGAAGCGGTGAACCTCTACAAAGACCTGTACGCCAAAGACAAACGCTTCCAGGCTTCCATCAAGGTCAGCACTGACACACACACACACACACAAACTTCACAGTCTGCATACACAGCTGTGATCCATTCTGAATGGATATATAAACATGTGTGTTTTTGTGTTTGTGTGTTTATGTGCAGAGGATGATGAGCAGCAGCATTGTGCGCAGACTTGGTATCCCAGAATGCATTCTGTTGGTGACTCAGAGGATCACTAAGTATCCTGTTCTGCTCCAGAGGATCCTGCAGCACACTAAAGGTGAACACACACTTACCTCCTAGCTGGACTGAGGGCACAATATCAGTGTGTGTCCTTCAGTGATTGATAACTGTGTGTATATGTGTGTGTTTGGTGACAGAGTCTGACGAAGACCATAGTCGTGTGTGTGAAGCTCTGCGCTGTGTGAAGGAGCTCATCTCCGCCGTGGACAGTAAGGTCAACGAGCAGGAGAAGAAACAGAGACTGAGGGAGGTCTATAGGTAAACACACGCACACCCACACACACACACTGAAGTTCACTCTGTACTGTATTACACACTGTTTAATACACAATACATATTAATCTCTATAGTACATGATGTTTTCTTTCATTATTTTTATAACTCTATCTATCACAGTGAGGGCTTTATTTTGCCCATCTTGTTAGTCAGTTCTTACCCCTCCTCACATATTGTACCTCCTCTAGAGTCGTCTTACTCTCTGTCTGTTGTTTTCATGATGTTTTGAAGATGTCTGACCCTAAATAAGGCAAATCATGTGTGAATGAGTTGTAGAAATTTTCTTCAATACAGCAATAAGCATCCAGCAGATCAGCATGAGATAAGCTGCAACAGTCCCAAACTCAAGCAATAGTCCAAAATAAATGTACTAGTCTTAAACTCATGCAGCAGCCCACAACACAGGAAACAGTCCAAGAATTATGCAACAGAGAAAAGGAGCAGCAAATTTGAAAACTTGCAACAAAAACCCAAAACATTATCAGGAACAGCAAAAGTGCTGTGAAAATATACAAGAGCATAGAGCAGCTGCTTAAGAGGCTAAAGCACATGAGAGCTCCAGATCTTTTTAGTTCCTAACTGATCTTAATCTTTGGTCCGTGCTTGTTTCACCACGATGTAGAGGATTTCCATCACTGCAGGTTCAGTCTCTGGCTTGATTGTGTGTTGTGTGATCTCTGCAGCCGCACTGACAGTAAGTCCATCATGAGGATGAAGAGTGGTCAGATGTTTGCTAAAGAGGACCTGGTCAGAGGAAGGAAGTTACTGCATGATGGAGCGCTGCAGCTCAAGAACTCAGCAGGACGCCTTAAAGGTTCACTATGATGACATGTGTTGCATTTATAGAGTGAAAAACTGTCTTTAAACGTCTGGTCTAACGCCGTCTCTCTCCACGGTGTCTCATCACTCTGTTTCTGTTGCTACTGCAGACGTTCAGGCCATGCTGCTCTCAGACGTGCTCGTCTTCCTGCAGGAGAAGGACACAAAATACGTCTTTGCTTCGTTGGTTAGTTGACCTTTCCTTTTTAAGTTTAAATGTATTAATTTGATCATGTGTTGGCATAGTAACAGAGCTGTACCTGTCCCTGTGTGTTTTCAGGATCAACGCTCCACAGTCATCTCCCTGCAGAACCTGATTGTCAGAGAGGTGGCCAACGAGGAGCGAGGTAATTCCGTGCTGTGGTGGTCTTCATTCAGTGTTAAACAGCTCACACACACATTCTAATAAGCCTCTCTGTGATTGGTTGATAGAAAACTCTGAAGTCTGATCTGCTGTTTTTCTTCTGCAGGACTCTTTCTGATCACAGCGGGCATCGAGAGGCCAGAGATGGTGGAGGTTTTAGCGAGCAGCAAAGAGGAGAGGAACACCTGGAGGGCTATCATTCAGGACGCAATGCACTGCATGTGAGTGAGCACAGAACACACACACACACACACACACACACACACACACACACACACACACACACACACACACACACGATCAACTTACCTCTGAAAGGAGTTAAAATAAAGTGAAAATCTTCAGGAAACTTTGTGGTTTTGTGATTGTAGCAATTGTAAAAAACATGTCTTTAAAAATCGTCTAAAAGATTTACAGCCCAAAGCGACAGATATGTATGGATATGTATAAATGAAGACAGTGATGTGTGTGAGATTTGAAAGAATTCAGGTGTTTCAAAAGTGGAAAATAAATCCTCTGAGTAGAACCTGAACTGAAATGTTAGAGACTCGGGGTCAGAGATATAAATTTTGGAGCCATACAGGTGTGTTTCTACTGAAAAGAAGCTTTAAAACCTGCTGAATGGTGTGAAATTGAATGTTTTTGTGTTTTTCAGGGAGAAAGATGAAGACGAGGGCGTCCCCAGTGAGACAGAAGAGGACAGAAGACAGCAGGAGAGCCGAGCCAAGGAGATCCGGGGTGAGAGAGAGCACTTTAAATTAGATCAGAGGCTCATATTCATTAGATTAGATCAGATTACCTCACACACATTAATGAGGTTATATTGGATTAAAAAGGTTAGATTGGATTATCGCCCTCAAATTAATTAGATTAGATAAACCAGGTGATGGTTGAACTCGGTCTTTGTGTTTCCTCAGAGCTGCTGCGACAGAAAGACGAGCAGATCATCTCTCTGCTGGTGGAGAAAGTCCACATCTTCAGAGACCTGAGCGACTGTAGCCCCGCCCCTGACGACAGGACCCCACCTGTCAGGGAGCGGATGTTGTTCAGAGCCACGGCTGATGACGTCACAAAGGGAGAGCCAATCATAAAGGACGCTCTGAGGGAAGGTGAGCAGGCTGCATGATACTGTGTGTGTGTGTGTGTGTCAGAGGTGAAGTGTTGATGATCAGTGTGTAATCGTCCTCTGTCTCTGCAGTGGAGATGCTGCACACTGTGGTCCACAGTGGTGTAGGTGGAGCTGGGTGCAGTACACCTGTCAGCCTGACAGGGGGCAGTGTAGGACCGGTGTGTCTGCCCAGGAGAGCTGAGACGTTCGGGGGCTTTGACAGTCATCAGATGAACAGCAGCAAGAGTGAGACACACACACACACACACACACACACACACAGATGGCTCTTACACACATGCTCCACCTGACAGCAGGTGTGCTTCAGCCAATCAGACTCCGCCCTCACTCCGTTTCTGTCTCTGTTCTCAGATGGAGAGAAGGAGGAGGGGGATGAATCACTGGACCTCCGCAGGACTGAGTCAGACAGTGTGCTGAAGAAGGTGTGTGCGTGCATGAGTGCGTGCGTGCGTGCGTGCGTGCGTGCGTGTGTGTGTGTGTGTGTGTGTGTGCATTATTGATAAGTGTATTCTGACAGCAGATCTCTTTAAAAATGGATGTAAGTGTCACTGAGTGTAGCAGATGAACAAAGCTGCTGGTTTGATCCCTGAACTCCTCATAGTGACTCTATTTGTCACACACTTTTACACTATTACATAATGTTATTAGCAAACATACACACACACTGATGGTAACACACACATACACAGATAGTAACACACAGAGAGGGTAGTACATACACTGACTGTTACACACACAGTGACAGTTACACACACACACAGTGCGAGTAACACACACACAGTGCGAGTAACACACACAGTGACAGTAACACACACATATTGACAGTAACACACACACACACAGTGCGAGTAACACACACAGTGACTGTAACACACACACGCTAACAGTTACACACACAGTGACAGTAACACACACATATTGACAGTAACACACACACACACAGTGCGAGTAACACACACAGTGACTGTAACACACACGCTAACTGTTACACACACAGTGACAGTAACACACACACATTGATAGTAACACACTCGTAGTGCCAGTAACAAACACATATTGACAGTAACACACACACAGTGACAGTAACACACACACATTGACAGTAACACACACATAGTGCCAGTAACAAACACATAGTGACAGTAACACACACAGTGACAGTAACAAACACACATTGACACTAACACACACATAGTAACAGTAACAAACACACATTGACAGTAACACACACATAATTACAGTAACACACACATAGTGCCAGTAACAAACACATATTGACACTAACACACACACAGTGACTGTAACACACATAGTGACAGTAACACACACAGTAACAGGGCTGTAAAGGACTCTCAGTTTTCCTCCTGTCAGATTAGCTCTGCTGTGACTTTGAATGAACTTTGTAAAAACAGGAAACCCTTTTTACCTGAGCAGAGACAGACCCCTGTCAGACCCCTGACAGGTTACCACAACAAGAAGGTTTCCTAGAGTGAATAGAAACAGCCATTCATCAGAGTCATGATGATAGGATCAGTTCAAATCAGGTTCAGTCTCTCCTTCGCCTCATCCTCATCATGGATCACCACAGTCTGTTCTCAGATCAGCACACATGGTACCTCAGCAGAAGGACGCCAAATAAGTAGGACAGTCCAGGTCGGTTATTTCGGTCCCTTTACCAACTTTTGATGATGAAACTGCCAATGACAGTAGACTTAACAAAAGAAAATTAGACCCCCTTTGGTGGAAGCGTACCATTAGAGCTCACAGAGGTGAGGCAGGGACAGTGAGTTCTGTAAAACCAGAGAGGGGTCATTTTCCTCTCTGCTCCTCTGTGACTCTCTGATGTCTGCAGCTCTGGACCCGAACACACCCTGTCTGCCAGCTTTAGATTACAGTCTGACCGTGACTATTAATGTGGGCTGTGTGTGTGTTTGTGTGTGTGTGTGTTCCTCAGGGAGCTGCTGCCAGCCTGCAGATGCTGCTGAAAAGGAACAATGAGGTAAGGGACTGATCCGGTTCTTGTTTTTGGATCTAAAGTGCTCCTGACTGAATCCTGTGTTTAGGTGACGCTGTGTCTCTCCAGCAGGTCCAGCACGGCGTGACACACCTACACGACCTGCTGCTGTCCCTGCAGGTAACACTCACACACACAGACACACACATTGATAACAGCTTGGCTGCGTCTATCCTCTCCTCCTGTCATCCTAACCTTGGCACCTCCTCCTCCTTCTCCTCCTGCAGGCTGTGGTGGTCCAGCAGGACTCCTTCATCGAGGATCAGCGACAGGCCATGAGTGATAGGCTCACTGCCAACTCCTCCAGACACTCTTCCTCCTCCTCGTTGTCCTCGTCTTCCTCATCGCGGCCCTCCTCTCTCATTGAGCAGGAGAAACACAGGAGTCTGGAGAGGCAGCGACAGGAGGCAGCCAGCCTGCAGGTTCTCCTTCTCTATGAATCATGAAGCTCGGAGCTGGACTCTCTCCACAGCGCTCAGCTCTCCTCACTCTGTCTGTTCTCTTTGTTTCAGAAACAGCAGGCCGCTCACCAGGAGGAGAAGAGGAGGAGGGAGAAGACCTGGGAGCTAAAGGAGAGGAGTCTAACTGAGCGGGAGGAGAGGCTGAGGATGGAGGAGGAGGAGACCGGCAGGAGGCGTCAGGAGCTCCTGGAGGAGAGGGAGACTCTGCAGAGGAAGAAGGAGGAGTACCAAAAGGAGCTGGAGAGGCTGAGGGAGGCTCAGAGGAAGCTGGAGAGAGACAAGGAGGCTCTGAGGAGGGACACGGAGAGGCTTGAGGCCATGAAGAGAGAGGAGGTCAGAGTGAGTCAAAGGGAGTCCTGGGGGGGAGGTGAACCTTTAGAGGGATATTTCAGTGTTTTTGTGGTGGACCCCTAGATCAGTCAGATTATGGACTCAGATATAGAGGACTTAGATCAAACAGCAGAAACACAGAGCTGAGTCACAGACATGATCATTACAAACTCGTTCAGCCTGTAGACAGCTGATCCTGAACCAGCAGATACATGATCTCTGCTCTGAAACCACAAACTGATGCAGGAGACGATTTCTGTGGAGGACGTGGCCGACTAATGAATCCCGTATTCATGTTCCTCAGTCTGAGGTCTCAGCCACAGAGCTCCAGTATAGACCCCATCCTTTGGACCACTAAACTAGAGTTTGAATGACTATGACTGATTTAAAGACATCTGCTGGATCAGCCAAGTCCACCTGAAGGAGAGCAGTCAATGTGTTTATAAAACTACTCAGAGATTTTGTCAGATTAAAGATTTATAAACGCCCAAAGACCCGCTCCATACAGGCACCTCTGTGCTGGTATTTGAGTGTCTGTGTGATGTCACAGCGTCCTGAATGACCCTGATGTTCTGGTCTTGGACTTCATGGTGAAAAGTTAAACCAGCTGTCAGGTTTTAGAGCTTCAGGATCTCCTTGTGTGGTCACGATTCTGCAGGTCTAATGCTGCGTTCAAGTTACCTCGGAAATCAGATGTCGGAGTTGGAAATGACGTCACACCCGAGTTACCAATGTTTCAATTACCAAGTCGGAAAAAAGTGAAATCGGAGGCGGATAAGGTGGCTACATCTATGAAAGGGGATGCTAAAATAACAAGTGCTAAAATAACTGTCGTAGATGTAGCCATCTTGTTTCCGCCTCCGATTTCACTTTTTTCCGACTTGGTAACTGAAACATTGGTAACTCGGGTGTGACGTCATTTCCAACTCCAACATCTGACTTCCGAGGTAACTTGAACGCAGCATAAGTCCCTGGCTCCTGGTCTCTAGGTCTAAATCTGTCTCATGTCCTGTTATACCTGCAGATGGGGGAGCTCCAGAGGTACAAGAGGACACCTTCCACCACCTCTGAGGACTCCATCAGGTTCCACAGCTCTGGATCTCTGGACCTGGATTCTAAAGAAGCAGAGGAGCCCAAAGAGGTAAAAAGTCTTGTTTCCATAATTCGCCATGGGAACAGTGAGTACGAAGTGTGTTTGACGTGTGTGCATTTGTCCTCCTGCAGGTGGAGCTCTCCTCCTCCGCCCCAACCAAAGAGCCTTTCCTCCGCATCGGGTCTAAGAGGATGGGCAAAAACTTTAATCCCTTCTCCTCCTCCTCCTCTTCGTCCTCCAAAGCTCAGGGAGCAGAGAAGGAGTCCCAGCTGCCCAGCAGACTGCTGCAGCTGACCAAACCCAAAGAGAAGAAAGACAAGAAGAAGAAGAAGGGAAAGGACTCAGGTACCAATGACGACACAGGGGCTGGATTAGTTCGGGGTGGCTTCGGTCAGCATAGAGGTTCACAGACTTTTCAGCCCAGGACTGCCAATCAACTACAGTTTTAGGTTAGAAAGGCTAAAAACAGATGATCAACATGTGACTGATGAGACTAAACACAACTCACCTACTCTCTTCCAGCAGCCGCTTGTTTGTACGGAGACCTCTGACAAGTCAATTTCTGACTGCAGCGGGGTGATGCAGCTCAAGGAAGAACATTTATGATTATTACTTTAGCATTTCCTAGAAGTAATAATCATCATGATGATCATTTTGCACTGCAGACGCAGTAGTTCTTCTGCCTCAGCGTCTTGGTCTGATTGCATTTCCATGAAAGAATGATCATAAATGTTCTTCCTTGAGCTGCGTCACCCCGCTGCAGTCCGTAATGGACTGGCCGAGGTGTCGCGACAAACAAGCGGCTACTGTAAGAAAGTAGATATGTTGTGTTTAGCCTCTTTGTTAAAGAAATCAGGCAAAACCAAAAAGACGTTTGGTGGCTAGTACTATGGCTAGGACCCAATATGTACTGTTGATGAAGTTAGGTGCTGTTCTGAGCATTATTTGTGGCTATAGAGTGGCTTTTTGGTTGAGGTTTGGTTGTGGCTCCTGGGACTGCTGTCATTACTAAAGTTGGTATAACTCGAGAAGTAAGCTGTCGGCAACATTTATCTCTTGAGGGGGTGTCTAACTCGGTGTTACGGTGTGTTTGACCCTAAATTAAATTTAAGACAGAATATCCCTTTGAGGTCCTCTCTCTCTCTCTTCCCCTCCAGAAAACAAGGTGACACCTGATCCTCAGAATGATGGAGACATCTACTTCTGCTGAGGACCTGAACCCTGCTCAACTGATCAGACTGCAGGACTAAACCTGGACTCTGGACTTCATACGTCAGTCCTGACCTCCTGTCACACACAGACTATCAAACTGATCTTCCAAAGACTGAGTACAGACAGGTATGAGCTTCTCTCAGAGACCACAGGTGAGCTGGAGACTCATCAGGAGGACAGAAACCCAGAGCTGAGGAGGACGAACCAGCAGGAGCTCAGAGTCTTCTCGTGCTTCCTCTTAGACTGATGTTAGCTTTAAGGTGCTCTCAGCTCCTCTGGGTGAACACCTGGAGGATCTGACCTCTGACCTTTGACCTTTTTGTCCTCGTGTTAAATCACAGATAAGTCAAAGACGCACAGATACCACAGGACAGACGCTGAGTCTGTGACCTCTGGCACAACCAACCAATCAGCCACAGAGAGATAAACCCTCTGTGGACAAACCCCCAGTGCCTTCAGCTTCTGTTAGCTCACAGCAGGTGTTGAAACCCTGCAGGAGTCACATGATCACAGTGTGTTTATGAAACGTTACCTGTACATGTGGATGACAATCTTCTTTAATCAGACAGACAATCACAGCTATGCAACAATCCCAGTCTGCAGCAGAAACATCAGAAAGGTTTGAACGTGCACTTTATAAAGAGAGAGGTTTGATTTTCAGGGTCTGATTTTTTCTCCTGTTTTAGTCCCACATTCATTCGGCTCTAACTTCAGGGAAACAGAGAGGATCAGCTACAAACTTCTCTACCTGTTCTTCCTTTATTATCAGGGCTGTCCATAAGATGTGTTTATCGATCATTTACAGACAAAAGGTCACGCATCAGTAAAATGTCTCGCAGATTGACTGTCACTGACCTCTGACCCTGTAGGTAACTGATCATTCAGCCGCTCAAAAAACCTTTTTTGGAAATCTCATTCAGCTTTGAGTCTTGAACATTTTCTAAAGCAGAGAGTAGCACCATCAGACACAGACGTCAATCTATCTACTCCTGTCATATTTAACAATCCGGAGATGTCATTCAGAGCCCTGTTGTTTTCAATCCTTCTGTAATAGATTAACTATAATCCTCCTCCATGTGCAGTTGAAAGGCTGTGCAAAGGTCAGGCTGCATGTCAGCCTGTAATAGTGGATGCACATAATTCTAATTGATTGATACCAAGGCCCACAGAATAACACATGAAACTCAGACACCAAGTCCTCATCTGGTCTCATCTACACTGTAAGTCCTCAAATGTCTTTATTTGGGTTTTTATCTGCATCTGGGCCCCTGTTATCAACACAGCTAACAGAAATGTTGTTCTACCTGCTCATGGCTTTTAGTCAGAGTGTCTGTTGTATGTGGGTTAGGTAAGGGTTTTGCATTTTGCAAAGAAAGAGGCATATTTGCTCCAAATAAACGCATGCTGAATTATTGAAATGCATGTAAACAGCACTGATGCACAAAAATGCCATTCGCTCTGCAGTGCAGTGTGTGGAGTATGTAACCCTTTGTGCTTTAGGAGATGTCTTTTTTGGCTCATTTGCAGGTTTAGTTAGTGCAAAAGAAAAATCAGGCCCTCAATTTGTGGTGAAATATGAACAATTTTAAATCTCAGACGGAGAGACTTTGGTGTAAAGATCCAGATACCTTCAGCACAAAAATCAAAAACATGGCCCAGTTTACGGTACACAAATGTATAGGAGGGGAAAAGTGCATGGTGTGTGTTTATCCACGCAATCCTGAAACACACGTACACCTCCATTTAAACTTTTCAATGAAAATTGATACACATATGCATTAACGTACTATATATTCATACTGGATATGGATATACTTGAACTTAAAGGAAAATACATTTAAATAATTCTGTCATCTCCCATCAGACCCTTAATCCTAAATCTGTATTTGCTCAAACCTATTCCACATTTTTGGACGTCAATGAAAACAGTGAATTTCCCTTTAATCAGAATCACACAACTGTTTCTTCATCAGAGAGCATCAAATAAGCTTCATCAGCATTAGCATTAGGACAGCATTGGCTGCAGTCATGTGAAAGTATATTCATAGTATACTAAAGTACTGAGGAGATAATTTGGTATCCTTAATCAGAGTTTACTGAAGGAAAACTGACATAAGGATGATATTAGGACAGGTGCATTTGACCTTTGACCATTCAGACTTTTAATGTTCACACATTAAAAGAGTCATTTTAAGCCAAATATGCTGAAATCAATCAATGATTAAAATTCTGTTCCAAGGAGAAGTGATGGAGGCAGAGTTTACCGTTACCTCAGGATACTCCAAACCAGGGGGCTCATCGATCTCTTAAATAAGGATCAGATGTTTACATGCAGGGAAAACAAAATCCCTGATTAAACCTGGACACAAAAGACTCACTCTGTCACAGCAGTGATTTACAAACTTAGACCAAAGACAGGTCTGACCTGCTCCGCTCTGTTGACTACACTTTTATTCTGAAATGAACCCCTTAAATGACCGAGTGTGAGTGACACAGAGCTCAGGATTTAAACACCTCCTCTCAAACATTTAGGAAAGAGCTGAAAACTTTTAAAGGAACTTTCCCTCCACTTTAAATCCCTCTGCATGATGCTGCACATGCTCCTGAATGTAAGAGACACCAAAACTGCTAATACTCCCCCTGATTCCTCCCCCTAATCCAGATACCCAGCGTCCCCCTGCAGTTCTGCTCCCGCCGATAACACACACTCACACACTCTCACAGAGCGCAGCTCGTCTTCATCCGCTCTCATCCTCTCACAGCCTTCTGAGCGCTCCCACATTGATTTTCTGCTCCTGTTCTCGGTTGCAGCCTGAAGAATAATATTTCAGCTCAGTGTCATTTCCCGCCTTCTGCTGAGCCGAGCACATTTCTGCAGAAACTGAAAGCACAGCAGCCTCCCTCTAATGCACCCCCCCCCCACCCCCTTCATCCTCTTCCTGCTCTCCTGATGCTCTCTCCCAGTGATGAGTGGGTCAGACCTCCTCTGTGGATCCTGCAGATTTACAGTTAGATTTATAGATTTACAGTTAATCAATCATCTGCTCACTTTGAGTGAGGAACAGCTGAAAAAAACACAACAGAAAACTATCTAAAACTGTTACCACAGAATCAACTGTTCATGCTAATGTCCCCTCCTCCACCTCCTTACAGTGTCCACTCTGACTGTCCACATCAGGTCTAAATCTGCCCTTTAACATCATTCATTAGGTGTAAGCAAACTCAGGCTGTCATCAGCTCTTTAGTCTCAGCCATTGTCTCTGTGTATTTACGATAAAAATGTCTTGTTAAACACAATGACCTCAACAGTCTAGAAAAATTCCAAAATTTAGACTTGCTTTCATAAGTAAAGAAAAAAAATCTGCTACTAGAATAAAAGGGAAATGTTCAAACTCGACAAACTAAACCTGTAAAGTGATTTTTTTTTCTTATTCCACCACCTGATGTCTGTCCTTACTGCACTTATTTTTGCCATGAAATAGGACATTTTATTGGATTTGTCAAGTGAATGGGGAGCTTTCTTTCTTTTTAGCAACTGAAAAAAACTGATGAATCCAAAACCAAAAACTGTTCACTAAGTGCCTTGAAAACACAGATTTATCTCCCATGTATGAGCAGGAAAAGAAAACCCCAAAATGACCAAATTTTGAGAAATCTGGATGATTTCTAAGCCTGTTTTTTTACATCCAACTCACGTGTGATTTTAATCAGGAAGTGTTTCCAGGGTTTAAATGTCTTAACTGTCTGAAACCTTTGGGGCCTGTGTCAATTAAAGGGATAGTTCAATGTTTTTGGATGGAGGTTACATAAAAGTCACATCTTCTTAGTGGACGCCGGTCAGTCCTGTCATCCAGAACCAGCATGCAAGCTAGGCTACAGTTTTCTGCAGATATAATTCAGCTCATTCAGAGACCCCGACCCAAACACTCAGTATAAGTGTGATTTTCAACACTTGACCATCAGAAAGCCTGTGTGTTTTTGCACTATTTATAGACATGACACATTGACGTATTCTTCCTCATGTGTCCGCCCTCACAAAAGTAGTGAGAAAAAAATGTGCCTTTGGATGGTAAAGTGCTGAAAAATTAAATACATTTAAACTGAGATAAATGTTCAGGTCAGAGTCTCAAACTTGATCCAGTCTGCAGGAAACTAGAGTCCAGTGTGTCTCTTGTTTCTACCTGCAGTTTCTCATCAAAAGAACTGAGCTGACTGGCGATCATAGATGCATTTAACTCACACAGCCTCACCTCAAAAACAGTGAAATAGCCCTTTAATTATTTTTGTTTTGTTTTTGTTCATTTGTTTGTTTTTGTTGTTTTGTTCCTTTACAAAATGTCTCAGTGTCCTACACACCAAAATGCCTGTCAGCTGTTTATTTGTTTTTTTTTCCACTGAAGCTCCTGAGCGTCACTTCTGCATCAATAACCAATCACAATCATGAACAGGACTCTTACTGTTTTTTTTTTCTGTTTCTTTACTGAGCACCAAGGAAACGGTGAGCACTGTGCAAATCCACTCACATGCAAATTTGTAACCTGTATGCAAGGATCTGCGCATGGCTCTTTTATGACCTGGCATATGAAGGGTTTTGTATTTCTTTGTAAAATGCAGACAGATTATTTTCTTTTTTTTATAGAACTAATGAAAACTGCCAAAGGATGCCAAAAAGCAGAGGGATGACTGTAGTTGCAGAGTCACAGTAGGTGCTCCAAAGTTGGGTCATTTGCAGTGCAAGCATGATAACATGGGGCCAATAGGCACAGAGTCTAAATAAACAAACATGTATAAATGCATTTGTTTTAAAAAAAGGTTACTCAAAGCTGAGGTTTATCTGCAGTTTAGGCCAAAGGCATGCAGGTTCAAACCTGAGGATGTAAATCACTGCAGCATCAGGACCACATGAGCCTCCAGAGTCCTGCTGAGGAGGGGCACATTACTTATCATTATCCAAAGTCAGAGCTGCAGACCCCCACAGTGACGTCCTCCAGAGTCCATGAGGTCAGTTTCTCTGCAGCCTAGTCTCTGTATTAGAAGCATCAGACACACACTGTTTGTCTCTGTATGTGAGCCTGTTGTTCCTGCAGCATCGAAGCCTCTTTCTGCAGGTTTAGTGACAGAAACCATGTTTTTTTGGAGGTAGTTTTTAGTGGTTTTAAAGAGGAGCTGTAGTGTTTTATGAGGCTGACTCCTCCTCCTCCTCAGTGTTCACACTCAGCGTGCACTAGCTTTTACTAAAACCGGTTTATAAAGAGCTTTACAAACTTACAGTTTTTGCACTGTGAGCTTTATGAAATGTATTTGTACTAAGAAAGAAGGTACAAAGTTTATTTTCTCATTTTCTGTACAAAGGAAAAAAAGCAACCATTCTGTAAATATGTTTTCTGTACAAATTTGAACTTCCAAAGTATTGAGGACTGTGGATTTTATTTAGTTTTTTTAACTGAATAACAAAGCTTTATTTATCTGGTTTCTTCCTGTTTGAAAATGTACAGTTCTTCTCTCCACAATAAATAACAATGCTGTTTGACAGGTGAGCCATGCTGTGTGGTTCCTCTTTAAACAGACAGAGAATAATTAAGGGTAGACCCTTCAAGGACACTGATTATAGTGTATAATAATCACTGTCTACTGATATACAGATGAATGTCAGTTTTTTTTGTTTGTTTTTTGTTGCCTAAGTCACTGAACAAAAGTGGACATATATAAAGACCAGTGTTCTGGTCTTCCACTCTTGGATTATATCTCATTCTCTGAACAACACTTCCTTATCTCCTTCCTTCACCCTCTCTCTCCTGGTCCTCCCCCTCCAGCTACACTCCTCTCAGCTAATTGATCCTCCATCTCTGCTGATAAAGCTTCTTTCAGGGCCATGTCCATTATCCTCTGAGTTATGAGGGAGTTAAACATTGAATCTGGAGGAGATCCATATTTCTATAATACCCTTTAGTGTTATCCTGCAGGAGCTGTTATTCCCTCTGTGATTTAACGGCTCATGACAACAGAGCATCCAACACGTGTTATCGTCTCTCTGGATCCATGTTCTCCCAGTGTAAACACGACACCACGTGATATTAATCAAAGTACCATCCAGAGTTCAAACACTTCCATCCTCAGTAACGGTCTCTACAGTCAAACCCTCAGCACATCAGTGAAACCTTGTAGTGAAACAAAAACCCAACACAACAGATGTCTCACCTCTGCAACAAATGAATCAACAGCAAACACACTACAAAGGTCAAAAACACACCAAAGGAGACAATCAATTCACAGTCATCATTGTGGGTGAGCTGGATATGTAGTTTGGGGAAGCAGATCTCAAGAATAAATCTGTATTTTTGGACATCGGGACCTCTGCAGATGGATGTTGGGCTCTTGAGTGGAGACGTGGAAAAGTCCTGAAGAATAACAACAGTCACCCAGACCAGCAGAGATCAGTCAGATGATAGAAAACACCAGATCTGGGTTGTATTCCATGTGAACATTTGAGGGCTTGTATCTGATCAGTCTCTAAATTAGGCTACGTTCACACTGCAGGTTATGATGCACAATTTGGATTTTTTGTTTAATCCGATCTTTTTGTGCGGTCGTTCACATTACAACAACGAATGCAGCATTTAATGTGAACGGAATGCGTCCGTGAAGTGACCCGCATGCGCACAAAGCACAAATTGCTTTCTGCGCCTGTTTGTGTTGTCGAACGCATATTGATTATGTATAGGTCGGATGAACGCGACCTGAGCTTCCATACCACAGTCACATCACATACATATCTAATCTACACTCACCGGCCACTTTATTAGGTACACCATGCTAGTAACGGGTTGGACCCCCTTTTGCCTTCAGAACTGCCTCAATTCTTTGTGGTATAGATTCAACAAGGTGCTGGAAGCATTCCTCAGAGAGCTTGGTCCATATTGACATGATGGCATCACACAGTTGCCGCAGATTTGTCAGCTGCACATCCATGATGCGAATCTCCCGTTCCACCACATCCCAAAGATGCTCTATTGGATTGAGATCTGGTGACTGTGGGGGCCATTTGAGTACAGTGAACTCATTGTCATGTTCAAGAAACCAGTCTGAGATGATTCCAGCTTTATGACATGGCGCATTATCCTGCTGAAAGTAGCCATCAGAAGTTGGGTACATTGTGGTCATAAAGGGATGGACATGGTCAGCAACAATACTCAGGTAGGCTGTGGCGTTGCAACGATGCTCAATTGGTACCAAGGGGCCCAAAGAGTGCCAAGAAAATATTCCCCACACCATGACACCACCACCACCAGCCTGAACCGTTGATACAAGGCAGGATGGATCCATGCTTTCATGTTGTTGACGCCAAATTCTGACCCTACCATCCGAATGTCGCAGCAGAAATCGAGACTCATCAGACCAGGCAACGTTTTTCCAATCTTCTATTGTCCAATTTCGATGAGCTTGTGCAAATTGTAGCCTCAGTTTACTGTTCTTAGCTGAAAGGAGTGGCACCCGGCGTGGTCTTCTGCTGCTGTAGTCCATCTGCCTCAAAGTTCGACGTACTGTGCGTTCAGAGATGCTCTTCTGCCTACCTTGGTTGTAACGGGTGGTTATTTGAGTCACTGTTGCCTTTCTATCAGCTCGAACCAGTCTGGCCATTCTCCTCTGACCTCTGGCATCAACAAGGCATTTCCGCCCACAGAACTGCCACTCACTGGATATTTTTTCTTTTTCGGACCATTCTCTGTAAACCCTAGAGATGGTTGTGCGTGAAAATCCTAGTAGATCAGCAGTTTCTGAAATACTCAGACCAGCCCTTCTGGCACCAACAACCATGCCACGTTCAAAGTCACTCAAATCACCTTTCTTCCCCATACTGATGCTCGGTTTGAACTGCAGGAGATTGTCTAGACCATGTCTACATGCCTAAATGCACTAAGTTGCCGCCATGTGATTGGCTGATTAGAAATTAAGTGTTAACGAGCAGTTGGACAGGTGTACCTAATAAAGTGGCCGGTGAGTGTATATCCACATACAAAAGAGGCCTGGGTCGGATTTGAAAAAATCAGAATTGCACTGTTCACACTTACATGAAAAAATCAGATATGTGTCACATATGATTAAAAAATCGGAAATGACCTGCAGTATGAACATAGCCTTACTCTGATCTTCTCTGAGGGACAGAAAAGCTCCTGGTGTAACAGAAACACCCAGAGTTCATCAGTAGAAAGCTACCGGTCTCACACACTGAGTGGATTTTACAGTCATCAGCTTGTCATGTTATTCTCTATTTGGAGCTGATATTGTAAACACAACCATATTTAGTTGTATGAGACAACGTTTCGGACTGACGCTGTCTTCTGTTGCCTTGGTTACTTCCCTGGCACTTGTTTGCACTAACTGCGTCTCAGGATGCATCAGCTCATTGTTCTGTAACACACATAAAACTGAGTGTATGACATTAATGAGAGGACTAATGAGCACGAATCTCCCTCACCCTCATGCTGTTACCTCTGGATTCTCCATCAGCTGTCCTTATGAAATATAACCTGGAGACCACAAAGTCTTTCAGTCATCATATTAATGGGTGGATTAGCTGAATTTAGCTCCCACGCTGACACAGTGGAAGATTTCTCCTGTAAAGCCCACTCCCCCACTCTCCTTCTGGGTGAGGGATTAGACATCAGGGTGATGGATGAAGAGGCTGATTGGAGAAGACATATTTTCATAATTTAGCACATTAACAGCTGGCTCCTCTGTGAGAGGTGACCACACACACACACACACACACACACACACACACACACACACACACACACACACACACACACACACACACACACACACACACACACACACACACACACAAATGCAGACATTTGAGGGTCTGTGTGTTCTTCCTCACACCCCCTTATTTACCTCTCAAATAAAGGTGCAAATAAAGCAAAAGGCATTAGTTTCAGCACAATAACAGACAAAATTTGTGAAACTTAATAGCCTTTTATTTAATAGTAACTGCATTCTTACATTTTATCAATGTATGAAGTTAAGCCATAAGGTGGGCCATGAGAGTTGTTTTGAGAACACCGTACTCACTATTGTCTGACTCAGGCAGGTCAGCAGCACTTTTTGTGACCTCTAAAGTTCAACTATAAAATTCCCTCTGGGAAATTTTAAAAGGGCCTCGGGGGCTAATGCTGGTTTATACATTATGATGATGAAAAACTACCAATAATTGCTCTTTTTTTGGCTTGTCCCATTGACTTCAATAAAAAAATTTACAGCAGTTTTTTATTACTTTCATCACAAAAATATATAATTTGTCCAACAACTCTTACACTGTAGGACTAGTAGTGAATCAAAATTTGTCCACTGTATAACAATGGTGCTGATACATTTGTATAGGTGCCTGTGCCTTATGTAATAATAAGTTATTACATTATTACATATAGTATAGTATAACTTTATTTATCCCCAAAGGGAAATTCAATTGTCTGTAGTCTCATTTGTCATCTCTCAAAAAGTCATCTACTGTTTACAGAAGAGTTGTAAAGTCTGATGGCTGTGGGTACAAACAATCTTCTGAATCTTTCTGTCCTGCAGCAAACAGAGAGAGGAGCCGTCTACCACCATTTGCCCTTTGGTCCATTAAGGTGTTATGAAGTGGTTTCCTTAGAATAGATTCCACCTTCCTCAGTGTACATCTCTCCACTACATCCTCCAGTGAGTCTGTATTATGTTATGCACTCAAGATTTTATTACATCATGAACTTTTACTTTATTTAAGTTATTACATTATGAGTTGCTACATAGCTCCAACTCTAAAAGTCTATTTAATGTTTGTGAAAATGACACAAAGAAGGAAATTTTCTCTGGTTGGATCTTCTTACAGCTGGAAAACTGTGATATTTAAACTGTGGGTGGCTCTCCAGCAGCTGCATGGGGAACTGGGGAAACGAGGAGAGACGGGGGAGTCTGACAGGATCTGTAGGTGTACAGAGGTCTGCACACAAAGGTTTCAGGAGGACCATGATGTTCTGTTTGCTGAGGCAGAAGTCGAGTCAAAGTGCTGCCAGTCCCCCCTCCCACTGAGGCAGATTACTAAGGGTTCACAGAGTTCCAGAAAACCAAAGTCTAGATAGTCCTAGAGGACCTGGAACCTTTTATCACCTCAGGACCTGTGAGAGCTGAGAGTGAAGGAGGTTTTAGCTCCATGAATAGACTAAATACAGCACAGGGGATGTGCCAGGGCGATCAGACCAAGCAGAGGATGAATCAGAGAGAGGAGAAAGAAATCAGGAAGGGGTTAAATTTTCACAGTCCTGTCATACTGCAAACAGAAATCAGATCAGAGTTCCTCCAGGACTCAGAAACAAGAAGAGCCTCATCACCCTTCACCCTGATGAGTCCATCCTCTTCTTCTTTTTCTTCTTCTTCTTCTTCCTCTGCAGAATCAAACAACAGGTACAGATAAATATGCAAAACTGCTGTCCTCTTTGTCTTTGAGATTCTGTAGCTGTGTGTGTGTGTGTGTTAAAGTAAGAGGACAAGTCTTGTTCCTTTCCTTTCACTGGCATAAAGACACACACACACACACACACACACACACACACACACACACACACACACACACACACACACACACACACACACGGCTCATACATTTTTAAAGGTGAGCATGGTGGTGTCCTTGAGTAAAAAAAGGGATTGTTTACTTAGAGAGAGCGAGAGAGGGAGAGAGAGAGTAACCCTTGTCCAGAAGGCTTTTATATCCATCTTTATATATATATCTATATCTATATCTATATCTATATTTATATATATTAGGAATATTATTTATATCTATCTATATATATGTATGTATGTATGTATGTATGTAGATAGATAGATAGATAGATAGATAGATAGATAGATAGATAGATAGATAGATAGATAGATAGATAGATAGATAGATAGATAGATAGATAGATAGATAGATAGATAGTGGCCGCACACTGAAGGTTCAAAATCTGACTGATCTGAAACCCTGATCTGACCCTTTAGAGACCCTTCCTAAATAACCTGCTCAGAGAGAGGGTAATAAGAGTATAACTTGGTAACTTGACCAACATTAGCTGTGGACCATTCAGCCCATTGCTCCTCTCCAGTTTAATCATACGATCAAACTGGTCTGAAATCAGTAAGAGTCTGGAGACTGATGCCTGCAGCTGCAGAGACACGGATTAGGACTGATCAGCTCCAACAATCAGCTTCCTCCCTTAATTTACTTTTACACCTGCCTGACTTTATCTGTCTCACCTGGATCAGTCCTGGAGCCAAACAAGGACACAAAGCAGCCAAAGGAAAGATGTCTTCAAGACTCACACTCGTCCCTGCTGGTCTTTACATTCTCACAGTCCCTGCACCTCTGGTCCTGTTCATTATTCATGTCCGTTCCCGTCTATAAATATCTAACATGCATGCATCTGAGGAGCTTTAAGGAAACCTTTATAGTGAGAACTGAGGAGCTGAGGGGGGAGAGACAAGATGAAGGTCAGATCATAATCTCAGAAACAAACATTCAGCTGATTCTGGATCTGCAGCTCTGATTCAAACAGAAACATGGCTGCAGCAGGAGTCCTGTACCAACATCATCCATGTTTAGATAAACCTGCTTTTACAATCTATAAAAACAAGCACAAAGTCCACTTTAAAGATCTGTGGTAAATATAGACCCCTGAAGTGACTAATACTGACTCTGCTGGAGGATCAGTCTGCTCTCTGTTAAAGCTGTGTCCTGTTTTTGAGTTAAGTGGACTAAATGAACCAAAATAAAGCTTATTTTAAATATTAACTGTGTTCACATACCTTTAAACCACTGTAAGGTCTGTGTGCTGTCTGTCTGTCCTCAATAATTCAGACTCTGACTCGGTACAGACTGTGAGAACTATACGATCACAGCAGAGTCCCAGTTTGCTCTCTGTACTCAGTTCACTCAGTTCACTTCGACACTAAAGACCTCTAGCCTCTGTTGTCTGCAGAACTACAGGAAAGTAAGAAGGCTTCACACTTCTGCAAGACGGTTCAATCTAAACCTGCAGACACGGGCAGAATTCATCTTTGATCAAATGGCCTCGTAGTGTTGGTAACTGCATCAAATTGCAAAACTCGACATTTGTTCATTTTTTTTTTCAGTCAATCATCCCCATCATCAGTAAATATACTGATCAGGCTGGAGTCCCTGTTGTGTTTGTTTGATTTCTTTGTTGAAGTAGTCTCTGACCTGGAAGTACCTGAACATATCCTCTTTTCCGTCTGTTTAGAGATATCAGTGAAAGACTGTAGACCATCCTTTTTAGCTATAGTGCAATAGACTGTTATTCTATTCTGTGCCCAGAACCTGAACCGCTTATCTAGACCTGATAGTATAAACTTCCAAATCTTTCCATTTTGCAGAGTAGTTTGGATTACACCAGCGAACTAGGGGTCTTTACTGGGCAGCAATGTAATAGTCCTCCACACATGGTAGAGAAAGTCCGCCCCAAGCTCTGGGCAACTGCAGGATGTTATATGTAATTCGAGGCCTTTTACTATCCCAGATAAATCTTGATATCAGTCTGTTCCATTCCCTAAAATCCTTAGGGATGACCTCTACGGGAAGTGACTGAAATAAGTACAGGAGCTGGGGAAGGACATTCATTATTATCATTTTGATTCTATTAGACATGTCTAGGGGCAATACTGTCCATCTATTTAGATCTGCTTTAATTGTCTTCGTAACTGGATCATAATTTGTTTCATATTTTTGCAGATGTCTTTTGGGATCAATACACCAAGATATTTGACAGAGCCCTTTGACAGAGCTCCAGTATTGTTGTGTGGAGAGAGGAGAGCCTTCCAGAAGGACAACCATTTCTGCAGCACTTCACCAATCAGGCCTGTATGGTGGAGTGGCCAGAGAGCAGCCACTCCTTAAGGCACATGACAGACGCATGAAGTTAACCAAAAGTCCCTCGAAGCACTCTCAGACCATGAGAAACAAAATTCTGATGAAACAAAGATTGAACTCTTTGACCTTAATGCCGAGCATCATCAGGAAACCACACACTGCTCATCATCTTTCCAATACCATCCCTACAGTGAAGCATTGTCGAGGCAGCATCATGCTGTCGGGATGTTTTTTAGCAGCAGGAGACTAGCCAGGGAGGAGGGAAAGATAAATGCAGCAGTGTACAGAGACATCCTTGATGATAACCTGCTCCAGAGTGCTCTGGACCTCAGACTGGAGAAGATTAATCTTTTAACAGGAAAAAGACCCTAAGCACAGAGCCAAGATAACAAAGCAGTGGCTTCAGGACAACTCTGTGGATGTCCTTGAGAGGCCCAGCCAGAGTCCTGAATTGAACCCAATAGACCATCTGTTGAGATCTGAATATGGCTGTGCACCACATCCCCATCCAACTAAATGGAGTTTAGAGGTTTTGCAAAGACGAATGGAAGACCCTGCCACAAAAATAAGTGTGCCAAGTTTGTAGCATCATACTCATAAAGACTTTAGGTGCATTTTTAAAGTACTGGGCAAATGCTGTAAATACTTAGGGACGTGTTATTTGTTTGTTTTTTAATTTTGATTAAATTTGTTAAAGTTTCAAACAAACATTTTGTGATCATGAGGTACTGTGTGCAGAATTTTGCATTAAAACATGAATTTAATCCATTTTGGGAAAAGCCTGTAACACAAGAAAATGTGAAAACTGTAGCACTCTGAATACTTTCCAAATGTACTGTTTAAATGTGTGTGTGTGTGCATATGTGAGACTGTAGAGAAACACTGAATAAGGAGTAAACATGTATATGTACTTCTTTACAGTTTATAATTGATTTAAAATACTTGCATTCAGAGTCAGAAATTGTGCGAACACTTTATACAAAATGCTGTAAATTATGAATGCTTATAACGACATAAAATGATTATTTTAAAAACCTGGGAATGCTCATATAAATGTACTAATGATGCTTTATAAAGGGCATTTATTGAAGTTATTGAATGTGGAGTGTTTTGTGAACTTGAAGAAAGTTAAACCATCAAGCAGCACAACCCAGAAACTAACTATCCCTTGGGTCAGGAGAGAGCCAGACTTCTGAAAATACTGCAGCCGATCGAAACTTTATCCATGGAGAAAAGTTTCTGCAATATTTTTAAAAGTTTTCATTTCAGCAAAATCAATAAATAACAACTGATGACGCTGTGGTCTTTATGAGAGAGCTACGGTCTAAATCAGAAGAGTTCACAGCCTGCTAAGAGTTTTGTTCTTCAGATCATTTCTGCTAAGATTCAGACTGGCTCTATCTAAGGTGCTGTGTGTAAATATGAGTGGATTTTTAATAAATGAAAGGTGATGACAGAAAAGCTTCACAGAGTTTAAAAAGTGGGTCAAAGTTTATTTCACCAGTAAAAACATCCAGTATCCAACAATTTATCCTCAAAGAAGTTCCTTTAAAATCATTCCTAAAATCTTCACTTCTGGCAAAAACACTAACATCTTCACTTCTTAAAGTCTAAAGAACAGCTGCAGAGTATTCAAACACCTCTGGAATCAAACTCAAGGCAGATGAAACTGAGACCCGGGTCTCCAAATGGCAGCTCTGACGACAATTAGACGAGTGCAAAAGACTAAAAACTCCAGCAAATACTGTACAGAGACGTGACATGAGGCGGCTGTGACGCTCCTGTGTCCTGCAGAAACCTGAACGTCCACATTGTGCCTGTTTTTACATGATAACAGCTGATGGAGCCTCCAGCATGCAGGGACTATTTTACACTCCACTGTTAATGGATGCATATCAAAAGTGCATAGTGTTGTAGAAAAGTAGGGTTCAGTTTAGGGTTCAGTGGCGGATATGTTTCTGCAGGACACTCTGCACCACGCCGCTCTGTGCTTCTCACACTAACAACATCATGTCCGCAAGAAAGACTTGGAAAACCTCCACAGCTAAGTGTCACTATTTCACATGTTCTTCAAACACCAAGTGCATGTCAAACCAACACGTGTGCACTTTCTTTTTTAATCTACAGACTGTGCTCCGGGTGTTTCCTTACACTTTATATCACTTAAATGAGTTTTAAATGTCCTTTTAAAGCTCAGCAGAGGTGAAACTCTGAAAAGGCAAAAATAAGAAGTAAGTTGTGTCGCTGTACACACCAGCAGAGTCTCAACATGAGGCTCAGAGATATTTAGGCCCTAAACTGGATTCAGCTGGTCAAGCAGAAGGATAAAATTAAGTCAACGTGAAGTTAAGACGGTTTGTAACCTGGAGCGGATCAGTCTCCAAGTCCGGGTTTCTGTGTTGGCACTTCAGCTGAACTGTTTGACTTTGGTTCATTCTAACTAAGTGAGCCTCAATTTGGATCAGAACAATCCATGGGCTTTAACATCTGGAACCGGGTCACACGTCCTGATTCATTAAGAGCTTTTCAAACATGTTCTGGACTGATGAGGATAAATGAGTCATTTCAGAGAAGTGTGAAGCTGAATCTGCAAACACCACTCAGCTGAGTTCAGACCAAACACAAAGATAATGTTGGAAATGTTGCATCAACTGCACAAGGTCAGAGGAGATACAAAAGGTCTACCCTGTAGATATGACGTAAAAAACCGAAACAAAACACAGTTGTCAAATCTGAAGTCATCACGTCCTTAAGATTTCCTCTCAACCACAGTCCTCCTTCGTCTCTCATATTAAAAATGAGATGTGAGATCGTCTCATATTTAGACTCCAGGCTTCTGAAGACACCAGGGTGGTGATGGTGACATCGTCCAGCATAGAAGTAGGCGGCGCCATTCTCCAGCAAAGGAGGAGCTATGATAGTTATTTTAAGAAATAGCTAAAACAATAAACAACTGTCATCTGAAAATTAAGTCACAGAGTGATATACCTGAAAACTGTCACGAGTCTGATGATGGGGAGAAAAAAGGTTCAAGTTATCCTCCTAACCAGGGCGTCACTCTTTTTACACATTTGATCATATTTCATTTAGAAATATACTTCTGTTCTGGCCTGAAGTGCTCCTTTGTTCACACCTGTATTTAGAGCTCAGGTGGCGTTTGAGAATAAGAAACTCCTGTGAAGGAAAAATGTGATCCTACAATAATCCCTCTCTAATTCTTCTTGGTCTTAAACTTGCATTTCACATGGTCTCTCACAAAATACAAAAACACATATGATATCAGTTTGTTCTTGCCTACATGTCTGGCTGAGATATACGTAAATATATATATAAAAAACTTGTTCTGTATTTCCATATTCAGCTGGTTTTACAAGGTTAAAAGGTCTGAGAAAAAAAGTGTTGACATGATCAAGGTTGGAAATTATTTTTTCCTTGTGTGCCATTTTGTCCTTTTCAGCACACTGTAGATAATCTGTAGCGACATTCTGTGAACACCACAGTGCTCTGCATTGAACACGTCACTTTGAGATACTCCAGGACCACTCAGCTGGCATGCTGTGATGGTCATATGTCTCACGACCATGGGTGGACACAGAGTGATGCATTCGGGGTCTGTTCAGTGGAGCTTAAGAATTGTTTTGAATGTCAACTTATAGAGTTTGAAAAATGGGATCGTTTATGGATTTAAACATGGTTGTTAAAAAATCCTGCATCAGCTATCATCATAGTTGACCCAGTTGTGATGATCATCATTTTTTATTATTTTAGAAAGTAAAGTTTAAAAAGTCCCTCTCAAAAACTGATCTGGAGAAGGAAAATGTTCATCTTGTTGTAAAATCAGTTGAATATGATCTTCCTGCTGAGAGACACTCAGTCTTCACTCTAGTTTACTGTTCATCTGTCTGTGGAGAGTCTCAGTTTCTCTGTAAACAGTCTGTCAGAGGCTTCACTCTGTCTTCCTTCAGCAGCATGAACCTGAAACACAAACTGATGTCCTTGTGTTGTTCTCCTCATGAACAGGTCTTTAGTTTGCTGAAATAACAACATCATGATGCAGATATGTAAAAAGTCCAAAGTCCAGCTTTGTCAGGTCTGTCCTCAAGAGGAGAAGAAGACTACTTTAGAAATGTTTGTCAGTTGAATGAACGTCTCTTGTCATTGACGTCTTTTGTAAATTTGTCATGCAGTAAATTCAGTTTATGTGTTTGTGTTTGGTCTGAACACACCTTCACACCCTCATGTTCAAAACTGATCCTTTTTCTAAAATCCCCACCTGAAGCTTATCTGATGTAAAGTATTTGAACTTATCTTCAGGCTGTCTGGATCATTTCTTCCATGAACTCAGTCTTGGTGCAGCTGTGGTAGAAATGAGGGTCATACCGTTAGACCAGTGTAGCAACAGGTGTGCAGTGAGTGTGGAGTTCGTTCCTGCCTCACTTCCTGTATAATAATGCAGTCTGGGGATAGGATGGCAGTATGTACATGTGTTGATGTGGCAGCGTCGCAGCTGATGTCTTTACACAGAGTGGTTAATCTGCTGATTAATAAGACATGAATGAAACATGGCCTCAGAGAAAAGACTGAAGAAAAACACTGTCGGTGTGAGTCAGTCTGATCACATTATGAAGGAAGCTTCAGATTCAGAGTCTCTCTCTCTCTCTTTGTATGAAGATACTGTGCAGTGGTTCAGGACTGATTCCGAGTCTGTGAGAGTAAGGGGTCAGTCCTGTTGGTCCTGTGTGGAGTCTCAGAGATCCTCCTCAAGCTGGATAACCTTCAACACCTGGAGAGACAAAAGAGGAAAACAGGAGCAAAATCAATCAGTGATCAGCCCATGAGTGAAGTCACTCTTTCTGTTGATTCAGCAGAAGTTTTTTGAATGATACTGGAGCCAGAAACAATCCGGATACTGTCAAAACTCTATATCAGGAGACTTCCAGTCTAAGGGTGATGTGAGATCTTCATCTACACAAAAATCAACTCCTTTCAACAAAAATTATTTCTGTTTAAATGCTTCAAAACAACAACTGTGCACAGTGCTAGTTCAGGCAGGCTGTAAAGTCAAGCTCTGCCCACCGTGCATCAGATGATTTTAGCTGATCAGCTGATTACCTTTAACCATCCAATCATGAAATGTGAAAATGTTTGTCTGCTTTATCGCTTCTTATTCCTGCTTCCTCTGAAAAACCAGGTGTCTTTGCTGCTGCTCCACCCACTCCCCTCCAGCTCCTCCTTTTTATGCCGTGTCTGATTTTACTGCTGTCATGTGGTTTAGTCAGTGACGCTGCTCTGTTCTGTACCCCGGGGTCTTTGCTGCTGCCAGGCTTTTGTATTCTGCATACACACAGGTGGAAGGGCAGGGAGCTCTCAAAACTACCTGAATGAAAATCCTCAGGTACATTTCATCTTTCATACAAATACAGGAGGTATCATAAAGCCAGCCTGTTAATGTACAATCTGATTTTTAAAGTAGCATCAGGAACACTGGCTGCTGTCAAATGAAAATCTCTGCTCTGTTTTCCTCAGCAGGTTTGAGCAGCTCACACTCATATAACCTAAAGTGCACTGAGACTGGAGTGAACACGGCCTTTTCGTTATGAGCTCTGTCTCCTCAGTGGTAACACCCTCCTGTCCTGTTCTCTTGTACATAAACATCACTGTAGCTCCATGTCTGTGTGTGTCTGTGTGCTAAAACACTGACTGTGTTATTAGAAATTATCTCAGTAAAAGTTTACCAGAGTCTGCTGCAGGTGATCATGAGGATATAGGGTGAGACTTCTCTATAACACGTTGCTTGTATAGTGTAACCAGACTATGTGTTACAATACCTGCTGTAAATGTCACACCTCTGCTCTCCTGCTGCTGTAACAGGAACGAACAGAGGGACTGACTGGATGTGTGGGGGTAGTTTAGGTCCAGAGCAGGGTTCAAATTTCTTTCATAGAGTTTATGGAGAATATACTTAATTATGCATTTTGTTAGATTGTCTATCAGGCAGAGAAAAACAGCATGTAGTTTTGTATTATGCTCTGCTATCAGAATAGTGCTGCAAGTTTGAAACGGTGTCAACTAGCTTGCTCAAGGTGTTGCACATGTAGAGATGGGAATCGAGAACTGTTTTTGTTGAGACCAGTTCCAAATGGTTCAATCCATCGACATCATTTACCATCATTTATCTTAATGATTCCCTTAATGAATCCTTTCTTCCGGGTGCCTTTAAAAACGGTCTCGCGAGTGCCAGTCTACACAACCAGGAACGGAGATAGAGAAAATGACATGGTGGACGGTACGAAAAGCAGGCAGAAATGAGCTAAAGCGTGGCTTAATTTTCCTAAGAAAAGACAACAACAGTGCAACATTTGTCGAGCACTGATCACATGCAAAGGTAGAAACACCAGCAACATGCTTAAACTTTTATCAACGGGGCACGGCATCAAATCTAAGGAGTCACATGTATTTGATGCTCTTCGATGGAACACTGGACAGAACACTGCGGATCTGAAGAAGTGCTCTGGTTTGAGTCTCGCTCTGTATGACAGGATGTCGGCAGAGATTATGTTCATATGTCTGTTCTATTGATATTCAGCCTGTTAACTAGTTTTCAAATTTGTACCTTCATATGTTCTGAAATGTTTCTGTCAACATTGTTCTGGAATAACATGTATATTGTAAAAATCTGAGTTACATTACCAAGTCATCAATAATTGATCATTTCCAGAGACTCCTCTCCCAACTCTCCTCGTGCTCTTTTCCCTGCTCTCCTCTTATATATGTATTACTTTATTTTTACTTTTCCGTTTTCCTTTTTTTCTGTTATTATCCTGTTATATATTGTTTCAACACCCAAACACAGAGATGAATCCCTCACAGGTGTAAACCTTCTTGACAATAAATCTGGTCATGGTTCTGATCTGTTAAAGACACACAAAGCAGCAGTAGCCACAGTGCTGTAGAGCAGAGATTAAGGCCTGCAGAAAGTTCAGCAGAGACCAGATCTGATTCATCTTTTCCTGAGGTCTCAGACCGAGGATTTCAGCAGCTAATAGTGTATTAGAAACAGTATCCCGATGGTCGTCTCCCTGTCTGCCCCTCTCTGCACACACTCACAATCTGATCCACAACAACGTCACAGACCTAAGTTTGAACTCAGACTCTGAAACTGAGCCTTTCTTCCATTAGGTGCACTTGATTTCAGTTATCTTCTCTGTATTCACCATGAGGAGCTGCATATTATGAGTTATTGGTACTGCCATGTAGTGCACCTCTCTTGCACAGCCACAGCTCCTCAGACTGTCTGGTTCAAAGGTTGGAAAACATTTGTGTATCATTTATTCTGGGTTTTCTGTAAAAGAGAGATATTTTGCACTTGAGAGAGTTTCAGGATGTTGGATTTAGGATGAAACAAACTTTGAGAAAGTTTCTCTGCAGACACACTGAGCGGTTTGTGCAGATTTCCTGGTTTGAACCTCCTCTTTCTCCTTTTTCTCCTCTTCAAAGACTCCTCGGCTCCGCAGTATTTATGGGACCCTCTCTCAGTAATATCATCTGCTTCAGAGACAGCTCTCTGATAATTCTGCTAATCCTCACAGTGACTCACACATTCGCTGACAAACAGCACACTTGCTGCTCTGCAGACAGGAATAGACTCGAGCAGCAGAACAGACTAATCTGCTGTCAGCATTAACAGAAGAAAGAACTGTCTATGAGAGAGAGGGCGATCTAAGAGGAACGTTTGAGCTGTGGATTATAAAACTCTCTTTGTATGTGTGTAGGAGTGGAGATGACAGGCAGCAGGGAGACTCTGAGGCCGTAATAATTAGTAAAGATGTTAAGCTGTGATGGCTCTTTTCTTACAGTCTTGTCAAAGTCTGGACTCCTGCATCAGGACCAGAGTTTTTTTTTCATCAGGGTCAAGCTCCTTATTACAGCTGTTTCTCTGGGTCTGCGCCCCTCTTTATAGTTTTATGTTCCCAGTTTAGTCTAACTTCTCTCAGAGTATTGTATTTCTGATCTGCAGCTCTGTCACCAGTTGGATAAGGGTGGGAGAAAAGATCGATACAGCATAGTATTGCGATATTTTGTCAGGTGATGTATTGTCTCATTTACCAAGCTTGGATTTTTCAAATGTGAATTGCTAATGTGAAGTCAAATCTATGAAAATGGAAAAATAAAGTAAACTGGTTATCCATTGAGGTTGGCAGAGGTGACATCATAGAGCAGGAGAAAGTTAGTGCAACAAATATATACATATAAGGTTTGCAAGATGTGCTACATGAAAATAAAATACAGCGTAAATAAGACAAACATAAAGGAAAGACAAATGCTAAATGCTAAACAGTTTAAAAAATTGTGTAAATATCAATATATTGTAGTGCAATACTTAATTTACCGTATCCTGGTCCAAGTATCGTAATTATATCGTATTGTGAGGCCACTAGTGATTCCCACTCCTACTCTTGGAGTCCATCAATTCATTTTATTTTTATTTAACCTTTATTCAACCAAGTTAGTCGAAACTTTATGGTGCCTATTATATGTCCTATTTAAGTAGTGCACAATCTGGTGTGTCTGCTCTCATTAGCTGTAAGAATCAGAGGTCCCTGCTGAGAGGAGCGCTGCAGGCTACTCAGTGGATTTCAGCCCGTCTACTTAAATGGAAAAGGCATTGAGCTGCCTGCATCCTGTCTGACTAGAAAGGTCAACTGTTGGTCTTTATCGACTTCTTTAGGCTGCTGGATCGCATGGATTGATTTTTAAGTATCCATTAATATTCAGGAGCACTGTGGTCAGTGTCACCAACAGAAAGGCCGTGTTTAAGGATTGTTAAAAAATACGTCTCAGAGGTGTCTCTGGCCTGGCGGATTACGTGCGTCTTTCTCCACATCACTCACTGCTCTCTCTCTCTCTCTCCTCATTTTCTGCTCTGACCAACGTCCTATCCTCTCTAAATAAAGCAATAACCTCGCAAATACTGCACACCTTTGAAATGAATGTCTCAGTTATGAAGAGAGCGTTCACAGTGTAGCACTGTGACATCTTTTGGTTAGGGGGAGATAGTAGACAGCATGACAGATGCAGACAAAAACAGATACTCAGCTGTGCATCCCTGTTTGTGTTTAGAGTCTAAGCGAATCAGGCTGTCAACTCTAACACCCTTTTCACTCTCTCACTGATGTAGACTCTAATGGTTAGTGAAGCACTGCACTGCTGGCTTCAGAATCTGGACCAGGTTTATGTTGGTCCAGGGTGCAGACATGGTCTTCCTTTTCATTGCACCGCACCACCTTTGCACCTAGCCACTCCTCTCTTTGACTAACATAACCACAGGTGTTACCATGAAGCACAAGATCCCTTTCTACCCAGACAGCATGGGTGGATGCTGAGGAGTGGACAGGTGGAGAAACATGATGGCGCACTAAAACACTTTGCACATGTGGACAGTCAGTCAGACCCAGAGTGTTGGAGTCTGATTAACAACTTTGAAGTTTTCATTTTTACTGTCAATACATTTCTGTTCCACATATCAGCCTCAGAAATGACTGATAATCAATACTGAGGAACAACCTGAGGTCTAATCTTCATGAACCTTCAGTCTGAGTCTGGAGTGGATTTAACACCCTAACTAAGGACACAGAGCTCCAGCTAGGGCTGGGTGATATGGAAAAAGTTCATTACAATGTATTTTTTTCATATCAGTCTATATCAGTGGTTCTCAAGTCCAGTCCTCCAGGCCCACTGTCCTGCATGTTTTGGATGTTTCCCTGCTCCAAAACACCTGATTCAAATGATCAGCTCGTTATTAAACTATTACAGAGTTTGATAACGAGCTGATCATTTGAATCAGGTGTGTCGGCTACTACACAGTTGCTACTACACATTGGCTCTTCATATAGTCTACCAAAACATGGCAGAATACCGACTATCGAAAAGCATATTGACCATGTTTTATATTGATATTGAGGGAAATTAATTTTCTATATATTTCGTTATCATTTATCGCCCAGCCCTAGCTCTAGCCAACAGAAAACTGCAGTGATTTACCATCAAACAAACACAAACTGAACATGATTTAATTTTATTTTGTATTTTTTTTGCTGCTGTAACATGTGAATTTCCCAGTTTGGGATCAATAAAGTATATCTATCTATGAAGGGCGTTTTGGTTCCTCTGATGGCTGACTGGGGTTCGGCTGGGATGATGAAATTCCAGGTGTCTACTAAACATGTGAAGAATACTGATCTAAGCGACTGTACTCTACATCCTGGACTTATCCATGAAAACAAGCAGCAACCTCTGATGCTGAAAAATGAATGGGGTGCATAAGCACTTCACTGCTCCACTTTACTGTTTGTGCAGATCGCTTGCTCTCCTCCTGTTCAAATGAATTAATGAAAATACAAGAAGAATCTGTTTTCACAGGTTAGTAAGTCTCTGCCTCATTTCCTGTTTGCATGATGAATAAATGATGAACATAAAAACAGAGACAAACACTGAACACTGAGCAGCCAGGTCTCAATTAGCCTGACTAAGTGTGTGCTCGGGGGAGGAGGGGGTCACTGAGTGCTCAGAGTGGCTCTAAATTATAGTTATGAAGCATCTCCAGCATTACATCACTGCTGCTGACACACAGGAAAAGGTCAGGACACCACACACACTGGCACAATAAGATGTGTACACACGGGATGAACCAGGAAGATATACACAAGCTGCTCTACAAAAAGAGAGCATGAATTTTTGAAGGAGAAGAAGGAGGAGGAGGAGGAGGAGGATGCTGGGTGGATGTGGATGGTGGATATTTATACACAGCTGCTTCCCTGGTAGAGGTCATTGAGTTCACCTCTTTGCAGACTGCTCATATCTATCAGACAAAGAGAAACAAAAGCTCATAGTGGTTCTACAATACAGCTCTCATATCATAGCTTCTGAAATCTAGACTTTAAACAGAAGCTGCAGGATGTCTGGACTAACACTGGACTGAGTTTTTGGCACAGTCTAGGCTCTGCTGTTTCAGCAGATTTATATCTTTTTGATATCACAGACATGCATTAACGTTTTAATTCATAACCAATCAAAACCTCCTCACAGGAGCTTTAAATACACCATCCTGCTGGGAGGGTGGAAAACAGATCTTGAAAGGAGGTTAATACTTAACAGCAGACAACACTGTGGTCAGGTGGGTTCAGGTGTGAGGTCAAAATGAGTCACTGGGGACATCACTGAACTTCCTCTCATTTTCTGCAGTTGCATTGCTGAGGAGTGGGACATCCTACATCTGTACTATCTCTAAAAAATACATAGTCAAGAAATACATCACAACGTTCCTAAAGTTCAGAAGGATATCACTGAAAGAAAAAAACCTGCCTGTAGGAGAGGACATGGAGACACTCAACTTCACTGTCCACAGGTAGTGACACAAAAAGACGAGTGCTGCTGTGAAGTGATCAGAAGCTCACGTATCTCCACTTTGGCTGCTTTGTTTCCCCTCTCGCTCTCTCTTAACCTCAGCTCTATGTAGATCAACCAAGACTGCTTGCTCCCTCACTTTCACTGGTAGCTCTGCATCACATTACTGATAAAACATTACGTCTGTAGATTATAAAATCATGGTGATGTCAGATTAAATATAAAGCCATAGTTTCCCTGTAAAGAATCAACGAGTCTGTCCACAGAGGAAGGAGAAACACCCACAGAGGCGGAATCCGGTCAAAGTCTCATCTACTACTGTTACCTACTAGAATAACTCTTCATGACAGAGTATTTGATGTCTGATTATGACAGAATCAGTCTGTTTTCTGATCCTACACATACTCCTGTCTGTAAATCACCTTGAAACCTCTCTGTGTCTCTGTGATTCAGTTCTACTCTGCAGGAGAATCTGAGTCAGCCTGAGAGCTTTCAGCAGCACTCAGGCTCTCTGAGAGTTTCTGCAGATTTGATTTAGCTCTGACCGATTCACATCGTTCCCCTCCATCAGCAGATCACGTTAAACTCCATCAAAGGTTCAGTATTTCTCTTCTTTAAATCTGAGGAGGTGTTAGGAAGCCTGAGAGGACACTGACAGATGTCTTTGATCCAGCTTTGACCTTACGCCTGTGGTTGATGGATGAGTGTGGGCTCACAGTATAAATCAGTACCAGAACTCTACTGGTCCTATCTGTACATTTATTTAAAGTGTGTTTGTTCCGCTCTCTTATCTGTTACATGTGTTCCTCAGACCCTACCTGGAGTTCTGGCTCCTCCCCCTCAGGCCGGCAGGTGTTTCCAGGTGCTGACGAAGGCAGTGGGGATCAGAGAGTAAGGCACGGTGGTGATGGAGTTCCAGCTGTCCGACGTCGGGTCGTAACAGTCCAACGTTTTACACCTCTGCGTCCCAAAATACCCCCCAACCACATACAGCTTATTTCCTGACGCTACAGCGTGGCAGCTCATCCGTTTGGACGTCATGTCTCCCACTCGAGTCCACTGATTGGTGTCGCAGTCAAAGCGATAAGCAGAGGCAGCAGTGAACTCGGTGTCTCCCCCCATGATGAAGATCTGACTCCCTAACACGGCCGCCGCTGTGTAACGCCATGGCTGGGGACATTCAGCCGCAATGTTCCATCGGTTTCCCACGGGGTCGTAACACTGAACCTAAAGGGACAGAACAGGGGAGACAGGTGAGGTGAAAATCAAACTTGTCTCCATCAAGCACAAGAGAAAAGAAACAAAACTATTTTGAACTGAAATAATCCTGAGAGTGTGATTGGCTCTTGACAATGCAGGGACTTCTAAAATATCTGTTTATATGTGCAGACATGAAAAGTCGATGCAGGAGGAGCAGCAGCAAAGACTCCCAGGTAGAGCTCAGAGCAGCCTGAGCAACAATCTCTAAGACCCTGAAAAACCAGACAGCAGAAAAAGGAAGAGCTAAGGTGGTAGTTTACCAGCCTCTCCCTCACCATGCGCCCTCTGTCCCTCTGCTTTACTAACACACACATCTGCTTCCCCCTGCTCCTCTCTCTTCTCTCATTTTAACATAATTTGAGTATCTTGTTTTTGTTTTGTGCATCTGCAGTAATGAATAATGAAATTTAATTATAAACTAGAAGTTGATTCATCCGTGACTAATTCTATTTAGAAGCACAGCGCACACAAGAGTGATGAGTGACAAAGTGTCCTGGTAACCATAGCAACTCACTCGCACTGGCATGCGTGCACACAACTGTGCTGCTGCTGATCACTCACAACAGCATGTATGTGACAATGTCATAATTCCCCAGCTAAACAGCTCCGGTTTGGATCAATCTACCGGGTCCTGAACCTCAGGAGCTTTTGTTATGAATACACGGACATAAAGTCCTGATCAGAACCAGATCAAGCTCAACAATATATCACAGTTTATCATTACTGCAATACTCTCAGTGTTACATGGAGACCTGACTATGATATTTGTGCTTTCACATCGGTTTGGTGAAATCAAATGAAGCTCCATTTATGTTGAATGTTTTTTTGTAGTCAGAGGCCACATGTGAAACAATAATAGACACAGAGGTCGTGGATGATGTCTCATTTACACTATTTCATCCTAGTTAATCATTCCCTCTCATTACTGTTTCCTAAATACCAAACATGTTAACAGGCACTTCCTCACATTCATCTGGTAACAAAGAATAACATCAGGTTTTCTTGATACGGTGTAGCTCTAAATTACATCATATTTTTACTGCAATGTGATGTTTACTGCACTGTCAGCTGGCTGTTAACAGCACTTTAAAGTACATCCACAGCCTGGATATAACACAAACAGCTGACATGAATCCCTTTGGTCAGTTTCATACCACAGCTTTAGTTTAGCACAAATATCCACGTCTACCATTAATGAGTAACATCGCCCATCATTTTGGCCTGCAGATATCCTGAAATTTGCTTTATAACACTCAGTCATTTACTCCCTTTCTTGTTTTGTCATATGGATGTTTGATTTACACGAGCCACCCCTCCATGTTAAAAACCCTGGGGTTGATGTGGAACAATCGCTGGTTTCTAATACAACAGTGACATGATGACATTTCTTTGTTTTCTTACAAACTCTCTGTCCTTTAACTCTGTGCACGTTAGAGTTAAGACACTGGTGTTTAAATTTTAGGTTCTGGGTTCATTCATAGTACTTTGTTGTTTAGCTGAACAGAAGATCAGCTGAGACTACATAATAATTATGAGAGTAGTAAATGCATGAATAAACAAACAAACAAACAAACAAACCTTCGAGGCCTTGTCTCTGTGGATGGTGGTCCCTCCAAACACAAAGAGTTTGAGTTTGGCGCTGACCACAGCTGCATTACTGACCCCATCTCTGAGAGGAGCCATCATGGTCCATTTATTACTGAGGGGGTCGTACCGCTCCACCTGAAAACATCACACACACACACACACACACACACACACCATTACATTTAACGGTGTCACATTTTAATCAGAGGTATAAACAGAGAGCTGATCTCAAACCAGCAGATACAGATTTATTCATGAGAACAGATAAAAAGTGAGTTCGGATAAAGGAGGTTCTGACCTGTTTTAGAGAGACAGATGGAGAAGCAGGAAACACTCCAGCTATGGCCGTGTGACCTCCAACTACATAGAGACTGTTCTCCAGCTCAGCTGAGCCGTGGCCAAACCTGCAGGAGAAAACACACTCATTACCAGACTGTGTGTGTGTGTGTGTGTGTGTGTGTGTGTAGTGACCATCATTTCTATAAAACCTGAATATACCTCATAGGGCTGCATGATTAAAGTATTCATGATAATTGATCTGGATCTGGATTTGAGATTCTCACAAAATTTAAAAATACTGATGCTGATTTCTATGATTCAGAAATTTGCTCCTCCTAATTGAAATTGTGCAGTCCTACGCTTGTAGGCCTCTGCTGTATACAACTGATGTAGCCCACCTGGCTATCAGCATGGGAGCTCCTTTGGACCACTCTTCATGAACAGTGTCGTAGATCCAGACGTCTTTAGACACCCCGTTCTCTGACCCTCGGCCTCCAGTCACATACACCTTACAGCCGATCGCACAGGCACTGAACTCCTTTCTGGGGCTGGGAAGGTCAGCTTTAGGAATGATCTCTTTTGCTTTATGGTCCACCTGCAAACACATCAGCCACAGAGGTTACTGCACTTTATATCAGAGGATGACCTGGAGTCAATACAGAGACCAGATGTTGTAGAAAATGAAAGACTATTCTTCATTAAGAGGAGGAAGATACAGATAAGAAGTCTTTATATTGGTGTCAGTGCTCTGTTTCTGCCTCTATCAGGTTTATTCATATTTTGGTTGATGTGGAAAGGATATTTACCCATAATCCTGCTGTCTTAAGCCATGCTTTTCAGAGGAGATAAGGACCATCTGTGGGTTTTATGGACTCTGTAGATTGACTGGGTTTGTTTAATGGCGTTACTAAGCAGCAGCCTACACTGGCCTGTCAAAAACTGCAGTTCCACCAGTGACCACTAAAGGCAGAGTTTTAGTGTGTGTCAGTCTCAACATGTCTCTGTTCAGGAGGACTGAACGGACTGAATTTATAGAACTCACCTGTTTTCATCAAATAAGGGATTAAACTCACCTGTTTACATAAAGTCAAGGATTAAATTCATCCATTTAAATCGGATTAGTGCATAGCGTTTAATTAGAGGCGTGGCCTCTTTGAGTGACAGGTTAAAGCTGCCAGCTGTTGGTTCATTCTCCTCAGCTCACTCAGTCCCTGATCTTGTAGTGTCTGAGCTTCTTGTAGGTTTTTTAATGTTTATATCAGAGAAATAATATCTCCTTTTCACTGACAGTAAGTGGATGTGCAAACCCTCTAACAAGTCTGACATACAGTCTGCACTCTCTGCCAAACTCTTTTTATCCATGAGCAGATAGTATCAGGTCTGCAGGTCTGGGTGTACCTGGTAAATCTTGTCACACATGAAGGTCTGGCCCCCCAGTATCAGCAGTGTGTGTCCTGCTTTCCGTGGTCGAGCACAGGGGCTGGTCACCACGCCATCATTCTGGAGGATCTTCTTTTTGCACTGCATCGCCTCCTCCACTATCGACCTGCAGAGGAGAGACACGACATGACCAGAGAAATGAAGACACATTTGTTTAACATCTTCTCCAAAAGCTTGGCACGATCCTCCATCAACAGCCACTCTGCTCACACGTCTCAACTCCCACAAGTCTCATTCAGAGACAGGAGCAATTTAAAAAGGATTTGGCTGCTCAACAAGAGCAGCAGATGGAGCAGATCTCAGTTAGGAGAAGAGGAGGATGACAGACAGATCACAGTGTCTGTCAGCTCAGCTGGCGTGCACGTCGTCTGTAAGCTGCTCTTTTAAAGCAGAGAGTCAGTCAGTCTTAAACCTTCTCGTGTGGAAAAATTCACTGTTTTCACTTTGAAACGCAACACTCTGGATTGATTTCAACCACATCGAAACAGGGAGGAGCACAACTGGTGTCATAGAAACTGCTATATTTATGGAGCTCTTTGTCCTGCAGGCTTCACAAGGTGTATACACACACATGCACATACAAACACACAAACACACACAGATAAACCAGGAGCTCTCTGCTACCAAAAAAAAAAAACATTTTTCCCTGCTGTTGTCTTTCTCTGTTTTATATTTTAACTCCACTTTAAAAGGGGGTGACTGCAAAGAATACAAAACAGAGCACAGAGGTATCAGAGACTTACCTGCACACATATTTCTGCACCCTCACCTTTACCGGTTTAGTAGAAATGAATAGTTAGATGAACGAGTTAGATGGTCAGATAGATGAACCAGCATGGGGCCATTAGCTGTGTTTACATGGGCACAAATAATCGGAATAAATGCTCGATCAGAATAAAAAAAGCATCGAGCATTGGATGGATGGAGTGAGCCACTACTGCCTTTTTTGGTTTGTTGACAACACAGGCATAAATTCAACTCTTCTTCTGCAGTTGTTTTAGTGAAATTAAGACAACTCTGCGCATGTCCAAATGCTTCTAATCTGAATAAAACTAAGTGCATGTATACACACGTAATGATGGGATTATTTGATTTTGCACCCATGTAAACAGTGGATTCAGATTATCCAACCCCTCAAATTTTTAATCGGATTAATAAATTTTGGACATGTAAACATGGCTGGTGTTAGATGAGGTTAGTATTTTGAATATAAACTCTTCATTTTACCTTAAGTTAAAGTTAATTCAGTATGATTTTTTTACAACCACCAGACTTTTAAAGCCGTTTCAGCCCAGTTTGATTTCTACAGCCTGTGTGTGATATTGAGCTTTATTTATCACAGTGGTTCTCAAGTCCAGTCCTCGAGGCCCACTGTCCTACATGTTTTGGATGTTTCCCTGCTCCAACACACCTGATTCAAATGATCAGCTCGTTATTAAGCCATTACAGAGCTTGATAACGAGCTGATCATTTGAATCAGGTGTGTCAGTCAGGGGTCTGACTGCTATTCCTGTTTCTTCACACTGCACCTTTAAAACAGCTCATACGTAGCTGTGTGTCAAAGAACGGGAAATATTTGGTTTCATTAGGTGCAAAAAAAAAAAAAAAAAAAAAAAAAAAAACCATTTGAGACTATTCCTACATTTTAATAAATCCTGGGTACAATACCGCAATTAAAGGGTTCATTTCTGGGGTCTTTATGCTTTTAATTTGTGGAGGGCTGAACAGCAGATCGAGCAGGAAACTGGGGAAGAGAGTACAGAAGGAGGTGATATGCAGGAAAGGAGTCACAGCCTGGAATCAAACCAGGGCCACCCACTTGAGGCACCCAGTCCACAGTGCCCCAGCAAACTAAAGGGCCTAAATGAGATTTAAGAATGACAGACAGAGCGTGTGCTGGTAACCACAGTAACTGTTACCATCCAGAGTGCATCTGTGAGGAAAAGAGAGAGAGAGAGAGATAGACAGAGACGCTCCACTGCAGCTGACTGTTTATCTGGATCATCATGGACATGAATCAATAACCATATCCTGATTATACATTTCTTATCATGACCCCAGTGTGAACTTCTGCCAGCTGCCTCTAACTTACGTATTCATCAAAATGCCAAAACATCTCAGACTCATCTCCCCTTCAGTCAGCTAACAGACATCTGCAATGTTAGTTCAGTTACCTTCCACAGAACAGAGGTTTAAAAACAGAGCAGGAGAGAGGCAGAAATCCTCCATCAGCATCTATCTCAGCCTACCTGCTCCTCTTGTCGGCCATCACCAGCTCCTCACAGGCCACGGCCTCCAGCAGACACTCAGACGGCAGCAGAGCCAGCCTGATGCCCCGCAGCAGCTCGGGCAGGTGGTGACGCCGACCCTCCAGGTCAAACCGAACCCATCGCATCACCGAGTTAAACACCACCTGCAACGAGTCGACCGAGTTTAATATTTAAGACTCAAACAAAGGCACTGAGTGGGTCACTTTACCAAACACTATCAAAGACACACTGAGACGCTGTAAACTGGTGTCTTCATGCTCTCTGTGATTTAGATACAAGAACATTTTACACCCTGAAAAGTGTGTTTATTGAGCTTAATGATACTGAAAAGTTCAATTCAGACCAAAGAGAGGAGAAGGAAAAAATAAAGGGAAAAAAATGGTAACAAACAATGATCACATACCTGTTCATCTTCAATTTCCAGCTCATCACTAAGAATCAGCTCCAGCAGTTTGTCTTTATTCAGACTGTAGAAATCCTCAGACTCTCTCATCTGAAGACAGACAAACACATGAGTTACTGTCCTCAAACTCAACATCGAACTTACAAAGTCCTTTTGCACAACAATGATTTTAAAAAGATGGGACTGTGTCGACAGTTGATAAGAACAGAACTTGAAAGTTTTGAAATTATTTTAAGCCTACATTTAAAAAATAAGGAAGAGACAACATATCCATTGAAAACCTAATAAAAGATATTGATTTATTTGTAAAATTAGAAACCAGTTTCTAGAGTTTGACAGGAAATGGTGTCACTGTCTTGCCTGATATCCTCTGTCCTCTATAACAACTTTTTACCTGTTTCGTCATTCTTCTTTAACAAATTTTCACCTCTTTGGTTGTTCCTCTATCAAGCTTTTTACTTGCTTGGTTGTTCCTCTAAGAACTCTTTCTGTCTTTGTCAGTTTCCTTTGTCTTGTTTCTTGTCTTCATGCCATTACCAGAGTAATAAAGGCTCTACAGTATTTGCTGACCATGTAATTCTTTTTTTAATAATATCTTACTCAGCATATTTCAGCTGCCAGAAGTTCCTTCAACTTCCTTTAACCTCATGCAAACTTTTGTTTCGATTTTCATCTCTTTTTATGTGCTCACTTGTTTTTATAATGAAATCCGGCCAGCCCTGTACTGTCTAAGTTATAAACAGTTTATGAATCAGGTTTGATTGAATGAAGTAGTCCATATACTGCAGCAGAGGATGAAATATGCTGTGGTGCTGTTGGTCAAAGGCCAAACTCTGCTTTAGAAAATAAACTGTTTATTCAGCTTTTCAGCGCTGGCTGTATGATGTCATTTTTTAAATCAGATACACTACAGATCCAATTAATTAAGCAATATTTCACTCTGCCTTAACAGAGGGGGAAAAACTGTCAGCAGCCAAATTAATCTAACCAAAGGACTAAAAGCTTAAAACACTCCACTTAATGTTTTATATCAACACACACAAAGTTCAATTTGATCTATCACCCAAATCTGCTGAAAAACACTGAAGAGCCTCTGAGAGCTTCTGCACACCGCCTCACTGCATTAGAGTTTAACCTTGAGAAAACATGAATACTTCTCTGAACCAATCCAGGTGTTAGAGTGGAAAATATTCAGTCAGAGGAGAGGATGTCAGAGGTTTTTCAGCCTGTAGGTCCACTCATGGGAAAGGTAACTTGTTTGGTTATTTATGAATGTGTCTAACTGAAGTCCACCTGTTCTTTCTAGTGAGTGGTTGTGATGGCAGCGGTTATGAAAGCTTAATAGGAAGCAGTCAGAAATTTATATATATTTAATTGCCTGCACAGTATATCCCCAGATGTATGACATGAGAGAACAGCTCGTCCTCATTCTGGTTCTGTGTAGGGTACGTTTGGGTCCCCGCAGCAGTTATTACATAAGAACACACTGATGGGCCATGAGGTGGCTGAGTTACCGTCTCGTAGTGCAGCAGACACATCCTCCACGACAGCTCGTACAGCCTCTTACACTGATGAGCGTCTGACAGCAGCATCATCCCCAGGCAGTTGGACGAGTGCAGGTTCTTCTCCAAAAACTCTGCCGCTGCGTCCCTGATGTCGTGGAACTGCAGCATGTCTCCGGCCTCTAACAGTGACTCAGCGTTCTCCTCGTTTATGATGACTCGGGAGGAATAGGCAAAGTCCAGCAGGAGCTCAAGGACCTGAGGAGAGAGAGGAAGAGTCGGGGTCAGAGAGTCTCTTACTGAACTTGAGAAGTCTTTGTACCAGACTTTGGTGACAGGAGGAGTCAGGCTGGGAAAAATCCTCCTTGTTCTTCACAGGGTCACCAAATAAAGTGGATTTTAATAAAGTGGATTTATTGCCCTGCTCCATACAGAGGCCACACAGGTTAATATGAAGAGGAGCTGTATGTGTGTTCATGGACAGCAGACATACCTCTGGGTGTATACTGTCTCTGAAGTTAACGTCACTGTCCAGACTTTCTCGTAGACCCCCGCTGAACATGGCCTCAAAGTATCGACTGCACGCTGCCAGGACGGCCCTGAAACACACACACACACACACACATACACACCTGTGAGAGAGCTGAAGGTGTCACTTTAAAGTCAGAGGAATCGGGATCAGTGGCACTGAAGGGAGCTGAAGGTGTGTGTCTGTTCACCTGTGGCAGGGGAAGGACCGGTCTCCGGCCCACAGCGTGACGTCGGTGAACATGCACTGCTTCCTCATGGTGTTCAGGTGAGTCAGCACGCTGTCCGGATGGGAAGGCTTGTGGAACAGTGAGATGTTCATGGAGCCCGTGCTGGTGCGGGATTTTCTATTCTCATGAACAGTCACGGACATGGCCGCTGGGTTTGGCACCGCCACGGAGACGCAAAGGAACGATCCCTCCAACTGTGCAGAGACGACAAGGACAGAAGACACAAAATTTTTTCTCGGATGTCAGAATCAGTTTTTTTTTAACACCCATACTTGTATTTGGTGATGAGAGGAGGACTCTCACTCTCACGTATCATCTTCTGTAAGTGTCAAGCATGTTTGACATCTGGGCTTTATCAGAAAGGACACTCTGCTGTCAGGTGATTTGACAGTCCTGGCTCTGATCCTATTATGCCGTGTTAATACGGCTAAATTGATTAAAAATGCGGCAGCCACTATACAACCACAAATCAATACCCGGCTTTACCATCAGGACTCTAACCTTTAAGGCTCATGTGGCCTCGATCGCTAAGTCAGTTTACTTTGCCCTTTGCAAAATCAGGAGGATCAGACTAGTGCTGCATGACTGATCTAGTCTAGCTGCAGCTACAGTGTGAGAACGTGCAGAAAAGGCTGAAATATGGGGTTTAAATGGCGGTGTGCTTGTGTGTCTGTAAAGCACACAGGGGATTAAATATAGTCTTAGTTTCAGGGATGTGAACTGATTTAAATCAACTCTGCATGACCAACCAAGTATCTAAGGCAGAGTCATTTCTGTGCTTATATGAGAAATGAAGCATTTGGACCAGAATTATTTGGGTATCAGGCTGTAAACATGTTTAATTCTGCTGTAAAGATAGTCACTTCATATGGATGTGTATGTGGCCTGAGGGGCTTTTACAGCCAGCCCCTAGTGGACACATGGGGAACTGACAACAAAGATTTATATTTATATACTGGTTGAAAATAGCCCTGTGAGAAATTCATAGTAAAGTTCACAAGAAGTTCATAGGATCTAAACCATGCATTTTTATTTTTTAAATGCTGCGTTCCAGTTGTACTCGGATGTCGGATTTTCTGAGCTTTGAGTCGGAAATTCATCTGGAACGCCCCCATGAAGTCGGTTTTTCAACTTGGAAAGTCAGACGATCCTCACCAACCCCGACTTGATGACAACCTCATTATCCAAGATGGCAGCGCAGTGCATCAACAGTAAAGAGTAACAGTGAAAGCTCTCGTAATATATTATTTACTATTCTATTAACTTTTGTTTTGTTTTTGTGAACACCCTGAACACGGTGCTATGGTGTTTGTAAGAGCAAAATACTGTTTTATGTGTTGTTAACAAGTGGTATAGCTAACAACAACTAACACAACCGTTGACAACGGCTAACGACAACTGACAATTGTAAACAGCAGCTAACAACAGCTAACAGTAGGCGTCCATCTTGGTTTTCCGACTTGTTAACTGGAACGCCATCAACTCAGGCGTAATGTAATTCCCAGCTCCGACATCCGACTTCAGAGGTAACTGGAACTCAGCATAATCCTGTCTTTGAAAAGAATCAGAATAGAGAATCGTTAGGAAGCGGAATCGTTCAGATTCAGATGATGCCCAACCCTAACAGTGACCAACATGGACACTAATGAGCAGCATGACGAGCGAGTCAACACTGAAGGTGAAAGCAAAATCATATTCCCTGATATTGTCCACCATAACATCATCACACAACCGTCTTAAATCCTGCAGCACTATATGCACAGATCTCATTTTTCGGTTATCCAGAGGTGGAAACGCTGTCATGATTACAGGGATGATAGAGCGTGAGGTCTCTTTTCTAATATGTGGAGCAGGTCCCACCAGCTCTCAGCAGATGGTTAAATGTTGCCTTTACTGTGTGAGGCTGTTTGTGAGTTGGTCTTTTTTACACAGAGAGGAGACTAGTTTGTCCCAGACAGATGCATGATGGATGATTTTAAATGCATGCAGGCAGAGCTAAAGCACAGAGATGCTGTTCATTGTGCTGTGCATGATTTAACCCTTTTCCACCGGTTTACCTACAACAAAAACAGTGCAAACCTTTTCCGTTAATCTGGGGGTGTGAATCTGTCCACGGCTGCTCAATGAACAGCAGTAAATAAAGTCTGCTTATATTCTTCTTTAAACCCACAACACCACAGTGCTGGGCGTCCTAACACTGCTCTGAGACCTGCAGCTCTGTTACAGCTCCACTATCAGCTCCTTCATTAATATATTCATCAGTTTACCTACAGCAGCTCATTACAGCAAAACAGCAACATGCACCACGACTCTTTCACTTACAGATGTTACCTTCTCTCAGCCTTTAACAAAACTACCAGAACAAAGGAGAGGCAGGATTTTCCATCAAACACTGCGATTTTAAATATCAAATATAGATGAAGAGATAGTAACACAGTAACACAGTGAGAGCATATCAGCTGTATCCCACAAATATGTTCACAAAACCATCCCACACGGTCTTCAGCAGCTACACATGCAGGTTCAAACGCTGTTTCAGCAGCTTCAGCTCAGCCTTTGTGTTCGTCTGTGTGTGGATGTCTCTATCTGCTGACATGCATTTGTAGACCAGAGACCAAACAGATCAGTCACAGGCTCTGTGTGTGTGTGTGTGTGTGTGTGTGTGTGTGTGTGTGTGTGTGTGTGTGTGTGTGTGTGTGTGTGTGTGTGTGTGCATGTTTCAAAGATCACAATGCACACTTCACAGTAAAGTGCTTGTGGCTGCACTAAATCATTGTGTGTGAATAAACAAAGGATTGGACCCACACATGCACACTAGCGCGCATGCACTCACTCCTGCTCACACACACACACACACACACACACACACACACACACACACACACACACACACACACACACACACACACACACACACACATTTGTGTTTTTTGGAGTGCAAGTCAGACGTGATGCTGCTCAGTGTGCCTCTTTGTGTGTAATAAGTGTGTGTGTAATGACAAAAACACGAGACAGAGAAAGGGAAAAACTGGAGCTTCACTGAATCTGGACGTCAACACTGTGATGCATCATTCTGATAAACAACAGCGCTTTCTAACCATGTACTGATTGTCATTTTAGTCCAGACAGCGCCCGCAGTTATCCTGCAAATCATTTTGACAGAAGCTTATACACAGATATCCAAAAGTTAACACAATCAAACAAAACTACCACACTATCCACTCAAGATATGGTCATTATTGTTGGTGATTTATTTCATTTTTGTTCACCATATCATTGTATTAGAATCCTGACATCTAGCGTTTGTATAAGTAGGGTTTCCCCAACATGCAACTGGCACACCGCCACAGCTTAATAAAAGCCGCCACACCTTAAAATTTGTTTTTTTTATTCCGTGGCTGTACCTCGGACTCGTGTATCAGTATAAAAACAAGCAGCGTATTAGCAGCAGTATTAGCATTTGCAAGTTATCGTCGGTGATCACACAGCTGATTCATTACCCCCACCCTGCATCACAGACCACTACAGATAGATTCCACTGATAAGTGAGGTGTTTCCCTGTTTCTCCTGTAAGTAAAATAGCAGCAGACTGAGATGATTATATACGATTACCCACATCTCCACTAGGTGGCAGTATTAGTGAGATAGGCATTCAGACTGTCAGTGCTCAGGTAGACCAGCACCTGTTAGTCACTCACGTTACTACAGCACGAGCCTTTGCTTGCATTGGGGAAGTGAAAAGCAATGCCTCTGCCTCAACATGTCCACCACCAACAGTGAGTCATCCTCCAAAGACAACATCCTACACCCTGTGACAGAGGGCAGGAACAGCTGCTGTCATCTACTGCAGGACTACTTCACCTACAGAGAGCAAACGTTTACTTATGTCCAGAGATATCCAGATCCAGTGACCAATTTCATATTTATTTACTAAACTCAGGAGGAGGCAGGTGTGCATGTTAGTGAGTGTGTGAAAAGTCAGGGGACAGACTAAGGATGATGAGGGCTGTAGAGATGAGGAACATTTATAAGTGCTAACAAGCTAATGATAGTGAAAGTTGTTACTCTGAATCCTAATGAAATTCAAGTCTTGAGGTTAGAAGAGATGTTTTTAAAAAGCCTGATTTGTTGAAATCTGAGTGAATTTTTATGACACAGTGCATAAATACAAGTGAAATCTGACATTTCATTCAATAAATATTTTTACCAAAATGAAGCTCTTAGGTGAAGAAGTGATGCATGGTGACCTTTAAAACCTTTATATCATTCAGACAGAGACATACTTTAGTTATTAAAATGTGTTTTTTTTAACCACTTATTGTTTTTCAAAGAATTAAGAGTTTTGATGTTTTAAAGAAGTTTTAAGTTCCACAAATACGTGTGATGCAGATGTCAAATTGTGGGTAGTGGTGTTTTATAATCTTGATCTCTCTATGAATCAAAACTCATTCTTATGACTTTTGCCATGATCATGCAGCCCGAGTTTGACGACTAGCCGTGAGCTTACGCTGCATGTCTTCCCTCACTCTCTTCTCCCAACATTTCCTTTCTCTCTGCAGCTGTCCTGCCTGATGAAGCTGAACGTTACTTATAGCTTATTGCCACAGACCCTGACCACACAGTCTCATCTATGGGTGTGTGTGTGTGTGTGTGTGTGTGTGTGTGTGTGTGTGTGTGTGTGTGGGAGGTGGATAACTCTGACCCAGAAACACTGTAAACATGTAAACACAGCCAGTTTAAGTGTTTTAAAGTTCATCCACCCTCACTCACTGACCAAAGATCAGCCAGCGTGTCACTGCTTAGAGTTTCTGTTCCACGGAGCTCCTTTTACAAGTTCCTAACGCTAAATTATTCAATATCCGTCATTACTGTGTTCTTCAGTCAATACTGGGGCAGAATGTGGGAGCTCTCTAAACCTGGCCTGAAACATTGATGTTTAAAGGGATATTCTGATGTAAATTTAAAGGGATATTCAGGCGTATAATTAATTTAGGGTCAAACACACTGTAACACCGAGTTAGACACCCCCGAGAGAGATGAATGTTGCCGACTGCTTGCTTCTCTAGTTATACCAACTTTAGTAATGACCACACGATAGCAATACACAGCGGTCTCAGGAGCCACATACAAACCTCAACCAAAACCCCACTCTATAGCCACAAATGATGCTCAGAACAGCACCTAACTTCATCAACAGTATATATAGGGTCCCAGCCATAGCACTAGCCATTGCACATCTTTTTAGCTTTGCCTTGTGTCTTTAGCAAAGAGACCAAACACAACTCACCTACTCTCCTCCAGCAGCTGCTTGTTTGTGTGGGAGCCCTGATGAGTTAATTACTGAGTGCAGCGGAGTTTCGCAGCTCAGGGAAGAACATTTATGATTATTACTTCGTGAAAATGCAATCAGACCGAGACGGTAGGGCAGAAGAACTACCGCGTCTGCAGTGCAAAATGATTATGATGATGATTATTACTTAATGAAAATGATCCGCTGCACTTGGTGATCGACTTCTCAGTGCTCCCCTACAAATAGCGGGTGCTGAAGGAGAACAGGTGAGTTGTATTTAGACTCTTTGCTAAAGAAATCAGGCAAAACTAAAAAGATGTTTGGTGGCTAGTGCTGTGGCTGGGACCCTCTATGTACTGTTGATGAAGTTAGGTGCTGCTCTGAGCATTATTTGTGGCTATAGAGTGGCTTTTTGGTTGAGGTTTATGCGTGGTCATTGCTGAAGTTGGCAAGCAAGCAGTCTGCAACATTCATCTCTCGAGGGATTGTCTAACTCGGTGTTACAGTGTGTTTGACAGTAACTTAAATATACGCCTGAATATCCCTTTAAATGTTTCTGACTTTGTCTACAAATCATGAGAAGACAGACCATAAAAAGACCAGTCCTTGTCTAAATGATCAAACTTCAACTGTAGCTTTATTATCCTAGAAGAGTGACTGTCAGTCTGTTCCAGCTGTATGCCGATGTTATATCAAATCGTCCTGCTGTGTCCTCCACTGTAAACAGGGAGAAAAACTTCACTGACAAACAGGAGACCGAGGATTTAAACTGCCAAAGTCAACACTCACATAGATCCACCACAGAGATGTTTTCACGGTCCGCTTCAGTCCAAACAGCAAACAGAGACCAGGAGCCAACAGGCCAGCAGCAGTTTACATTAGAAAGACTTTACAGGAAACACTCACAGTTCATAAACTCTTGTGTCCTAGTTGACTTCATCTGTAACTGAAGTGTTACTACAACACATGTAAGTATTTTCCAAACTCCATCAAGTTCAGAAATCTGTGTCAGCCTCCGCCTTCTCCTCAATATGAACACCTTCACTTAAAACACTCTACACTCACTGCTCAGACTTTTAAGGCTCATTATAATGCAGCGTAGCTACACACTCACACACACACACACACACACACACACACACACACACACACACACACACACACACACAGCACAGCTCACCAGCAGAATATCAACAGCAGAATATCAACAGAGCAGCTGAATAGACTGAAGCCGTGTAAACATGCTGGTAGTCAGTGAGCATAGCTGCACCACTGGACCTGTTGCCCAGGGCCACTCAGTGTGTGTGTGTGTGTGTGTGTGTGTGTGTGTGTGTGTGTGTGTGTGTGTGTGTGTGTGTGTGTGTGTGTGTGTGTGTGTGTGGTGGGGGGCTCAGGACAGTCTCTAACTCTCCTGCCCTGTCAGACTGAAACATTTGCATCAAGTGTCTTCAGTTCACTGTAAATGAATCGGAGTCTCTGCAGGCTGGAGTTACAGCTGCTGAACAAACAGAGGGACTCACAGCAGCTGATACCTGGAGTGAGCATGATTGTTATAATAGCTATTATCATCACAATGACGGCTGTTTCAAAACAAAATCCATCATCACATGATTGTTATTCTGAGTTGCTGAGTTTCCTAAAGAGAGTCTGTTTACTGATCAAAGTGACCCGGCAGACTGAGGTCAGCCTGAACACACACTCTGACATGTTCAAGTCCGCTCTGTTGACCTGAGATCACAAAACCACCAGCTTTCACGTCAGAATATCCCTTTAATACTCTGACTTAGTTACTGACCTGACCAACATCAACACCACAGTAAGATGAGAGCAGACAGCTTCTGTTCCTCAGATATCTGAGGAGGGAATTCTGCATGACAGTGTGTTTTTGCTAAGATCCAGTCCTCACAAACTCATTTAGGCAGACACTGATACCAGCACTGGTATCTGGTATCAGTCACTTGAGGTGGCCTGCATCTTCCATCAGTCTGAGACGCTGGCAGTCAAGAGTTCAGACCAGTGGATTCAGTGATTTTCTTGTAAGACTCCTTTACCTCTGTGTAATAGCTGCTTTGTTTTCAGGGGTTGGTTAAAGCTGCTTTGAGGAACCTTTGATTTGTAATGGTCCTGGCAGCCTCTATGGACAAAGTGATGTCTCTGATCTCGAGTCCTGTTCATGTGCAAGTGGTGTTTCCAGACAAAAACCTCATCCCGTCCGCTGTCTCTTAACAGTAATGTCTAAACCTTTACCCTCAACCTGACAATGACTCAACTGGGGACGCTCCAAAAGGGACAGAATTTGACATTTTAATTCAGCGAGAGAAAATCCATTCCTCACCTGTTGGTCAGACTTAGAGAAATCCAGTTAAGTTCTGTTTTAGTTGGATTAACCCGTGAACATGTATTTCTAGTCAAACCATGCCAGTCCACGTGAGCCTTCAAAATAACACAATCCTGAATCTGTAAACCAAAAACATGACTCAGCCTAACACTGACTGCTAAACAGACCTGAGGTGTTACCTGAACTCATCTCACCTCCACTCTGCTCAGCACATCCTGCACCCCCTCTATCAAATCAATAAAAACATCTTTAATTCAGTGTTTTCTGTCAACATGTTCAGATCTTGGGTTAACACCATCCTCCAGGACCACACAGGTCTGGTCCTGCACATAAACACCTGCTCACCATACATGGACCTCCTTCTTTACTATATTTGTGTCACTACATCAGACTGTTCACATTTTCCTAAACGTGTAGAGGATGATAAAAACTGAAGCTGCACCTGTCGATTTAAAGAAAACACAAACCATCTAGACAAGCTCTCACAGTGATGTCATTACAGCTCCACGGGTTATTATGACATTTTGAACAGTCAATAACATTGAACACCTGAACACCTCACAGTTGAGCCTGCTCCACAGGATCACACTGAAAATACAGCAGAGATATATAGTCACACACACACACACACACACACACACACACACACACACACACACACACACACACACACACACACACACACACACACACACACACACACACACACAGACAGCATAGCTCTACCCATCGATCTGTGTGATTACCTCTCTGACAGCTAATCCATAACACTGTGAGCTTTGTAAACATACATGCCAATAAGAGGACCTGAGGGTGGACTGCTGCTTACAGTTATTGTAAAGTGGTGGAGGACTCTCAGGGAAACACAATGAGGCTTGATTTATTCAGCTAACCTGCAACATTTAGATTTTTAACTCCTCATAACATCAAACAAACACATTTTAGATATTTTCTTATACTACAAACTATTTTTTAGTTATCCTTTTTTATCGTCTCAATCTACTTGATCTATTTCTACATTTACATGCACCACCATGACAATTCTCTGCAAATGCAAGCCCACTCTGCAACAGTTCTAAATCCATGTTTGAGTAAAATAGTCCATGAATAAATCGAAGTTGGTTTCAGATTCTGATTTGATTTTCCACTTACCGATAACTGGATGTGAAGTCCACATTTAAAATAAATAAACTTTTGTAGTTTGTGGACAAATCCAGCTGAACTTGAGAGGGTTAAACCAAGTATTATAGACCATTATAATTAGGGATACTCAATATTGGATTTTTGCTGATATCTGATATGCTGGTATTTTCAAAGTTCTTCTGGCTGATACAGATATATTCACTCTAAGTTTCTCCTTTACCTCTAATTGATTTGTTTAAGGAACAGACATAAAACAATAAAAACAGCCTTTGATTACACCAATATGATTAATGGAATTAATTTTAAATAATGGATAAATGGGAGGATGATGCATCTTTACAACACTTCCTATAAAGCCAACATGTGCAAAGGTGCACAAAATGACTGCATCACCCTTTAAGTCAAGAATCAAATCTGCAGAGGAGTTCATACAAGTCACCGATGAAGAACTTTTTCAGCTATCATCTGCCCATATTAATATCATGTTAAAAATACTGTGCATCCAATTAAAATTGCTGATATTATTCATTATAAATCTGAGTGCATGCCACACTGTTTGAAGTTTTCTGCTGTACCTGTAGATGGTTTGGCTTGTGACAACACAAAGACTTAGTGGTTCAACCAGAAGGGAGCATAACTTCATATTCCCTTCCCTTGGTTTAGAGAACTGCAGCTGATTATGCTCTAATCGTGCTCAGGGTGAGGACATATTGCAGTATACAGTATTTTACCCGGCTGTACAGGTGTGTATAAGAGGGGTCAGTCCATCACAAACTCCTGCACAAAATAACATTTGTTGGTAATGATGACTGGTTATCAAAACATGCCAATAAATGTTTTTTTCAGCAGCACCAAGAACTAGGGACCTATGAGCAACTCTGTGCATTTCAACAACAGGAACTAAGGTCTAGATTTAGTTCAAGGGTAACTGATCCACCCCTGTAAAAGTCCCCACTTGGGGGGGGGGGGGGGTCTGTTAACAAACAGAAACTTAATTTACATATAAAATCTGCAAAACTATAAACATAGATGAATTATGACTCTGTTTTTCATACCAGGGGATGTTGTAACAGTTTTAGGGGTTAGTCTCATCAGGAAATCTGCTACATTATAGACCAGTGTTGTTTTCGTTGACGATGACGTTGAAGAAAATATTTTGTCAACGTCATCGTCAACAAAAACAACACTGCAGAATATATGTTTAGCGTTTGACTGATGAAATGCTCATGAATTTTGCAACTCTGTTCGTCGTCCACCACTAACTTTTTTGTCTAGTCTCGTCAACGTAAACCCAAACATAAGTCATCTAAGACTTATGTTTAGCTTGTCAATGTCATCTCGTGGAAAAAAAGGGGCGTTGACGAAATATTTTCATCAACGAAAACAACACTGTTATAGACTGGTGCTTTATTTACACACAGACATCAGCTGAGGGACAAACAGGCAAAAGCACCATAGAGCGTTAAACCCAAGATGAAATATTTCCTGTAACTTGATGTTTTCCAATAATTAATACAGCTTACCTGCTGCCAACATGATTTTTTAAAATCATTATCATAGTTCATATCAGACGCCAATAAAAGAGCCATACAAGGGTCTCAATCTACCGATGTCCTGGATGTATCTGGTCTTATCTTTCCAGGACTAAAGACCCTGGTGGAAACAGACAGAAAAAAGGGCCACAGAAACCTTCTGGCTCCTTGAAGAGAAGTTCCTGGTACATAAAACCCTTCATGCCACCCTTACATGAGCTTGGGCCACCCCAGTCTCTACGTATGGACACGCCCCTGACACAACACACCGAATATCCAAACACCTGAACCCGAACCCTGACAGCGATCCTTCAAACATTAAATCCTTTAAATGTGTTAAATCTAAGGAACATGACTGCATGACCGGAGGACAAAGTTACAAACAGAGCATGAATAAATGTCTAAAACTTAAAGTTTAGTGTCACAGACGCAGAAATTAGAGAGGGTTCGTTTTTCAACATTGACTTTACATAAAGGCATCAGAGAGAAGCTGTAGAGAGCAGCTAACAGCAGTTAGCCTCCATGCTAATAACTGAGTAACTATCAATGCATTGACCTGGTTCCTATAACACACATTAGTTTACAATGTATTATGGCACATTCATGTTATCTGTGTTTTTATACGGACTTCAGTTATCTCAAAATGAAACTTAAAAACAGCTTAACTGTGACCCGCTGACTGTCCGGGGCTCAGAGTTCAAGGATTTTAACTCTGAGCAGAGTTAAAATCCTTTAAATATCAAAGCTACAAAGACTGTGTGTGTGTGTGTGTGTGTGTGTGTGTGTGTGTGTGTGTGTGTGTGTGTGTGTGTGTGTGTGTGTGTGTGTGTGTGTGTGTGTGTGTGTGTGTGTGATGGTATGTACAGGTACTGAACTACCAGCCCAGTTATATCTGACTGTGTACTCCACCTTCTGCCTCTCACCGCACAAAAACACACAGAAAAGGTACTTTTACTCACATGTTTGTAGTTTTTGAGGTGAAGTTAAATCCACGGACCGTACAGCTCCAGCTTCGGGGATAAAATCATGATTTTTCTGGAACAATGGCTGGGGTTTGTCTGCCACTCTCTGCCTGTCTGACGGCTCTCAGAAGAAAACCTGAAAACTGCTCCGGTAGCCTCAACCAATGACTGCTGACGTAAATGTGACTGACAGTCTCTTAACCAATCACGTATGACTACGTTATGCTAGCGCCCACTGGGGGCCAATAACAGTAATGGTAGGCGGGACTTCTTGGGCAACGCTTTGACCAATCAGTGTGGTTCACTCTAAGCCTTTTGGAGCCAAAACCAATCATATGCACATTTTAAGAATGGGCGGGACTTCTGCAGTTCTTTTGACCAACCAGTGAAAAAGGAGCGTTGGTATTAATGGCGGCAACAAAACAATAGCACGTTGGCAGCCCAGAGAGTGAAGATTATGGGTAAGTGTTTGCGTTATTCTACTTTTTGTTTTGGTGTTGTGAATTGATTAAATATGTTTTATCATCAATAATTACACCAACAGTAACAAAGTAGACATAATCATGAAGTTATTAATCAAGAAATAATCTCCCTCTTAGTTAACAGTTACATCAGATTTAACCAAGCAAACTAAATAAAGTTTATCTCACCGGCTTTAGTTAAAATCTTGATGCAGGAGCTGTCTTTTGGTTGAAGATTTAGTAAAAATAAGTTTCTTCTATAGAATCCTTTGAAAACATGAATCAACATCGCCCCCTGCAGTGTGACAAACAGAGGTACCTACTGTGTGGTTATTATATGGACAGTAGAAGGTGGTGGGTGTCCATAGAATATACAGTCTTTAGTGGTGCAGGCGTCAGTCACTGAGCATGTCTCGGTTATCAATAGAAAGAAATTCATATCCTGTTTTACATTCTGCTGCAATGATTGATACAACCACCGTCAATAAACATGGTTCATCCCTGCATCCACTAATGCAGTTAAAACTGAGCCATACAAAGAGAAAACCAGATAGAAACAAGATCCAGGAACACCAGAGACTTCTCTGGACCTGAGCCTATTAAAGGTGGGCTGACCAATCAAGATATGACATTCTTTTTGGAAGTCATGGACGCCATATCCATGGCTGGCTATCCAGAGCCAGCCCAAGCCTCAATGGGGCCCTAAGCAAAATTTGATTTTGGGGCCCTCTGTTACTGCCAATAATATTGACTGTTGATCATTCACACACCTTCACAAATCTCTTTGATTGACATCCCATGACATGCAAACATACCTTTATGTTTGCGTTTTTTCTCTTCTTCCTCTTTCTTTTCTCTGCTACTGAAGGATATGTCCCTTTTTGCGACATTGTTTTGCCCCACAACTACCTGCTCTTTGGATGCTTAGTGCACACTGGACAGCAGAAGGCACATAATGGTAGCGGAGCTTTGACATATCGGCAGTGAGAATCATAGGCCTACATCATCAGCAGCACTTGAATATTTTTACAATAATATATATTTGATTATACAGAGAGCATCACTCATACATGCAAAAAATAAAGAATTTTCAAAAAAAAAAAGTTTTTGATTGCTCTTGGGGGCCCCCTATTGGCTGCAGGGCCTTAAGCAGGCACTTAGTTCGCTTATGGCCTGCTCTGTGGCTATCAGCTCACAGGTCACGGCCAGCATCCCTGATGGTACTGGGATGTAAATTTGATTTCTATCTGGTATAAAGAGTGTACTGTGTGGCAGTCAATCTAAATATTTACATTTAGCTTGTTGGGGCCAAAAACAGTCACATGTTTTTTAATCATCTTGCTGAACTAGCATGATCCTAAAAGAAAAATCTGCTCCTCCCTCCAAGAGTCAGTCTTATTAACTCTCAGCTCACCACCATAGCCTCACAGAAACTTCTGTCTCATCCTCATCCTCACCCTCATCCCTGCTGCTTCCTTCATGAAGCAGCAGAGGCCAAAAATTTACATTATGGGACCATAACTCTCCACAGCAAATTCAGAGACCTCACTGTCAAAACTCTTCTCTTTGAGATCACATGAAGTATAGTTAGTTTTCTACTCTGGGCTCAGCATGATAATGGAGAGGGAAAGCAGCAGCAGCATGAGGGTCAGCATGGGCAGCATAAGGCATAAGGAGAAGCAGCGTGAGGAGCAGAGAAAGAAGCAGCATGTGTCAGCAGGAGCAGTGTAAGGCAAGAGCAGCAGATGAAAGCAAGAGCAGCAGGAGGAGGATAAGGAGAGGACCATGTTCCTGATCAGGCACTCTAACTCCTCCCTCCAGCGGCCCCCAAGAGCTCATGCACAAAGATTTTTCAGTCAGGTCACTTTGGGTCAAATTCAACCAGAAACACAGAAAATAGTCCTATGTTGCTATTTATTTGCTTGATTTTGTATATATGGAGTTTTATTACAGTTTGATTCTCACTGTGATGGTCTGTGCTACTGGAGGGAATCTCAAGAGTTTCATGGCCAGTAGATGGTGCTATTTCCCATCTAATTCTAGATAAGAAACCTGACAGATTTATTGCTCTGTCATTAAGTTAGACAGCTCTGTTTAACATAAAGTAACAACAATATCTTTAGTTTTGATTTTTAATCCTTTGAATCAGCCAGAAAAAGGTTTGAATAAAACCTGAGCAGAAGCAGCATCATGCACCTCACTAGTTACAAAAACAGTTTGTTTTGGGGTGCTGTAAGTGCTCACAGTACTTTAATCTCTACATGCCAGTTCACCTGTTTTATTCCCTCTGAAGAGTACAGGTTCCAGTGTCTTTACAACAAAATTCACTTCATTCAAACTGATTTATTGTGACAGATGAAAGACTGCAAGCACCTTTAAGTGCTGCTGAGTCGGTGCCACTAGATGGTGCTGTTTCTTTTCTCCTTTCAGTCAGCGTTAGTGGTGCTCCTGTTTCCCTGTTTTCCTGTGAACACAACAGTAATGTCCAGGCTCATGTGACCACTGCTGGCTCCTGGATGATAAGATAGGCTGTATCAGGTGGGTAATGATAATTGATAAGTACAGTGGTAGCTGTAGACACATGAGATTTTCCACTTCAAGTCTCCAAGGCCCTTAAAATAAAAAATAAAAAATAGATAACTTTAAACCAAGTGAGTTGCATGTATAATAAGTGTAGAGACAGGATCAGACCAGAGTTCTTGTCAGTAGACTGAAATGACATGAACATGTGACATATATTGAACCAGCTGTGCATGTAAATGACATGAATTTGTGAGAGGTCCACACGTTACCTGCTTCCTTTTAAGCTGCAAGATTTTATCTCTATGATAGCCAATAAGCATAAAGATCTCCCAGTGATGCACATCAACAATAGATGGATACAGATAATACAACAAATCCTCCCTGTGTGGTCAGCCTTATTTATGTTATATGTAGACAGACAATACAAACAATGGCTCCTTTTAAGCATTCGTTCCCATGTTTGTATGACTGTGTGGCTCAGGGCAGTGGGGAAAATTATCCAGATTAAACACAAATATTCATATGTTCACATATGTGTGAATTCAGTCATTTAATTTGTGAGTGGTTTGAACTCATCAGACCACCATGGACTCTGCAGACACAGGAACAGGAGCGTATACTCTCATAATGACAGTAGGGTTTGGTTGTAGTTTAAATGATCTAAATGAGGTGGTCAAGCTACCTCTGTCCAGCTGACTCAAATTCCTCTGTGGTCAACACACTTAGGGTCGATAAGTACCTCATACAAAATGCATGCATGAAAACACAGACTACTCCTTTAATTCTCTGACAGTCCACAGACATGAGGACATCAGATTAATTAATTCTGCAGAGTTTTCTCTGTATCACTGACAGCAGATGTGATGTTGGTGTAAACATAGAGGAGAAAGACGATAAATATGATATGTCTTTAGTACTGGATCTCATTCGGGGGGTCTGCAGGATGGGGTAACCCCTCCATGGACCCTGATGGAGGATGTAGGATGTGATGATGGGGGATACAGAGGTGACGGGTCGAGAGGAAATTCATCCTGAATAGAGCTCTTATGTTTTCAGCTGCAAGATGATTGGTTGATAGAGACTGTGGTTCAGCCTGATTAGTTAATACTTTAAGGGTTAAACACTGATGATGAGGTGATGAGAGACCAGAAAAACAGAGTGATATGAATGATTAGTTAATGAATGTAGAAGAGTCTATTTGGTCATATTGAGCTTCATTAAAATCTCCTCCTGTTTTTCCCCCACATTTTTTGAACCCGAGGAGGAAACTCTCTTTCGCTCTCTCCAACCCTTAGGTAAGGATTGCCTCAGCTAACATGTTACTGGTCAGAAGAGTCGGTTTCAGACTCTTGAACCCTTTTTAAATGTCTGTCGAACAGCTCCTCTGTGTGTGGATCCTGTCTGAGGGGGTTTAGTTCCTCTGCAGACAGAAATGCAGACCAGCTCGTCCTCCGACATTCCTGACCCTCATGTTTTTACCAACAGGAATGTTTCTGAGTCATCTGACCCACTGCTGCTCTCAGGTGTGCAACACAAACTCATTTATCTGAATATGGGCTTATGAAAGGACCTGTAACAGCTTTACAACAACATCAGTCACCATTCAGGTTAAAACTGCTTTAAAGACACCAAAACATCAGTGAGGAGGAGGCTAAAGATACTTTGACCTCAGTCTGTAGACCCTGTGATCCTTTATCTTTCAGTATATGGTTTCTCTTCTCTTTGTAAAAGAAAGAGATGTTTTGAAAAAAAAGGTTCAACATCAAATAGACTCTGAGGATAACTAGACCCTTTTTTCTTAAACCTCCTTTATTTAAGGGAATGTAAAATCAAACATAGAGCAGAGGTTTTTCCTGCTCGAACCCTGTTTTTCTTTTAATGTAAAAGATCATTCCAGAGGAGTATTTACAGCCTCTGATTCAGGAAGCGAAATGAAAGGAAATGTTAGAAAGCAGCAGAGACAAGAACATTTTTACCACAATGTCAACAGGCAGAGCGGAAACTTGATGGTAGGGATGTGCCGATCTACGATTTAATTGTGATATGCGATATTAAACAGCTGCGATGATGAAATCATGAGGTACTGCAATAATCATTCCAAAATTATAATTTAAAGATGAGTGGCAACGTCACTCGGCGGAGGCAAGCGATGCTGAGTACTTACCAACCTAACCTGCTTGTAGTCTTACCCACGGTGTCAAAGCCTCAGTAGCAAAATGTACAAACAAACCACCACAAAAGTAGTCCCAAATCCAAAAAAACTCTCAAATTAAGTACATTAATGCCAGCCTAACAAAAACGGGAACATTAAAAGAGAAAATGAAGAAATTTTACAACAAAATGTGTGGCCACCCACAATGCGTCTTGAGATGACGACTGTTGTGAATTAGCGCTATATAAATAAAATTTGATTGATTGATTGAATTTGAATGCATTGCGGCCACCCAAAGCACTGTTGGAGCGTGTCCACAATGCATCCCATCCGCTCATTAGCTTCTTAAAGTGGAGGAGATATGATCTAATATTTTTAGAAAACATGAGTATTGGATAATGACAACATGTCAAATGGAGCAGCAAACTTTTGTTCTGTTTTTATGTGTCCCAAAAATGCACATATAGAGATGTACTTGGGTACATAAACTGTACAGTAAGCTGTCGAGGTAGAGAACATTATGTTTTCGAGACAGCAGATGTTCTGAATCAGAGGGCTATTGTTTTCGGCTTATCTGAATAGTCTGAATGAAATCATTAAAGGCACATGCTTTTGAATCCATCCAACGGTAAGGAAACTTGGACTATTTCACCTTGTTATGTACTTTCAACCGCGGCAGGGGTGCATTCTACTGCATAACACCAGACCAAGAACAGTCGGAGACTGAGAATGACGAAACGCCTCGGCTGTATCCTCCTATTGAAAAGGTTTTGTTGGCAGTATGCTGTAAGGAAGTTGCAGAGCCGTTGTCTAACACTTCAAACCTACATGCCCACCTCCGTGAACACCATCCAGCATCGTTCGCCCAAATCAAGGTAAAAACAACATGACCGCAACAAGTTTGGTCTACTCTACTGCTTATCATTGACAACACTAGTGACGTTTCTGCTAGCTTTAGCTCCAAAAAGCTAATGCTCCCAACGTCGCGTTAGCTGCCTCTTGCTCATATTGTTTGTGCGTGTCATGCTGTGCACAGAGAAGTGATTTCGCAGTTTTTTACCATTTTTAATAACGTTAAAAGCAATGCGCTAATATCGTGATAATATCTTGAATCGTGATATTTTGGGCCACCGATATCGTGATATCAAATTTTTCGTACCGGCACATGCCTACTTGATGGTAGTCATGTGATGAGGATATTGCTAGTGTTGCTTGTATCATTTTAACTTATCATTCATACATTTTTTATTATTTTTTTTCGGCCAATCGGGATCAAGGATATGACACAGCAGAGTAATCCTGAATCAATGAGTCTGAAGTTCACGACAGATATCTGAAACCTCTGTTGCCCTGCACACTTTTCCTTTTCCCTTAAATAAACACCTTACTGATGAATCCACAGAAAGTTACTGTGTGGTTAAGGACCACCTGCTTTGGAAGACGATCTTTCCTTTTTGAGACAAAGTTTTAGGGACAGACTTTTTAAAGTTTTCAATCAAAAAGCAATAACTGCTCAAAATGAATTTAGCTAATTTAGAGGTTATCCCACTTTGTGCGGGGTGAAAAAGTGGTCTTACATTCTGTTGAACGTGTTTGAAGGACTAAAAAAGTGTGTTTGTGTCCAAACAGCTGTTTATTATCTGCTTCTTTTTATCCAATCAGGTTCAATCAAAGCAGACAGGAAACAGGTTGAATATTTGTTTCTCTGAAGTAGACGGACATGTGAGCATTATTATGTGATGATAAAAAATATTTGTGGACTGTTATGAAGCTCAGTGATTACAGGAAAAGTATTTTTAGACCAACACTGAACAACCAATAAATCAATTAATCATCTGCTGCAAGGCCTCAACCACAGCTTATTGTTCAGGGTGTGTGTCTGTGCTTAGTGAGTGATCCACCCTCTATTGTTCCTCTGGAGAGCGGCCAGCCCTGAATGAAGCCACCTGTCATAAAAACCCATCCTGTCCTTCACGTCAGCAGCTGTCACACCCTGGCACACAAAACAAACGCCCCCTGACCGAGGCCCTGAACATACCATACATAACAGACATACTGAGAGCTACAGAGTTTTAAAGCACGCTGGGAGAGACGCTGTGACTCAGAGGATAAATAAAGTCGTCATTCAGTCTCGCCTCGCTGGAATATGACAGATATGGACTCTGTTAAAGCTCTGAATAGAAACTCGTCTTCCTCACAGAGACTAATCGAGAGAGGAAAGAAACTTCAAACTGAATTTGAGAAAGTTTCTTTGGGGGGTTCTCTGAGAAAAACAAGAAAATGACAATGAGAGAGTAATGAAAATGAGAATAAAAGGCTCAAATTAAGTGTTAAATATCATAAAGGTCTGTAAATATTATAATATTTCATCATTTATTTCTGGTGAAATGACTGAGAGGATGGCATAGACTGTATTTTGTATTTGTCGCTGTTGTTTTCCTTGTTTATTAAATTTCCGTCCTGCTTATGAGTTTGTTTAATTCTTGTTCTTTTTTCATTACTGGTCATATTTCACTTTGATGGTTGTGTTGTGGCCTGTGTAAAATAAGAAAGCTAACTCAGAAATCTGGACAGAGAGGAAAAAAGTGACAGAGGAGCAAAAACAAGCAGAAGATAGATGTAATTTATTTATCTGACGTTACAATGTCATACAATGAAAACTCCAAATAAGGGCTGCTCTTACAATTTTATCGACAAATTTACACTTTTTATTCTTTTACCTTGATAAGGGTGGACAGAAATCCCTCATTACAAGAACAATCTAATAGAGGAGCAAAGATGGCCTCTCTGATGTGGATGTTTTTCACAGTCTCAGAGGATAACATGAATACAAAGCATGAGTTTCACAAGAATCTTTAAGTCACCTGAGAAGTTGTCCATAGTATATACAGTCTATGGTTCTACTACCTGATACTGCCCCCCATGGTTATTGGTGGTACTGCAGCATTTGGTCTCAGTATATCAACTCTCAGAAACCCTGCAGATGGATAGACGAGGAGGTACAGAATGAACAACATCAGCGACTGAAGTTTGACCACAGATGGACTGACGGACTCCCGACTTTGTCTCTGACGATCTCTCCCTCTTTCTGCTTCTGTGTTGGTATCAGGCTATTATCAGTAATCTGTCCACAAGCACAAAAACTCTGAGCTCTGATAAAGAGTGAAAATGAAACAAGGAATAAAAAAAGGGAGAGTGCAAGAAACGAAAGAAAATTTAAAAAAAGGACAGATGAAGAGCAGAAACAGCTCAGCTGACTTACCTGACTGGTTCACATAGCTCACATTCCTGCTCATACACACACACACACACACACACAGTCAGAGGAATGAGAGAGTCAGGTTTATTTCATCATCTCTGAGTTAGTTAGCTGGTTTCCTGCAGGTTGGAGGCAGAACCCCCCCATGGCAGATAGTCTGACTCATCAGTGAGGAAGTCTCTGAAGATCTTCATGAGCTCATTTTTGTTTTACTTCTTCATCTTACATGTACCTGCAGCTGCCAAAACAATCCATATTGAGATTTTACAACATTTCAGCTAAGCTCCTTGGTCCCACTCTTCTGCTGTCTGCATGTCAGAGCTCGCAGATACACACTATTGCGTACGTAAACACACACAACAGTACACAATGGGCCAAGCATGCTGTGGGCTGTCTCCCCTCTTCCAGCCATTTTGGGAACTTGGGATTTGAAGTTTAGTCCAGCAAGCGTTTTGCTTAGTGCACATCTGTTCTGTTCTGTTCTGAAACCGTTCAGTTTCAGTGTGTGTATTTGTGTGTGCATCAAAGTTTGGTCTGGCAGCATGAGATCACTGTCAATCCAAATCCTCCAGCTCTCCTCAAATTCCTTCATTCCTGCATCACTAGGCGAGGGGGGCAGCAGCATCAGAGGGGAGGTTGAGGAGGACAAAAACAAGAGGAGGAGGAGGAAAGCAAAGTTTGTGATGAAAATATAAATCATTTCTGGTGTTTTTCACCAGCTTATCTGGAGGAGGGCCTACGTGTTGTTGGTGATTACAGCCTGTAATGTAAGAATGCAGAGGTCCTGCCATGGTACATACACACACGCATACACACACACACACTCACACCGTGGGCCCAGTACAGGCTGGTACTGAAGTGATTAGGAGGGTTAGAGTGGGTTTAAATCTGGAGGAGGAGAAGTGAGCCAGAGGAAGAAAACTCAACAGAAACTCAGAGAGCAATCTGAACCATGTAGAAGTGACTGTAGAATAGTCAGTGATAAAGGTTTTAATAACAGCCTGGTGTATTTGATATTGAATGAGTTTTATGCTTCAGGTTGAAACATTATCAACTATTCAGATCCTAATGAAGGATTTGATTTGGTGTTTATACCATGAACACAGACAACAATGAATTACCCGTACAAGTGTATTTATTGAACAGGGAAACATCTCTTGAGAAATGTTTACTGACCAAAAATAAAAGGATAAACTTTTCAACAAAGACGACAGATCATTTAAAAACATGTGAGCAGAATTCATCATCCATCAGAGTATCTACAGCCTGAATCACCGTCCTCCAAACTTTCAGTCTGCTCTGAACCAAACATTCAGAGAGACCAGCTCCCCAGAACCAAATCTTCCTGCAGGAGCAGAAGATCTAAACCTGTTTTGTGGTGTGGGGTGTGTTTGTAGGTATGTATTTCTTCAGCTGCTGTAGGAGGTACATCCTCTATGTCCTTTTCTGAGAGTGCTAAAATTTAGTTCACACTCGGGAGTCCGGCATGGCTGTGTTTCAGGATGTTTGATATTGATATTTGATGTTTTTCATTATCAATATCGTGTTTTTATATTCACTATCCAGTTTCCTGCTTTCTACCTAAAGTATTTGGCTTCTTTAGACACTTAGCTGTCTAGATGATAAATAAAAACATGTTACTGAAATAAAAGATGTTCAAACAGACGGTGGCCGAGAACCGCCACTGCTGCAAATAAAAAAGAAAGCAAAAAAGAAGCCACAACGTTATTACTGATGAAAAAAAAAAAAAAAGAAGAAACCGAAGCCCACTGTAAATAAAAAAAAAAGACAGTGAAGATTAAAAGCCACAACAAGTTAAAGAAGCAAAAAAAAAAGTGGTGGTGCAAAAAAAAAAAAAAAAAATTTGCAAAAATAATAATTTAAAAAAAGCCATGATGAAAGTAAGCTGCTGGGGACCAATTATGATGATGCACCGGTGTTTTACGATCTAGGCGTAGAAAACCATCTAGGCGTAGAAAACGATGGTGAGAAGACGAGCAAAGAAGTGGAAAGGTCATTGTTTGATTTCGCTTCGTAAACTTTTTAATGTGTCATTTGGTTGGGCCATGTAGCGCCTGAGTCCATATGAAGTTGAACCGGGTGGATGCTATTGCAGTGTTAGCTTCAGTTCCATTGTAGCTTTTTTTTCTCTGCAGCGGGCTTCAGTTTCTTTTCTTTTTTTTGGCATCGGTAACTTTAGTTGTGACTTTCTTTTTTTTTTTTATTTGCAGCAGGCTTCGGTTTCTTTTTCTTTTCTTTTTTTTTGCATCAGTAACTTTCGTTGTGACTTTTTTTTTTTTTTTTGCTTTTTTTTTTTTATTTGTAGCAGTGGCTGTTCACGGCCACCGTACAAACAGGCTGTTTATTGGCTAATTAGATTAATTCATTTGCGGTCTGTGACACCTCTCCTCTCAGTGTGTGTAATTGCGTTGATGTGTGTACAGTAATGTGTAGTGTGTAGTATCATTATCCTTTGGTGAGGCCCCGCCCCCTCTGTGTGTGTCCTCTGTCGTGTCGGAGGGGGAGGAGGAGAAGGAGGAGGAGGAGGAGGAGGACGGGTTTCACCGGCACCTCTCATCTCACACCGGATTTACCGGACTCCACCTGTCGCGAGCGCTGCGGGCTGTTTTTCAGTCCGTGTCGTTAGAGCGCGCGCATTGACGCAGGACTGCACGAGACACGAAACAAGAACGGCGCGAGCGGAGCCTAAAAACCGAGCATGATCTAAGGACAAACGGACAGGTGAACCGACAGGTGGACGGACGGACGGACGGAGGCAGCTGTATGTTTGTGAGTGTTTCTGCCGGTACCGGAGGACGGAGGAGGAGGCGCCGAGCGTAGATCCGGTGGATGGTTTTATCCGCAGTGCTCGCACAGACACACCGAGCACCGGGGAGCAGGATGTCGAGGCAGCAGCAGCACAGGACACCGTTAAAACTCAACGACAGCGTTGTGGAGGTCAAGAGCAAAGTGAGTGGGGGTGAAGGGGGGGTGATAGTCCGCTAGCGGAGCCAACAAAAAAGGAGACACGGTCCGGTCGATGCTGCCGCTCCGCCGCGCTGCTCCGGGGCTGACAGCAGCGACACGAACCGCTGCGGTCAGAGCCGTGATGGGTCTGTATCCGTCCATCTGAAACACGCAGACATCGGGCACCTTGGGGCTGTGACACCGGGCTTACAGAGGCTGTAACGCCTGACTTTCAGCAGGGATACCCGGTCTGTGTGGAACGGTCTGTACCGGGGCTGTCAGGCGGCCTGTGTCCGTCTGCAGGCAGCCTCGGAGCCGGCTCTGTGCTCCGGTTCATTCCGCGTTTGTTCCGGTGTTTGGCCCTCAGAGTCAGACAGCAGCCTCCTCTTCCTCATTTCACTGCTTCAGTCTGCTACGGTGGCAGTGTTGTTGTTGTTGTTGTGTTGCTGTTGTTGTGTTGTTATCGTATCAGCAGCCTATGTGTGTGCGTGTGTGTGTGTGTTACCATCTTAGCACGCTGGGTGTTTATGTTTGCTCAGAGTCAGTCAGAGCACAGTGTGTCTCTGTGATTTGTTTGAGTGCAGCTCATTTGTACCTGACAGGTGAGACTTGGTGAGGGAATTAAAAGCAGAGTTATCAGAGTGTGAGAAACCCCCAGGCTTCAAATTTCCTGAAAACTGTCTGAAACCTCCTAAAATCTCTGCAGCGGTCTGGTTTGGCTTGCTCAGAGTCTCAGCGTGATACAGATGAACCTCTCTACCTTTACATTACTCAACTGTAAAGACTGTTTTGAGAGCGACCATGGCACTAAAATTAGGGAAGGATGGGATAACTGTAATGTTCACATTTTCCTTCATAACTCAAAAGATCACCTGAAGTACACCTGCCATCCTTATATATACGAGACCTGTATTAATTATCAAAGCTAAAGCTGTGTGTAAACTTAATCAGAATCAGGATGCCCTTTATTGTCATTATACTGAAGAACAATGAGATTGGAGAGCTTCTCCTTTTCTAGTGCAATAGATGAGTAAAAAAAGAGAAAAACAGAAACTGAAGAGGTAGAAAAAAATAGCTACATTATTCACACAAGATTAAATTCTTTAGTGTAGTGCAAACAGTGCAATGAAAACTATGTACAAGAATAAGGAAGATAAATATTAAGAATAAGTACATATTTATGTTTATATATATCGATTATATGTATATGGACATGTATTGTATTGAAGAGACAAATAGTTTTATTTCATATAATGATGAACGTCACAGTGTTAAAATTATGTGTTTGGGGCAATTTTATTATTGAAGAAATATGACGAAAAAATCCACTGTATCCTCAAAACAAACTCATTTTGAAGTGAATGCATGTCGTATCTACTGTCTAATGAAGCCACATCAGTTTACTTTTGCACAAACTTAAAATTCATTTACAATTTCAATTTTTGTATAAAGTCAAGCAAAGTGCATCATTTTTTTTTTTTTGCATGAAACTAGGTTACTATTCCAGTGGTAACTAGAATTAAATGAATTGAATTCATTCAAAATTGTATTTCATCAAATAAAATGGTCAGCCAAGTAAACTCTAACCATAAAAGATTATAATATAACAGTGAGATTTTATTAAGGTAATATTTAATAAATCTGTCAAAGGTTTCTAACCAGCACATTCTGTTTTCAAAGTGTGGGATAAATCGACTGTAACCTTCTCAAGAATTAAATACAACATGTATCACCAAAGACATAGTTATTGGAGTTTTAACAAGCAGAAAATGAACCCAACTGAGCATGTGCAGAGTCAAAACTACAACCTTAATAGTTCAGTGGCTGCTTACAGCTGCTGTGTGTGTTTATTATAAACAGTAAAGGTCAAAGTGGATGACTTGATTCCTTCATCATATAACTGATATCGAAAGAAATTGTAGCTTTTCTGGCAAAATAATATGAATTTTTCTCTTTATGTTCAAACCACGGTACGAACACTGGCTGACAGGGGTGTGGTGGGTCATGAGGTTTGTGATATTCCTAAATTTGTTTCTGTTGCTGTAAACAAAGTCGTTTTTTTTAATATAAAAATGTGAAACTTGAGCTAAAAAATTCAGCGAGTGAGTCAGAAAGGGTTTTAACCATCCCCGGTCTCCCCTATAGTGATGTCCCATAATCATGTTGTTTTCTGCTGTTCTGCTGTTGAGGACGTGAATTAGAAAGAGTGGTGTCATGATAGTGCAGCTGCTACTACAATGTGCCTCTGCTTTATTCAGGATATGCTGATTAACGTTTAAACACCTTAACCAAAACATGGACCTGAACAAGCAGAGAGCATGCATGTAAACAAAGTGAAAAAGGGATTTATAGACAGAGACAGACAAAGTGGATTAACCTGGAGGATACAATATTTTAGGACTTTTACATCTTGATTCAGACAGGACAGGACAGGACAGTGTGGCCTCTTACATGGTGTGTGTGTCACGTAACCATCAGGCTGATCCTGCATATGCTTGAAGGAAAAAAGTCCAGTTTTATGAAAGTGACCTTTAAGCAGATTTATTGAGTGGGTTTTTTACGCAGTGGAGACTTTAAAGTCACTCTGAAGATGCCTACTGATACAAAGACTTTACCATCATCTTGTGTTTGACATTCAAAGCTCTCGGAATGATCTGTATAGGACAGGATAGAAGTGATTTTAAACTTTGAACAACCTTAAGTGTTCAGATAAAACCTAAGGTGTTACAATGTGTGCATTTGGTGACATTTATTAGAGTGATAACACAAGAACGACATGTGTGATGACAAACATGTATGTGCAGATGAGTCACAGCTGCAGATCTTCAGGCTCTCTGTCATTTTTATCTGCATGTAAACTGCATGTCAGAGAAACAGGAGGGTTACTTTAGATACACAACCTGCTGAACTCCTTCGGGAGGTCTTTGATCCTGTCCTGACTCATGTGTAAATCATGGTGAGGATGGATATTAACAGAGTGAGTACCTGAGAGTGAAATGTGGAGTATTTCTCATTGAGGATGTTTCAGAGCTAATCCAGATGCAGAGCTGATGTGTCACTGACACACACTCACTGTGGAGTTATGACAGCGATGTGTCATGTTGGAGCTGTCACACACATACTGAAACCTTACTTCAGTGGACTTTTACTCTGTCACTTCTCTGTTGGATGCTATAAAATACCTGACTGCTTTTATAAAGGCTCCTCCAGGATTAATGGAACATCTACAAACGAGAGTTTCTATCACTGATTATAAAATCTGAGGAATTCAAAATACTGGAGTTTTAATGGAAAAACAAATTTGAACTCAGACTTTAATCTTAAACCTTAAAAAAGGCAGATTTTTTTTTGTTCTGTGGCCTTGAACCTCTTTTGTATAAACAAAAGTGAAAAACACTGAGTGCGAACACATTCCTGTTGAAACTAAAACCCTAAGACTTTTCTAAAGGGGTCAGGGTAACATTTTTCTCTGCAACTATTTTGAAAACTATTTTGGATCTGTGAAATAATCTTATAGCCTTGAGTAAGATTAAAATTCCCCCATAAGAAATGTGCCGAGTTAAGATGCTAATAAAGACTCTTGTGGTCCTGTTTCTGAGAGGGCAAGTAGCCAATCAGACTCATGATCACTCCAGAACCTGCCCCAACTAACTCACTGCTAATCAACATGCAGGTAAAGAGGCGGAGCTGGAGTCATAGCTATACCACCTGTCACTCAAAGAGGCCACGCCCCCTACTATGCCTAACTGTAAGCCTTAATATAACCCAGAAACCTTTCAGATGTCATGAACACAGAGGTGATCTACAGAGACGCCGAATGCTGTTAAGTTTGAACATGGGGCTCTATGGGGAATGAGTCAATGCAGGATACAGCCTCTAGTGGACAGGAGTGGAACTGCAGGTTTCACATCAATTCCTTTCATCACCTGAGATTTAAAGCATTCACCACATAGACTGTATATAAAATGGACATCATCTGCCTCCTCCCTGGGTGAAGCCACCCCGAGAACAGCACACTCTGTTGACGGGTTGCAGTATAGGTCATAAGTCTCGCCTCCTCTAGCAATCCCTATGGAGTTGTGGACAAACTTAAGAAATTAATATAAAGAATATAAATTTTTCTCCCCCCTGCTTAGGATATTGACATGTTGTTATTGTAAGACTGGTTTGTGCTCAAGTCCTCTTTTTTCTGTACAGCTCCATTTTTAAAAGTTATTAGACGGTTCAAGTTTTCTATGATTGACACTTGATACAGCCTATGGGCGTATGAAGATTGCTTAGCTCAGCCGGGGGATACGCTGTTTGAGCTGAGCGTCATCACAGCGACTCTCCGGCCGAATGCGTACAATGCTACTGTGCAATGTTGGTTTCAGGAAATGGAGAAAAAGCGCAGCATTACCAAGAACTTTTCAGCTTCAAATCCGTATACTGGCGGAAGGCGGAACCAAGTTTTCCATAGTATACGATCTACGGTTCACCGTCATCAAAACTTTAAAAACAGCATAAGACGGCCAGTGAGTCCTTCCTTCTTTGACATATGACTGAGTACATGTTTAAACTCTAACCACAGACAGGCCGCTGACCCCTGACCTTAAACAGTCTAACTAACTGTCTGAGAAAACGCCAACATGTCAGTCCTGTGAGGGTGGAGATGTGACCTAAAGCCCCTGATGACAGGATGGTTCCTGGTTTTACAGAGTGTTGGGGCTGTTGAACTAGTTTTCCTGGAAGAGTCAGTTTTTGGCTCTTAAACATGAAGAGGGACCACAGAAGAGGCTGCATGTAGACCTGCTGTTTCTGTGGACTCAAACACTGATGCTTGATTCAGTCATGGTTGTTGGATTTATTTTTTTTTTCAGGACCGTTTCTAGGTGCATCATGTCCTGCAGCCTGTGTCTGAACTTTCACACTTAATCTGAGTTTTTGTGCAATTATGTGACTGCTGAGCTTCTCCTGCATCTCCAGTATTTCAAACTACATTAATATTGTGATGAGTAAAAACACGGCAGCTCTTGAACATATGACTCTAGTCCTCTCTGTGCTTTTGAGCTTGCTATTTGTGAGCATCACTTTTTCAGCAGCAGAGATTCCTGTTGAGAGCACGTCTGATTGTTGGCCTCCTAATGAGTTTTGCTGTCAGGTTACGTAATCTGAATTAAACAGGTTTCTGCTGCTCTATTGTGGCGGTAATAATGGCTTCATTTGTTCCTGCTCAGTGGAGAAATCTGTGTATTAATCCATTTACATAATTACTCAAACCTGCTTTTCCCACACGAATCTGCTCAGCTATGTTCAGAGTTTAATTACCTGTATTTATCTCCACACCCACGCTGACGCATTTCCTGTTTCAGTCACACCTGAGACAAACATTATCAGCATGCATCTGCTCACATAGCTCAGTGTGTCCGTGTGAAACCACAAAGGCATGTTTGCATGGAGGTTAGGAGCATGTAGCCTTTGTACCTGTGCAGCTGATGTCTCAGAGATCAGGCATGTGAAATGGTGAAGTGTGTTGGTTGAAGTCTGCAGCTGGAGCTCACCAGACTTACCTGTCCTGCTGCTGCACAGAACAATACAGATGTTATCATGTAAAGGACAGTCAGCACATAGCCGTCCTGATATCAGGGTTTAGATTCAGCTTCAGATTAGAAACAAAAGCTGCAGTCATGAGCATTAACCATCAGGGATGTCCTGGTCAGCTTCCTGGTCCCATCTGACTCAGAGCGGCCTGACAGCAGAACTAAGAACGCAGGTATAGAGCATTAATTCTGATTTCTTACTAGTTTACAAAGTGAACTGACCTGCGTGTTACTATAACTGGTGAAATCAGTGAGCGGTGTGACTTAGTAATGACGGGGACAAACATCTGGACAAACATCAGCAGCAGCAGCAGTCACAGCATGTTTTAAATCACTGACTTGGTTCACACTGACTCTGCTGTACAGCTCCAACAGTGCCTGACAGCAGAACTTACTGGGTCCAGAAGACAAACCTTATTCCTGTACCACCCCGATAGGCCTGCACAGTCCAGAGTGATGGATTCAACCACCTTCTCTGCGGTTGTTCTGGCTTGTCACCCTCTCAAGAATGTCAATCCTTCCTTCTAAACTCCAGAGGTTGCTCCAGCAGCCTTTCCCTCTGAACTTGTCCCAGTAGGCTGCATGATTTGGCTCTCAGATGTCTATGAAAATCAACTCTGCTGCTAATACTCACTAAACAATGTCTCTGCATATTTCAAACTGTCTATTTTAACGTATCTCCACACCGACTGTTCTGTGTTTACATGTCCCTGCGCGGTTGCTGTAGGCTGCCGTAAAGCGGTTCTTATTGTCGTAGTGTTGCCGGTTGGACACGTGTGTTCATATTATACAGTTAAAGTCATGGCTGGAGTTTGACTTTGATTTGACAGTTTAATATTCTCAGATTTAGTATCGTAGATGAAATCTCTGTCTAATGTGCAGGAGTCAAACAAGATAAAGACGATCGCCTCAAATGCTGATCAGGATCAATGACAATCTGCAAATGATGTCAAAGGTTGACATCTCCATTACCTACACAGAGGACACAAAATGACCCACTAAAGATTTTCACACAGACTGTCACATTTGTAGAAATGTGGTGAGCTGTCTTAATTGACCAAAAGAGTTGAGAAATTCTTGTTAATGTTTTCACTGTGTTATTACTTTGTTCACTTTTAAAACTCTGGTTCTGAGATATTTAAGGCTGGTAGTCTGTCTGACGCTGACCGCCTCTGAGTTTTTTAAAAAATGACAGTGTGATGATCTGCTGTGTTGCTGAGGGTCTCATTTGTTTTTAAAGGTCGTATAGAGGCAGCAGGATCAGATTCACTATGTTTCTCAACACATTAAAAACTCCTCAAAGACCCAGAAACTAAAGGAATCAAACCATCAGATCCAGTATCACAGCCTCCACCTGCTCCTCTCTGTGTACTGGGATCACTCTTAATGGGATTTCGAGCTGAGGGGATCAAAACAGATTAAACTGATCGATCGATTGTGGGAAGGACTGAGAAAAACCTGGTTCCTGTCACATTTCAGGAATGTGTGTGTGTGTGTGTGTGTGCATGCGCGCGTGCATGCGTGTGTGTGTGTGTGTGTGTGTATGTGTGTGTTGGAATTTTTTCAGGAATTTCACTCACAGCCAAACCACACATTCCAGCTGATACAGGAATTTATACAGAGATGACATTTTTCATCTGCAGCACAGAGACACCTTCAGAGAGCGATAACAGACTGAGAGGAGGTCAGAGTGAGTCTTCCACACAGGAAAACATCACTGGGTTTAAACTTTATATCAGCACCTCATCATTATACTGCGACTGACCTGGCTTTACTGACTCAGGCTGACCCGCTCTCTGCGGCTGGTATTGAGTTGTTTTGAATTGAGGTTCTTGATGAGAGTTGGGTCTGTATGAAGTACAGGTGGAGATTTTAGTTCAGGTTTGAAAGGTTTGTGTTCAGCAAAGAGGAAAGAGTGCATGAACAAACACTCCGTACATTTTACAGTAATGTGGAGCCGGGGTTGTTGCTCAATAAGGAGACAAAAGTGGACTGCATCCTGGCTTACAAGCACCAGCTGAGAATCAGTTTATTATCAAAAGTACCTCTGCTATTACAGGTGACCTTTCTCTTACCCGACCTCCTGCAAAAACCCAATTCTTACTCCAGGTTTTTGTCACATTGAGCCTTAATTTTAGCCACATTCACCCCTCAGGTCCAGGAAAATATCTTATTTTGAAATCCCCTCCAAAATAAGATCCAAACTGCTATAATGAGTCAAAAAATCTGTCAATGAAAAAAAATACTTTGAAACTTTCTTGAAAGAAGAAAAAGTCTCTTTGAAGAACTCACCAAGTCTCTTTTTGTCTTATCACATTTGCAGATTTATTTTTTACTCATGACAGTTTAGTTCTTATTTTTCTAAATGTAACACCTCAAAATAAGACATTTTTCCAAAAGTTGGATATTTGATTCTTTATTGTAAAATATGAAGCTAATCTAAGGCTTTAAACTCAGATTAGACCCACAAACACAATGGTGCTCTTTGCATCTGCTGAGTAAATGGTGTGTATCCACCTTACTGATGCAGTCTAACATCCTTGCTCACTGTAAACTGATAAACACACCACACAGAAAGTGATGTGTTGATTCTTCAGTTCACTGCAAACATTTGCTGCATGAAAAAAAAACACATCAGTGTGATCAAGGCTAAACTCTGAGTCCATCCACTCCTGAAAAGAAGACAGGACTGAGGCGAGTTTCACCTGCTGAGGAGCCGCAGCACGATCCAGATCACTAAAACTGGTCAAATCTGTATATCCCTAAAAATAGCGTTGAATTAGTTTTTGGCTCTAGGTAAATGTTAACTCTTCTTTATCATTTTAACAGTGGAGAACCCAGAATGCCTTGCTCAGTTACATAATGAATGGGGCAAAATTTCCCTCATTAGGAAGTAAAAACCTCCATGAGGCCAGCAGCGCCACTTCCCCCACAGATTTCCTCCCTCTCTATGAAAACAGGAATGTTATTTGGTGTATAAACTCTGTGAGAAGCTGGTCTGATGAAATGACTCCTTGGTTCACTCCAACATGTGATACGGTGTCAGACTAAAGTAAACTACAGCAGACCTGCAAGTCAAAACTCAGGGCAAACTAACCTTTTCCACGCATACAGAAGCGTATCCTGCACAGCAGGACTGTGGCAAAAGTCACATTTACAAACAGACGGCTGATTGAGAGGATGGCCTCTGCTGTGACTGAACACATGAGGGAATTTATCAGCTGTTAGAGCAAAAACACTGACTGACTTTACAGCTGATCACTGAGGAAGCTTTCACTGAGAGTCCACAGGTAAAAAGTTCTTATAGCGGAACAACCAGACAGGTCAAAAGTTGTGAACAGCTGGAGGAACATCTCCAACTAAGAAGGTGAATTAACTGAACTGTGTGAGCTAATAGTTCAACAGATTCAGAGTGATGTTCCTGAGTGTCAAATATGAAAGAATGAGTGGATTTTATCATCTACAGAATATAATATTAAAAGATTGAGAGGATCTGGAGAAGTCTCTGTACTAAAGGGACAAGGACTAAAACCAAGACTGGATGGTCCTGTTCTTCAGACCCTCAGGCAGCACCACATAAGAAAACAGACAGGACTCTGGGTTGAAAAACCAACACAGTTTTATCACTTCATCCACAAATGAGGTTAAAACGAAGCCATGCGAAGAACCCGATGAAACATGATCCAGGAACACCAGAGACTTCTCTGGACTGAGGGGGAGAGGACAACTGTCTTGTGGACTGGTGGATCAGAATCTGACTTTCTTTTTGGAAATCATGAACGCTGTGAAATATTAATGTTGTTTTTTCTTGTCTTCCTCAGTTTGAGGCAGAGTATCGTCGCTTCGCCCTTAAAAGAAACGGTCCGGGTGGCTTTCAGGAGTTCTACCGCCTCCTCCAAACCATCCATCGTATCCCAGGAGTGGATGTGCTGCTGGGATACGCCGATGTGCATGGAGACCTGCTACCAATCAACAACGACGACAACTTCCACAAAGCTGTGTCGTTGGCCAATCCTCTGCTGCGGATCATTATCACCAAGAAAGGTAAGAGAAGAGCAGACACAGGGAGGTTCAGATCAACCTGCAGATATTCTCCTCAAACACACACAGACAAAGGCTGCACCACCTGTCAGCTGTCCTGTCTGTCTGCACCTGAGCGTGTGTGTGTGTGTGTTCGAAGCAGCTGCAGGCCGAGTCTTTGTTCTCACCATCAAACACCGTCTGCTCTGCACACTCAGCACCACCTGATGATCCTCCGTCTGTCGGCTCTTTGATTCTGTCTCTGCAGCTCTGCCTCTGGACGGCTGGGTACCATGTCTTGATGCTGTTACTATTGTTTTTTCTAGATTGAGTCTTCCTCATTAGACCCTGTTGTCTGAGTAGATGCAGCACAGACAGGTCAGACTGGAGGACATGGTCAGTGTTAGAAAGATAAATCGCAAATCCTTAAATAAAGACATACAATCTGGAATCACGTATTTACAAGTAAAAAAGGCCGGCTAAAGATTATTGGCACTCTCATGCTGATGGAGCTTAATTTTGACCACATGTAATGAACTGCATGGAGAGGAAAAGTCTGCCATTTCATTGTGGAGTAGATGAATGGATTACGCAACATTCATTTCAATTGGCACAGCTAATGTCCTTCACTGAGCTGCCAAAAATCTGCTAATTTCAAAGCCTTTATTTAATTTTGTGTGGTAATGATGTGATGCCATCCTTGAACACTAGGTCAGACTTTGGCATGAAGCGTTCACAAAGCTGAGGCTCCAGGTATTTGCACTCAGAAGCCTGAATGGAGTTTACACCGATGTGCTGATGTGTCGAGAGCCTTCTGCTCGAGTTGGACTTATTTGTGTCGGGTCATTGTCAGGAACTCACCTCAGCGACTTATCGTGGGTTTTATTTGGAGAGAACAGGACAGTCCACAGATTGGGAAATTAAAATCAATTTGTTGGTCATGGTCACTAAGGAGTTTGAGTCTGATAAATACTGCAGCTCTCAGCAGATGGTAGAAATTTCGCTCTTCCTGTGTGTTGCTGTTCGGGCCAGTGTTGGTGAAGTCAGTGTAGTTTTGCAGTATGGTACAGAGGGGAAAAAAAGACTCATCTTTATGGCTCTGATTCCTGAGAAAAAAAAGAGAAAATTCCAGATCAAAATTCTCTGTTTCAGAGGTCCTCAGCCTCGTTTGTAAAGGGTCATACTTTGCACCAAACAAATGCATAATGGTTTATGTGAATGTCTGTGAAAAAGATAGTGATGGACAGTGAGAATGTGTGCTTCACAATGCAGTTTGTGGAGCATTTAACCCTGTGCATGTGCTCTGTGAATTAGAAAATAGTTTTTGGTCATTTGGATATAGTAATCATGAATGTTATGCAATATTTTTTGACTCAGACAAGACAAAGAGAATCTGGTTTAAAAGCCTGCCTCTAATACAAGCCTGCTTCACACAAAGACCTGCTACCTTTCTCAGTTTTTGCAAATGAAGGTTTTATTTGAGGGTGAAGGTGTGCTGGTGTGCACACACACCCCATTTCTCATAATTACAGCTGATGGGCATCACAAAGCTGGGGATCCGTTCACTGTGTTTGGGGTAAAGACATCCCAGTCATTAAGTTCTTCCTCATGCATCGTCTTTGGTTACAGTTTGACGGTACAAAAATGGAGTTGAGAAATGAGGTCTATCAGTGACCTGTAGCTGGAGCATCAGGCAGGAACCTGTCAAAAAAGATGACTCCACTACATTAGCCTTTTGCTCTGGGAACAGACTGTTTTCCTGAAACACGAGCTGATGATTCAAATGTAAACCACAAGACCTCTGACACTGACATCCAGTCGGACAGCTGAGGTTCTGTTTCTGTGTAACAGAGATAAGAGGAAGGGAGTGCGCTCGGGATCAGGCTGCAGGCTCTGCCTAATGTCTGTCAGAGTTCAGCATCTACAGTCTGATCTCATCACTGCTCACAAACAAAATCCAGGGAGAGAGTGGACCATCTCTAAACAGCACTGAACATTACAGATAGAAAACACTAGAACCAGGACTAATATAGGGTCTGCTTCAGCTGGTGAACAATGAGGAAAGAGCTCAGCATTACTCCTTGATTGTGACCTTGTGGACAGATTTTACCACCGCTCCTGCAGGTTATATACAGCCTTGGGATTTTGTGGGTGTCAGAGTGGCCAAGATTCAAGAATCTGTACACAGGGTAATGCAAAGAGTTATGCTGTAAGCTGTTTCTGCAGGAGCTGAAGCACTGACAGCTCTGAGCGTGGATAACTGTCTTTGGAGACACTCTGGATGCAGCCTTAACAAAGCCAGAGTGGCGTTTTCCATCACACCCTGTAAGCTGCTCTGCTGAACACTCGTGCAGATGCAGCAGAATACACACAACTTTTCAGAGGTGATGTTGGACCTGTTTTTGATTGATTGAAATGGTTCATTTGAAAAACAAACAGACAGACACAAAAAGAGGAAATATATGCAGTGGTGTGATGTTGAGAGAAACAGGCTACTGTGTGTGTGATTACACTTTCTATGTGGCTTTAAAAAAAGAAATTACACACTGTGATCAGCAAAACATCAAACTATGAGGACATGTTTTGATACGTACAACTCAGTCATGAGAAAACATGGCAGGAGCCTGTGTTAATAATCATCTTTCATATTGAGCATGAAATCAAAGTCGCATCAGAATAATTGAGGAAATCAGCAGGAGAAGTGAGACAGACGGGATCAAACAAAACATCAATCATTGACCTGAAGAGGTGAAAATCCAACTTCTTTAAAGTTCCAACTCCTACAAGAACGAGTGTCACTGTCTGTGTGTGTGTGTGTCTGTGTGTGTGTGTCTGTGTCTGTGTGTGTTTGTCTATGTGTGGGGCTATGTATTTTTGAGTCTGTGTAAATCTGTCTAGACCTGTATGTGTGTGTGTCTGTGTGTGTCTGTATGTGTCTGTTTGTTTGTGTCTGTTTGTGTGTTGTGTGTGTGTGTGTGTGTGTGTGTGTGTGTGTGTGTGTATCTGTCTATACCTGTATGTGTGTGTGTGAGTCTGAGTCAACAGACTGTCTGTGTCTCTGTCTGTCTGTCTGTGTGTGTCTGCATGTGTCTGTGTCTTTGTGTCTGTTTATATCTGTGTGTGTTTGTTTGTGTGTGTGTGTGCATCTGTCTATATCTGTATGTGTGTGTATCTGAGTCTGTTTCAGTCTGTGTGTGTCTATATGTATCTGTGTTTTTGTGTCTGTAATGTCTGTGTTTTAGTGTCTATGTATGTGTATGTCTGTCTATACCTGTCTGTATGTTTGTGTGTGTGTGTCGGTGTCTCTGTTTCTGTGTGTCTGTGTCTTTGTCTGTTTGTCTGTGTCTCTTTTTCTGTCTGTGTGTGTCTATGTGTGTGTATGTCTGTTTATACCTGTCTGGAGGTTTGTGTGTGTGTGTGTGTCTGTGTCTGTGTCTCTTTGTCTGTGTGTCTGTGTTCTCCTGGATCAAAGAGGCTCTCTCCTTCTGTTTCACTCCTCCATCATGTCTGAGGCTGATTATTACACTCCTGTACTGTTGTGTCTCAGAGCACTTTCCCTGTTTCTGCATAATTCATGATGTAATGATGTTAATCTGCTCCTGAGCCGCCTGCTATTGTTGTTGTGAATCACAGACAGCTGCTGCTTTAATCTGATTAACTCAACGGCCCAGAAAGAGACAGAGAGGAGGAAAGAAATCAGCATTTGCAGCCGATTTGGACGTTGAGTTTCTAACTCGGATATTGAACTCTGCAGATTAACTCTAGAAAACTTGAGGAGAGTGTCAGCAACAAACAGCATAACCTCCAACACACACTCATGCTGAATTAGAAAAAATGTCCTAATTCAATCAGCTTCTTGCTGCCCCACACGCCAAACAGCACCTCATTAAGGATTAGGTTCTGAGTTAGCCAACTCACAAATTACTCACCAAATCCAGAGTGTAATCCTGTTTTTCTGCACATTCTCCTGAATCTAAGCTCTGCAAGAATACAAGATCACATTCATAACAATGTGGCAGTGGAGGCTGGATGGTATTCGTCAGGTTTGTTCATAATCAGACTGTTTAAAATCTTTAAATATCACTCAGAGTCCTGCAGCCTGCAGTGGCTCCGCTTCACATGTGTATCAATGTATTTTGCACATTTAAATCAGTTTATTTGGATTAAAACCTGCAGATTTGTTCTGATAACTCTGATCATTCTCTCGGACCTGAGCTCGAAGCTCAGTCTTTGTATTTGTGTGACTGTGCATTGGTCTGTCTGTATGTGTGCATGTGTGTGTGTGTGCATGTGTGTGTGTATTTGATTGGAGTTGAGAGTGGTAGCAGCCCATCTGCTGTAGTAAACCATTAGCCCCTGAGTGGGATTATCTTACTCTGAAAGACCTCATCAATCATATCAGCTCCACTCACTTCCATTACCCTGTGTACGTGTGGGTGAGCATGCATGTGCGTGTGCGTGCATGTGTGTGTGTCTGTGTGTCTGAATGCAATACATAAATAAGGTGGAGGTCTGTAACAGGATGTGAAATACGTCCGTCTGCAGATACAGGAGGTTAACCATCTCACCCTGTGTCAGTATTATTGTGGTTTCCATGACAACAGTTCTTTATGGGTACCACAGCATTGGTCACAGTGACAGTCTAACATTGATATTACCCTGATTGTCAGGGTTTTTATGACATTATTGTTATGTGTATATTAGTACAGGGGTCGTCATGGTAACAGCCAAGCTGCAACCTCATACAGATAATCAAACTCAGAAAATGCAAAAATATAAAAACATAAATATGATACTAAATGATACTTATAATATTCTGTGAAAATCATGGAAGTTAAAGGAAAGCATTCAGAGCTCCCCCTGCTGACTGGATGCAGAACAGGTCATAAACCCGCTTTACATTGTCCTGCTTATTCCCATATACCTACTAAAGAAAATGACAAATCTGACATAATGATGATTTTGCTGATTAAAACCCTGTTGCTTTGGTCACTACAACTCATGGTTAAAGTAACTTGGTGGAGATAAGCAGCTTAGAGATGCTCTCACTAGCTTGGCTGCTGGTACACGGATTGCAGGACAGGATGTTGCTCCACTTTTATCAGAAGCTCTTTTGAGACATGAACTCTGGTTAGAAAAAACAAAAAGGTCTGTCAATGATTATTTTAACATCAGGTATAATAGCTTCTTGAATTGAGTGGCACTCTCTTACAGATTTATCATTATTATAACTTAAACAGATGAAGTAGAAAGGCTTCATTCAAACTGTGAGCTCATAGTCATAGTCTTGAATACTGGTGGAATAAAACAAAAGAGAGACAAAGAAGAAGCAGCAGCTGCTAGCAAGCTAGCTTTAGCATCCCTCTAAGAGATGAGACTTTTAAAAAAACTGACATTGAAATATTTATTATGAATTCATAAAACTACTTTGATGTAATTCAGTTCAACGACTCTGGCTCACCTGAAAAGTACTTCAAAATAAAATGACAGTTTTACCATGTGCGAAATAGAGCAACCTATCAAAATAAAAGCCTGACAAACAAACAATGATTCCAGTCTCAGGGCTGCTGATATGGATAAATCATGAATCTAAACATCATGTTTATTAATAAAGTTTATGAAGTAACGTGTTTATCCAACCTTTTGTTTTGACTGATGATGTTGTTTTATTGACAACTTTCACATAAATTTCATGACGACTGTAGTGAATGTTGAGGCTTTATGTTCTTCTGTAACATGTCTGAGCTCCTCTGACAGATCTCTGAGGGACAAACGGACATAGAGGTGGATGAAAATATCTGTGTACCAGAGAAAGAGACAAGGTGGAAGAGGGAGGTATTAAATATTTATACATAGAGATGCAGGGATGAGGAGATGAGGAGGAGGACTGTATGCTCTCTGTCTGACAAGCTGCTGTTAAAATAAGGCGTCTAATGAGTAGAAACAGAGATGAAGCTGCAGTCACACTCCTGACATGAGGACAGCAGTGAAGCTGAGTTTTTATCACTGAGACAGTCTGTTCACTCTGACTGTGAGAGGAACGAGTGAGAGGAGCTGAAGATCCTATTTTGACTCTCTTCCTTTACTGTTGGCTGCATGCAGAGTGAGGACAGTGTGCAGACCACTGAGTTTAATTTATAACCTGAGGTGTGCCTGAAATAAAAACCTGGATTTGGCTCTATTTTTATATGATTGAATAAATGATTAGCTGGAGATGTTTCTGAATCTCTGCTGCAGTCATCTGGATCAGAAGCTAAAATGGTCAGCAGAGCTTAGTCCCTGATCTAAAAGTGCTTGTTTTTTTTTTACAGGCCAAGAGCATTTCAAACATTCAGGGAAATATGTGATTGATTTAAAGTATATCTGCTCATTTTGAATTTAATCTCACAAACATGTTTCATAAAAGTAGCTCCAGGTTCATGTTCACCATCCTGCGTCATGAGCTCTTCTTTCACCAACTCTCTGTAAACCTTAGTAAACCCAGCAGACCAGTTTCTGGAGTCTGAAAGTCAAATGTGGTCCCAGTCTTGTCTGATAGAGGATTTCAGCTGCTCCACAGTTCAGGGTCTCATTTGTCCTATTTCAATCGGGGACAAGTCAGGACTGCAGTCAGGCCAGTTTCTCAGTAGGACTCTTCTACTACAGAGCCATGCTGTTGTAATCCCTGTTGTCAGAATGTGGATTGTCATTGTCTTGCTGAAATATGAAAGTCTTCCCTGAAAAAGTCTTTGTCTGGATGGCAGTAGATGTTGCTCCTAAACCTGTAGATATTGTTCAGCATTAATGGAGCCTTCACAGATGTGAGAGATACCCATGGCATGGACTCTACCATCAGGGATGCTGGATTTGAACTGAAAACAAAGCAGGTGATCCTTCTACTCTTTTGAGAGGAGGATGCAGTGTCCATGATTTCCAAAAAAGAGTGTGGAATTTTGTTGTTCGCTCTCTTCCTTAGAGCAGAAGGGCTATGTCCAGAACCTCAAATTTTGGTGGTCTCTTTACTCAGAAGACTAGAGGAGGCAATATCCTGAATTTCCAAAGATATCCAATCAGAATCCCTGATATCTTAGAAGAATGTCAAATTTTGTTTTTTTTAAACAAAAGGACAGTTTTTTTCTTCTCCTCTGTCCATCATAAATGGTCCCAGGTCCAGGGAAGTCACAGTTTTTTCTGGATCATGCTTATTTCTGGTTTCGCCATGTGCCTTAAACTCAGTTCACATGTGGGACTTTAGCTTAGCTTTACCCCTGCAGAGCAGAGTGCGTGCTGCTTTATAAAGTGCCAAAAATCAACAGGCACATCTACAGGAGACAAAGAACAACTCATGAGAACAGAGACCAGGATCCTGACCATTGCAGTTTAATCAGTGAAGGCGTCCACACAGGCAGCAAACTGTTGCGCAGGCTGCAGACTAACAGGAAGCTCTCTCCGTGTTTATCTCTTGTTGCAAAGCCCAGAGGGAAGTTATTGGAGGGTCAGGTTACTGCTCCTCCTGCAGCTGACACTGACAGAGTCGCTGTCAGGCTGTAGATTTATCAGAGCTTCACACAGACTGAGGAGTTACTAAAGAAACCAGAAATATCTGTGTATAAGTTCTTGGAGACAAGTCAGCGGTGTCATCGAACACAGAGGCAGGAAAACAGACTGTGCTGCATGCAGGAGGTGCTGCTTTTTATGGCGCACATATCAGACATATAACCCAGCTGTATATGTTATTCTCAGCCTCTCTCACGCATACTGCAGAGACCTCCTGCACATTTTCACACATACATATACAGCAGCAGCCTGCACCAACACCCCCTGTCGTCTGAATGCATCATGCAGAGTGCTGTCTGTGACTCTGACAGTCTACACGTTTTAAATAAACCAGTTCAGTGTGGAGCATCATGGATAAATCAGTGTGTGTGATGTTACATAACCCGCCAGTGTGAAAAAACCACCTGCAGATTTTAATGACGTGTTTCAGATAGCTGTTTTTAGTTCTTGCTGAAGAATGAAAGTGTTCATGAAAAGCTGCAAAAAACATGAATATTGTTAGAAAGAGATTTTAACTTTATTTTTTAAGTTTAAGTTTATATTTTATATTGCAGTTCTGGTCCAGAGAGGTTTTCACACATACTCTGCAGCCCTGATTAACAAAACTCAACAGTAACAGGGTGGCTGCAGGTCAAGACCAAGAGAAACCATGCCGAGACCAGGTGGTATGTCCTTTGCTCTGAGTCTGTCTGGAGTAAATATAACAAATGCATCATAATGAGTCTTCATGAGGACTTCACTAAATGTTGGTATTTGTGGACCTGTGGATCAGAACTGTAGGTTTGATGAAGAGCAGAACTAAGCAGATATGCAACACATGCTGGATACACAGGATGAAGCAAAATCAAAACAGCAAAATCCAGCAGCTTCTGCTCAGAGTTGTGGATTTCTTTTTAAGTTAGTTTGAGTCGAAACACCATGACACACCTTCTTATCTCTCAGATTGATCCTGTATTTATCTATAACACCTGCTCTGTCTTTTATCCAGTCAGCCAACATGGCTCTCTCTTATGTTCACGGCATCTTCACGGTGGAGATTTGACTGGATCAGTTTTTATAAGCTTCAGCGCCTCTCAGTTTTTGTGAAATAAAAAATTCTGGATTGCTTCATGGCACTGAAAAGTATGAAAATATTGAAAATCATAATCCCTGCTGTTCACCTGGAGTTGCTGTTGTTGTTGAAATGTCTTTAAACCTGTTGTAGAGACTCAAACAGACCGACATGACTCAACTCTTCTCCTCCTGCTACCTATCCAAGCTAAAATAACTCCTTATGATAAAGCCCAGCAACTTCTGTATTTGACTGTTTGGGATTTACTATGATGATATTTCTCCTCTCTAATCCGTCTGTGAAATTCCAACAGTCCTGTAGCTGGTTTAACAGGTAAAGAGGTGCAGTGTTGATTTTGTCACTAATCTGTAACAAGTACAGCTCAGGTACAGATGGTTTTCACTTGTCAGGGTGATGTCGGTTTAATATCTGAACTCTATACTCTCTATATATTTTGCAGAGGTCTGTTGGACTGTTGTGTCTGCCCAGCTTAAATGATGTCTATGCTGCTGACAGTGTCGCCACAGTGTTGCTAAAGCTGTATCAGAGCGCTCTGTGTTAATGCTTCCCTGCAGGCTGCCATAAAGCGGATGTTGCTGCTGTAATCTGGCCGGTTGTGCTCATTCATGTTCATGTTGCTTCAGTTCTACTTTGACGTTTCTTTTTATAATTTTCTTTTTGAACCCAGATGATTTAGTTGCTCTATGACACTTTTGTATTTGCATTGTGCTGCAGATTTTGCTCTGTCTAATTGATTAGGCTGGAATGAGCCATTCAAATTGCTAATCCCTGATTAATTAAAAATACCCGATACAGCACCAATCAGATAGTCAAGACTGTGAGCAGAGCAAACCTAAAAAATAAAGGTTGATGATGCAGCTGAACACAAAAATTGAAATGAAAATGATGTAAATGAACCTCAGAAAGGCAGAGCTACCTGTTTGAAGTATGCTGTCATCCTCTTATTGATCTTTAGTATAATCAGGCTATTTGTCCCGATCTTGTGGACTCTCATTAGTCAGTGGCATTGTGACAGAAGCACCTCCTCTGTGATTTTAATTTCATCTGAACTTTATCCTCTGAGATATAACCGTGTCAGGGTGAGGAACAGTCGCGTAGAAAAACACACCTTCCGTCTGTGTCAGTTTCTGGTTATGTGGATGACTCCATGGCACAGTAAGAGTTAACCCTCGGAGTAAAGGGTGTCTGTGATGAAAGGGTTAACACCCACCACACCCTCTCAGTGTGCAGCAGCTCTCTGTGTCTGTAAGAGGAGCTGATGGAGACCTGAACACACTCACTCAGACATATGGAGCGCCACTCAGCTCCAGATGGTCTCTGCAGAGTGAGGTCACTGACACACACACGCACACACACACCAGTCAATGAGAGGGGCAGATATGGGTCAGACAAAGACAATGACCATTTATAACAAGATCATATCTTGTCTCTGCTTCATGTATTTTTCTGCAGCTGTTTTTATTTAAAATAATCAGGAGGTGGTTTTTAGTCTTGGATTTAAAATTTTACTAATTAGAAACAAGTTTAAACCTGTCTAGTATCAACGCCCACCCTGAGTGGTCACAAATAGACATCCTGGAGGACCCAGCCTCGTCAAGAATTACGGTGTCTCTTTATTATTGACCAGAAACAGTCAGAAGCAGCAGGTCTCCCCTTAAAAACTGCAGTTCTGTTTCAGCTGCAGAGTATCAGCATGGAGGGAAAAGGAAATGGCAGACCATTGTACCATGTTAATGTTTTCCCATCATCCTTTGTGTTCTGCTGGCTGCCTAAGTGGGAGATTGTACCAGCTTTAAACCTCATTTGTGGGTGCAGTGATAAAAGTGTGTTGGGTTTTGAAGTGACTCTGGACCATCCAGTCTTGGTTTTGGTCTTTGTCCCTTTAGTCCAGAGACTTCTCCAGATTCTCTGAACCTTTTAATGATATTATGTTCTGCAGATAATGAAATCCACTCATTCTTTCACATTTGACACTCAGGGTCATTACTCTGAAACTGTTGAACTATTAGCTCTGTTTTTAGTTTTAAGTTTGGTTGTTTTTCTACAACATCTTTTTTTTTTACAAACATCAGATTTAAAATGAGCAGATATTTTCCATTATTAGTTTAATATATTGTCTTAAATATAGACTTTAAATGCCGTACAATCAAATTCTGTTATTCTCTCAAACTCTAATGGAGCTGATATTGTTAAAGCAGTGATCAGCTGTTATCAGTTATTGACCCTTTTAAAGCTGCTGAAGGTTGAATGTGTGGAAATCTCTCCACATTTACTCCAGTTAGGTATAAGTACACTTAAAAACAGGAGATCCTCTCACACTCAGTATCTTCTCCAAATGTCTCATCTGTGTAAAATCTGTGCTGAGGATGAGCACAGATTGATTGACAGTATAAGGTCAGCTCTAAACCAACCTCAATAGCACTGTCATGCAGATGGGTCATGCACAGGTCAGAGGTCAGCTAATCCACAGGACTCAGACTTATCCTATGTTTTCCTGTTGCAGCAGCAGAAAAATCTGAATCAACAGTAAAAATGTAAAACCGTTCCAGTAGATATTTAAAACCAGATTGTCTCTGAGGTTTGAGAATTCAGATCTCTCTTTAAACCTGTTTATATTACAGAGATTTACCATCAGGTTAAATACAAAGACACAAACACATGCACTCAAACTGATTAATAGTTCTCCTTTTACGAGGACCCTGTGTCTTCATTTCTCAAACTCTCTTCATTCCTTTAAAACTGCAGATTCAAACTTAAAATCAACACCTGGACCTGCAGGAATGACCTCACCTTAAAGACACGCTCGGTCTAATCTTATTGGTTCAAACAGAAACATACACACAGGTGTGATCTAATCTGATCACATTTCACTGCGAAAACATAGTATCAGTGTTCACACATGGAGCAGACTGTAGACCACATGGAGAGAGAAATACTGCGATCCTGTCAACATTGAAAGAGGCTCAGACCGGAGTCTGTTTTACTCAAAGCAGGTGAAATATTTTTTCTATTTTTGCACCATTAAGAGAGTCTCTCAGCACAGGCCTCCTCACAGGCCTCAAATTTCTTCTTTTGAGACCATGAAGGATTAGTGTTTTAATTTTTGAAATGGTTTTAGTTCTTTGGTCGTGCTGAAGGTGGAGATACGCCTTGTGTCGCACCTGAGCAGGTGCTATGCTAAATAAGACTGAAAGCTGTTAATTTTGGCTTCAAAGCCTTTAAGTCTGACAGATTTCAGCTAACTGTAGTGTGACTTGAAGTGACAGTGAAACCGTGACTTTGAGGAGATAGTTGCAGAGAGAATTAGACTCTTCAAAGCAAATATATCGAAACTGAGACTGAGTGAGGACAGATACACTGACTAAGAGAGGACAGATACACTGAAACTGAGACTGAGTACGGACAGATACACTGACTAAGAGAGGACAGATACACAGAAACTGAGACACAATGAGGACAGACATTAAAACTGAGACTGAGTGAGGACAGAAAACTAAGACTGAGTGAGGACAGATACAATGAAACTGAGACTAAGTGAGGACAGACATGCTGAAAATGAGACTGAGTGGAAACAGATACACTGAAACTGAGACTGAACGAAGACAGATACACCAAAACTGAGACTGAGTGAGGACAGCACACTGAGACCTAGACTGATTGAGAACAGATACACCGAAACTGAGACTGGGTGAGGACAGATACACTGGAGCTGAGACCCAGAACAGATGGACAAATAGTATGCCGGTAGCTACTGTCCATTAGAGAGATCCTGATGCTGATCCTAGCTCAGGTCATCAATCTGGGAACTTGTAAACCTGAAGTAGCTGGAAACAGGAGGAAAGTTCATCTACAGAAGAAGACAGAATACCCCAGCTAAGAGTGAGAGTCCAGGTGATAATATGAACACACAGAGCAGCACAGACACACCTTCACACATACACACTCCTGCAGTGAAAACAAAGAGAGACTGATAGTGAATATTTGGTCCTCTCCGTCTGGATGACGTCTTTGTTTTTGAGGATGTTTTCCAGGATCAGACTGAGTTTTGAGTTTATAATAAAACTGTCCTGACAGACAGGATTATAATCATAATCAGATTTGGGGTGTAACACTGCATAAGAGGACACAGATAGTCTGCTGTTATAGAGACCGTGTCAGATATCTGCCTATCAAATCTTGTGTGTGGGTGTGTGTGTGGGTGTGTGAGTGAGTGTGTATGTGTGTGTATGTTCAGACTGAGGGGCTTAGCAGTGTCTGTGCCTTCAGGCTTTAGTCTGGTCCTTCATGCTGAGGCTCTGTTCATCAGGAAACACACACACACTAAATGGAGACTGTGTGTGAGTGTGTTTTCTCATTAATGCTGTTCTGTGTTGGTCGATACTGCTTCTCAGAGAATAACCTAACACACACACACATACACACACACACACACACACACACACACACAGAAAGAATGCGGTGCAGGAATGCAGCAGGTCAGGTATTTGTCTCCAGCAGAGAAGCTGTCTGTTCTCTGTTTGCTCTCTCTCTTCTCTGACTGAATAAAAGCTCACTATGAGACTTTAATAAGGACTGTGTGTGTGTGTGTTTGTGTATGTGTGCATGATTAGCTTCCTGTTGCTCTTTCTGATTAGCTGTGACAAGGTCTGTCTGTGGAGAGACGAGGACAGAAAACCTGGTCTGTTGGTTTAGAGCTCTCAGAGACAGATCAGCAGGGCTGTCAAAACTGGTCAAAGAAACATGAATATTCAAACTGTTTTTTTTCTTCATTCATTTAGTGAATTAGTGAACTGATCACGCTCAGGTGGAATAGATAGACATGTTATGCACCAGTGTTTCATCAGGGTAACTTTACAGGTAGTTACTGTTGTCATGCTCATGTCGTAGGCTCCCGTAAAGCCTCTTCTTTTTTTTATGTTCAAACTTCATCCTGATCAGTTTGTGGTGGACTGTAGTGCTGGTCAGTTCACTCACTCATAATCTGCTTCAGTTCATGATGAATAAGCCAGAGAGAGAAAGTCATTTTATGACTGTATGATATTATAGTTATGTTCCCTCTCATCTGTTGACAGTAGACATGCTGTCTTGCTGTTTCCATGAGCAAACCTTCCAGCACTTTGCTTCCTTTTTTTCTGCTTTACTCATCAATAACTTCTGTAATGAGGGGCGCACACATTTTCACATTTAATTCAAGACAACAAACGTCTCATACTCAGACCATTATGATGATTATTTAGCTTGTACTTTTTCACCCGACATTTTGGCCGATGAAGTCTTCATCTGTCAGACAACTTCATGTGAAACCACCTAAAAGACACAATATAGCAGCTTATTTAAACCTGACTGGGCCTCTCTGTAGCAGCACAGTTACTCTGTGAAGTCTCTGCCGACATTGTTGGTGATTGTCTCAGGTACAGTGCTGAGATCCTCCACCTGACAGACAGCCACATTAGGGTGGTTTTTTAAGTTTAAATATAAAATTCATGTTTGATTAATTTGTTTTTATTATTAATATTTGAATATATGTTCAAATATGGAATATTTCTGAAAGATCAGTTTAACATCCAGTCTTTCTCTGAGTGAGCGTAACAAAACCTGCAGCAGCCAAACGTGACCTGTCAGATGAGTTTCAGCACCATAAGTCAAAAGAGCTGGAAAAAAAACTGGTTTAAAAAAGGAATACCATTGGGCTTTTTTCTTAAATCTTTTTTTTTTTTTTTTTTACAAAACATTAATGTGACACACACACAGTGTGGCAGTGAGTGAAAACAACAGCAAAGAATTAAGTGTTTCTGTGACTTCAGGAGCTTTTATGTCCCACAGAAAAGAAGATCAGAGTTTTTTAGAGTCTGAATAGATCCAAGCCCTCTGAAACTGAGATCATCTAAGTGCATTTATGGAGTCATTTAGTGATATAATGTGGGATAGTGTTCTTAGCTGAAGATCCACTACAGAGGCTGCAATCTTTGTTTTGGTCTGTTAACCAATCAGAGGCTGTATCTGCAGTCAGCTGACTTGTAAAGGGCCTGTCAGAAGCCAGACTCCCCTGTCTTGGCAGAGCATACTAAAACTGAGTTGGAGAGATTTTCTTGATTTGTCTGAACACTATCAATGCTTTTTCTGAAATTGTTCTGAAAAGCTGCATCATTTAGTTCTCTCTCCAGGCTGAACTAACACTGAGGATATCTGGTAAAAACAGTGAATAATTCAGAGGTCCTGAGGGACTCTCAACTGCAGGCTGAAGAAAAAGAGCTTCAATTAAAGCCTAAATGATCGCTGACTCCACAGGGGAATCAAACTGCTCTGTCAGAAAAGAGCTGCAGCTTCACATCAGCTTCACCTGCACACACCTGCAGCAGTTACATCACAGCAGGGGTACACACACTCACACAAACAACACACACACAACCAACACACACACGCACGTGTCCGTGTAAGTTTTATTCAAATAGATTTCAGAGGCTGACAGAAAGCTGATAGGTCTGGAACAGACAGGTGGTTTTGTTTATCCCAGGGTTCATAGCAACAGGAAACAACACAGAAATAAAAGGATAAGATCTGGGGCACAGCGGACACAGTCTCACTCTTTCACCCTCTCACTCTGACCCTGGTGGTCTCAGATCTATGTCAGTCACAGTGGACACAGTCTCACTCTTTCACCCCCTTAATCTGACCCTGATGGTCTTGAATCTGTCAGCCACAGCAGACACAGTCTCACTCTTTCACCCTCTCACTCTGACACTGACGGTCCTGAATCTCTGTCAGTCACAGTGGGAACAGTCTCACTCTTTCACCCTCTCACTCTGACCCTGATGGTATCAGAAGTCTGTCAGTCACAGTGGGCACAGTCTCACTCTTTCACCCTCTCACTCTGACCCTGATAGTCCTGAATCTCTGACAGTTACAGTGGGCACAGTCTCACTCTTTCATCCTCTCACTCTGACCTTGGTGGTCTCAGATCTATGTCAGTCACAGTGGACACAGTCTAATTCTTTCACCCTCTCACTCTGACCCTGATGGTCTTGAATCTCTGTCAGCCACAGTGGACACAGTCTCACTCTTTCACCCTTTCACTCTGACACTGATGGTCATCTCTGTCAGTCACAGTGGACACAGTCTCACTCTTTCACCCTCTCACTCTGACACTGACGGTCCTGCCTTTTTGTCACAGCAGCAGAGTTTAGAGTCTGGTTCAGACCGTGGTTTTCATTGTTCCAGCTGGTTTTAATCCTTTAGTAAAAGAGACACAAAGCAGCATGTGCTGCTGCCGAACAACAACACAGGATTATACTCTCAGATTAAAACTGTCAGTGTTTAATCTGCACCAGATTCTTTACCCACATGGTCGACTCTCTGTGGCCAGATTAAACACAAAGGTTTCTACAACCATTCAATTTTAATCTTTGTCCAAGCGGGATTCAGCAAATCATGTTCTCAGAGGCTTTAACACGAATCGCTGAACTGATGGTGTTAAACTGAAAGTTTATGATCTATTTTTCAGAAATTCTGTTTTGTCGTTGGTATTGTTGGCAAAGTCAGACAGTCAGCTGACTTCATTTAAAGATAAAAACCACAGAGACGGAGAGATTTGAGTGCGTGGTGAGTGTGAAATGAGAAAATGATGTGAAGGTTTGAACAAAAATATTTATCAGCTCCAACAGTCGCAGCAATGATATGAAACGTGAAACACGGAATAATATTTTTGGACCGAATCATCTGAATGTTCGTCCAAACAGAGAGGAAGAAAAATATTCAGACGGACGGTTTACCTGATTAGATTATAGAACCTGAGAGAGAGGGTGTCTCTCTCTCTCTCTCTCACACACACACACACACACACGCACACACACACACACGCACACACAGACACACACTTTCACAGGTTTTTAGCAGAGTGGTTTGAGCGAAACCTTGAAATGTTTGATCCGTTTATTACAATCACTTCTTGTGTTTTAGACTTCATCAGGTTTTCACTTCACATCTGTCTTCTAAAACTTTGAAATGTCCCTTTAAATGCTGGTAAAACCCTTTTAAAGCTCCAGAGCTGATTTTTCAAACCCCTGACAGTCTGAATGACGAGTTTCCTCCATCTCTCTGCTTCTTCTTTCAGAGGGGGAACCCATCGTTTATGGCACCAACTCCCTGCAGAAGCGTAAAAAACACAAGCCAGGCCTGATGATTGGTCTACCGCAGAACTTCAGACAGATCTCCTCCATCATCGACGTGGACATTCTGCCAGAGACGCACCGACGTGTCCGACTCCACAAACACGGCACGCACAAACCGCTCGGTTTCTACATTAGAGATGGGGTGAGCGTGAGGGTGACGCCGCAGGGTGTTGAGAAGGTGAGGACACACACTTTCATGATTTACACTGATGAAATATTTTAAGCAACAACTTTAGAAGTAATTTTTCCAGCCACAGAGTATAACAGAGTGTAACTAATCAAACTGTCTTTACTGAGAAGTGTTTCAGGAGGAGCTAACATCTCTCCAAACTGTCTCATCGGTCATCTCCTCTGCAGGTTCCCGGTGTGTTTATTTCCCGCCTGGTGCGCGGTGGATTGGCTGAAAGCACGGGGCTCCTGGGGGTCAATGACGAGATCCTCGAAGTCAACGGGATCGATGTGGCAGGAAAATCTCTGGACCAGGTCAGCACAGAGTCCAGACCTGCAGAGGCCAGGATTAAACTGGTTTCACTGCAGCAGGCGTCAGTGTTTGTATCATATCAGGGACTTGGTTCAGTTACAAACATGATAACAGAGTTACCCTGACCTGTTGAGGCTAACAGCTGTGATTACATCTTTGATCAAGTCTGAGTTCGGACTGGAATTCAACTCTGTGACCTCTGACAAAGTTTCCCAGTTTTATTACGTTCTGTTTATAAAGACAAGAGCTTCATTATTATAAACACTGACAAGAACTAAACCAAACTGAGAGAAGTGAGATTACTGAGGTCTAGTTATACGTACATGTATGTAAAGAGGCGTAGTAATAAAGATGGTGGCAGAGGTTTTTCTATGACATTGGTGTCTGAGAGCTTGCCCTTCCGTCTGTGGAGGAGGAAAAGACAAAACTGGTGGGGCAGCAGCAAAGATCCTCAGGGTGACATAACAGAGCAGCCTCAGTATCAAGGTATATAACACTGAGATAATCTGATACAACTTAAAAAGGAGGAGCCAGGGAGGAGGAGGTGGGGAGAGCACCAGAAAAGACAAGAATGTGTTTCAAACAGTAAAACAAGCCTCCTATACCCTCACCTTCTGACTGTGAGAGATGAAGAGAAAAAGAACAAGAAAATGAATCATCAAAATAAGTACCACATGAAAAAACAACCTTTTAGTCACACTTTCCCCCTAAAAACAGAAAGATATTCCCGACTGTTCTGTTCATTTAAGTTTTTTTTTTGGTGCTCAGATATGTTGGATGAAATATTCTGTATACACAGATATTCAATAAAGGGAGGGCACTCTCTTAGCATCATCTGCACATTTTTAAGAGTTTTTTTACGGAAGAGTTTGAGCCACATTGTTTTTATAAGTCGATTAGAAAAACAAAAGGAAGATCCAGCCGTGGATAATTGTTCAAAGCTGCAGGTTTTATCTTCAGAACATCTGGATACGAGTGTTTCAGCCTCATCAGAGACGGTTGTTGTAAATGATTCATGTGACTGACTCTTTTTAGGGGTATTTCATGAACACACACTGTCTCTGTCTTGAATAACCTGTTCATGTTTCTGACCAGGTGACGGACATGATGGTGGCGAACAGTCACAACCTCATTGTGACGGTGAAACCGGCCAATCAGAGGAACAACGTGGTGCATCGGGGAAGTAAAAACTCAGCAGGGAACTCCGGTTCTGTGGGTTCAGCCGGGTCTATAGGATCTGCTCTGTCACATGACTCACCAAGCCCCGCCTCCCAGAGCAACCCTATCACTGCAAGGTGAGTGTTATTTAAAGCCCCTGTGACAAACACCTGTTTCCTGAAGAATGTGGCACCCCCTGAGGACAAAGTGGGACCTTTTATCTCTTTGCAGATTTGTTTGTTTGATGTTTAAGCAGTTTTCTGACTTTAAAGGTCCTTTCACACCAGGACTGTTTTTGTTGTGCGATTATTTCGGATGTCAATATGTTTTTTTCGAACCTGTATCCTGTCAATACAAGCGTTCACATCAGCGATGTTTTCCCGTTCTGCGATATTGCGGCATTTATTCTTTTGGATCATGGTGGATTTTTCTAAAGTTTCGCATACTGTGTGTCCACTTCTGACCAATCAGATTGCGTGTTGTTGTGACGTCAGATTTACCGGTATATCCAACATGGCCGACCGGCTGATTGTTTACATCCAACATCCAAACTGGACTTAGTCTTACCTTAACTCCTCTCCTTTTGTTACCACAGCAACAGCATAGCTGAGGGCGACAGTGATGATGGTGATGATGAAGGTGACATCATTCTGGAGAATGACTGCCTGACGCCCTTTGACCCCAGGCCCCTAACCAACAGCAACAGCACCAACCTCAACAGAGACTCATCTGCCAACAGGTCGCTCAGCTTGGCTGGGGTTAGGCCCCTCCCACAGAGCGTCTCTTTGCCCAATAGCGTGGGAGCATCTCTGAATGAAAGCTCTGTGATGATGACCAATCACAACGGAAACCCCGCCCACATGTCTGGCAGCAGCCAGGAGAGCATGAGAGAGGACGGCAACATCATAACGCTGTAACCATGACAACACTGACAGGACCACTGAATGTTACAACCACACAGTGCTGTAACTATGGCAACTCTGTTTCTTATTAATGTGGGCGGAGCCTAAACTCTGACATCTCTTCCAGCCTGAGTGGATCTACAGAGATAAAAACACAGACAGGTGTGTCTCACCTGTATGAGAGGATTGTACAGAGCTGGAGGGTCTACCTTTACCCTCAACATGGCGTCACGTGATCATCGACCAATGAGAGCTTCAAGATGGATTAACAGTGTTTGATGTCGACATGTTTTAGTATCACCTGTGATCTGAAACAGCTGTTAAACCCCACAGACACTCAATGACTTATCAGAGCAGGAGAGCTCACCTGTGACCACAGCTAACCAATCAAAGAGCAGCATTCAGAGCTCCATCTGATGGCTGACAAACAGCCATGAAGCAGCTGTGGGTCAGCTCGGAGTAACTTTAAACTCTCTCTGCCTGTCTGTGAGGTTTTTTATGTTCACCACAGAGAGCAGGTGCACAGGTGAGGGGCGGAGCTAACAGGTGGGAGGGTTTATTTATGGCTGTGCAGACAGAGGGGCTGTTATTCACTGCAAACTAAACAAGTCGCAAACATAGTGATACTGCGCACCAAAACCCCAAAAATCCAGAAATGTTATTTTCAGTTCCTCAAAAATCTGCATATTGGAGTCAAAAAAAGAGGAAAGGTCATCCGGCATTCTGCCCCAAATCAACAAAGATTTCTCAAGGACTGAATTCATGTGAACTCAAAGCAGCTCAACTGACTCTGGAAAATAAGGTCCAGTGCTGAGTAAGGAGTAGTAAATCTCAATGCACCATGATACACACTGTGCAGGCTGTGTAGACTCTGTGAGCAGAGACATTCATGCACTACACATCACTATAATCAAGGACGAGTAAAAAAAAAGGTAAAAACTCCACAGTTGATTCATTTTGAACATTCATAGAAAGGCAGGGTAAAAGTGAGTAAAGCATTTAGCTTTTAGTGTCAGCTTCTTACGAGACAAGCTGTCTTGAATCAAGTATTTAAGAGTGGATAACAACTTAGTGTTAAACGCTCTTCAAAGACAGCCTGACATTAAAGATGAGTGTAATTTTATCTGCGTTCAAACAACACTGACATTGAAAAGCTGTTCTTACACTACATCTGATGTGTGCCGTGCCTGCAGCCTCTGAGGGATGATGATGATCACCCCATCCACCCTCTAATTTAAACCTGAGCCACTCTGCACTCTGTGTTGCACAGACATGAACCTCACAGCAAAATAGATCAGTCTCATATTTAAAGCCACCGAACAGTCAAATATTTATCAGACACCAAAACAGAAAAAAGTGAAAACCTGTTGAAATAAAAAATTGCAATACTTTCCCTTTTTAACCTTTGCTTTAAATTTTCTTGTAATTACTGAGATTTTTAATAATCATGAATCATCAGATTTTATATATGGGTTTTTGAAGCGTGTGTTATAAAGGGTGTGGGGGTATTATTGAGAAATGGTGGTCAGTTTCTAAATGAT